TGTGTATAAGAGACAGCTATTAGAACATATGAGCATACCAAGAAAGCTCTATTACCAATTATTTTTATTTTTTGCGGAAACAGTGTTGTTTTGAGACAGAAAAAAGCATCACGAATGTGTTTTCGATTTTAATTTATATAATTATTATTGCAGTGAATATTAAAATCATTTTATAATATTATTGTCTTGAATTTCCGAATTTCAATTACAGAAAGTTGAACTACGCGAGCCAGAGTCAAGCAAGGAGGATGTGCTCAGAAAAAACAGAATCAAAGACAAAATATTCGAGTACGACCGAGCTTTTGGTCAAGACTCCACGCAGGTATCTGGTGCCACATGAGTTCTATGAGGGCTCCTTTAAATTCATTATCTTTCGTTATATATGCCTAGGCCTAAATAACAACTAGCCTCGATTATGTACTAAACTAGCTGCAGGTTAGCCCGGCGTTGCCTGAGATTGATTAATCCTGCAAATTTCACACCCCGGAATCTCTAATCCGCAGTATCACGTTGCTCATTGAACATAGAACTCTCATTTGACTTCCGATATAAATGGGAACAATTTTTATTTCATTAGTTAAATTTAGTTGCTTCAATTAAAAACAGAGTTTCAATTTTTCATCCACTCCAAAAAGTTTAACTCGTAAACCTGACCGTGTTTTTCACCCCCCTTCAGGAAGAGGTGTACGCGGCGACCGCCAAGCCCTTGGTGCAGGACGTGTTGAATGGGTACAACGCGACGGTGTTTGCGTACGGCGCTACGGGAGCGGGCAAGACTTACACGATGGTGGGGCACGAGGGGCAGATAGGCATCATGGTGCGCGCACTCAACGACATCTTCCAGTACATGTCCAGCAACAGAGACCCCAACCTAGCAATTAAGGTGGGTGTTGCCCAGCTATTGTGGTAGTGGAGGAGTAAGTTGGTTCTGAAATTAGTGATAACCTTGTATTAGGTTAGGGTGTTATGTAAACTTGTGACATTCTTCCAGTATATGTCCAGCAACAGAGACCCCAACCTGGCAATTAAGGTGGGTATTGCTCAGCTATTGTGGTAGTGGAGAAGTAAGTTAGTTCTGAAATTAGTGATAACTTTGTATTAGGTTAGGGTGTTGTGTAACTTTGTGACATTCTTCCAGTACATGTCCAGCAACAGAGACCCCAACCTTGCAATTAAGGTAGGTGTTGCTCAGCTATTGTGGTAATGGAAAAGTAAGTTAGTTCTGAAATTAGTGAAAACTTTGTATTATGTTAGGGTGTTGTGTAACTTTGTGACATTCTTCCTGTACATGTCCACTTTGTCCAGCAACAGGGACCCCAACCATACAATTAAGGTTGGTGTTGCCAGCTATTGTGGTAGTGGAAAAGTAAGTTAGTTCTGAAATTAGTGATAATATTATATTAGGTTAGTGTGTTGTGTAACTTTGTGACATCTTCCAGTACATGTCCAGCAACAGGGACCCCAACCTAGCAATTGAGGGGGGTGTTGCCCAGCTATTGTGGTAGTGGAGGAGTAAGTAGTTCTGATATTAGTGATAACTTTGTATTAGGTTAGGGTGTTATGTAACTTTGTGACATCTTCCAGTAATGTCCAGCAAGACGGACCCCAACCTGGCAATTAAGGTAGGTGCTGCCCAGCTATTGTGGTAGTGGAAAAGTAGGTTAGTTCTGAAATTAGTGAAAACCTTGTACGTATTATGTTAGGGTGTTATGTAACTTTGTGACAGTCTTCCAGTACATGTCCAGCTACAGGGACCCCAACCTTGCAATTAAGGTGGGTGTAGCCCAGCTATTGTGGTAGTGGAGGAGTAAGTAGTTCTGATATTAGTGATAACAATGTCCAGCAACAAAGACCCCAACCTAGCAATTAAGGTAGGTATTGCCCAGCTATTGAGGCAATGGAAAAGTGAGTTAGTTCTGAATTTAGTGATACCCTTGTATTATTTTAGGGTGTTATGTAACCTTGTAATTATGATAAATTTCATGTATACAGTATGTTGATAACCATGCCATGATGTTATGTTTTCGTATAAACATTTAGATAACCATGTAACTATATGTTCGGTTATTTCTTAAATAAGCGTAAATCTGGTGATTAAAATAGTCTATTAATTTCATATGGTGCTATCCATGTTATCAGAAAGAGTAATCGATTATACTGACAGCTTCCTAATTAATTTAGCGCCAATCTTAAAAATAAGAAAAACCTTGTGATTATGTTAGTCTTTTTGAACCTATGCAGGAAGATAGTCGCGTAAATATAGGGATAATCTTTCAAGGCAGGAAGACGTACACTGTACAGTGTAATGAATATAGGAGATGACACAAACATGCTTATCGTAAAAGTATGTGCTTCGGCAAATAAGATTACCACGGTAACAAGGTTTGGGAAACAGCGGACGGGACGAGCATGACATGTATTATGACGCTTGACACAAGAATTTAGTCACTGATGTAATGTAAAGTAATGCGACACGAAGTTACAAAATTATTGTCATTTTTTTGCTGTATAAATAAATACTGCATGAAAAATCCGACTTATGTAAAGCATTCTCTGAAAGAAGTACGTAAAATGAAAAAGTACGTAAAATGGAGAAGTACAGTATGTAACGCTTTGAGTATTACAATTAAGCGCTGTAGAAGGCGTCAATCTCATGAGCAATATTAGATTGCAACTTTGCTATGCTCATAGATAAATAAGATCAATCTTAATTCATAATCCTGAATCGCTTGAACCTATGTACGTCTAGCATAGAATGTTTAATCCTGTCCACCAAGGATGTAACTTCATTTCTTGATCAGCAGTTCACCTCGACTTTCCGGATGCTAAACAGAAGTCCGTAATTCAGACTCGGAACGACATCTTGTCATGAAACGCGTTCTAGTCAACCATAAGGTGTGGAGTTTCTTTTTTCTAGATTGCGACTTTCATCCACAAAATGGAGGGTGATCATTCAATAACCTTCCATTATTCCAAACTGGGTAGTTAATTTAAACTTGAAATGGGAGGTAGGCCTCGTCCGCCTCGATTATTAATGGGGCAATTTCACTTCTACATATGCAAGGTTCCCTTGTAATTCTTACTTGAAAATTAATCGATTGTAGAGCTCCTATTTTTTCTCCTTGCGATAAATCTAATCCATTCTAAAATTCAGTTTAAATGAGGACATGTAGATTGAATTCATTTTTCTTTCTCCTAAACTTGAACAGGCGTCATATTCACCGTCAATGTAATGGATCACAATAATCACTAGCTGTGAATAACAGACTCAGGTTTAGCCTGAATGCTTAGTAAAGCATCTGTGCGATTGTTTATTAGTTTACTCTGCTCTACCGGTATTGATTCATCATCAATTATTCGCCTGGTGACTCGCGTGAATCAAGAAATGTGAATCAATTCTTGAATTATCCAGCTGGGTTATCGGTGTCCATTGCCAACAGCAGTTTGGCTGCCCTAGATAAGAGATCCTCTTACAAATCTTCTCTTCTTAAGATTTGAATTCCTTAAAATGAATTTGATTTATGATAGTTTAACTTCTTTTGTCTTGTGCGTCGGTCGTCTTTTTATATGTGTGGGCATTAGTCCACATTACAAGCATTTTGATTTGGAGCATTTCAGTCTTGCAAATTTTCTTATTATTTCCTAACCTGTGACCCTGCATACGTTGTCGATATGTCCTCACGTTCCTTGGTATCCTTAGTACCAGGAATTTTCAGCCGTTTTACGTTGGGTCTTTGACGCCGAGTCCCATGTTAAAATGGAAGACGCTGCTTAAGCACATTATTGTAGACATCGTGGGATGTGCGACGATAGAATTATACTATTGGTATTGATATTAAAATGTAGGGGGTGTACGGAAACTGCTGGTTTCCAGTGCTCCTATAAAATAAACAAGAAAGAAAAATCCTTAGTATCCTTGATATGTGTTCTGGGCCTATACTTTCAAAAAAAGTTAAGAGATCGTAAGTTCGTCATCTAATTATTGACGGCCTTTCAAGCAAAATCCACCAATCATAGACAGGAAAATAGAGCGTAAGTCCTTACGTTCACTTGACGAGTTTTGAAAGTATGGCCTCTGTTCGTTGCAGACCCAGGTCACGCAGTAGATCCGCCGCAATATTCCGCCCCCGTGTAGGCTACCGCACATTTACCTTTTGTTGGGCAGTTTGCACTGATCATTTTACTGATTCCGTCTAACCCAAACGTAATCAAAATTTTGCATACCTTTTGTGTCATTAATTTTTGCATTCACTAGCATATTGCGAATGTGCGAGAACTTCCCTCGTAAAAATCTCAGTGTCGCCCCAGAAGCCATTAGGCCCACAATTGCTCACAAAAATTGCCCATAATTCTTTCTATTGCCCATAATAAATTCCCAGATTTATTGATATTTGTATTGTGAAACAATCTCTATAAAGATCTATTATTTTCATTGTTCACGTCAGATCTCCATGTCGTACCTGGAGATCTACAACGAGAACATCCGGGACTTGCTGCAACCTTCTTCAGGCACGCTGGAGTTGAGGGAAGACGCGAAAACTGGCGTCATCCAAGTGGCGGGACTGTCCAAGACCTCAACCACCTCAACTGCTGAGGTGAGGTCTATGTCAACACCTCCACTTCTTAGGTGAGGTCTATGTCAACACCTCAACTGCTGAGGTGAAGTCTATGTCAACATCTCCACCTCTAAGGTGAGGTCTATGCCATCACCAACACCTCGGATGAGGTCTATGTCACCTCCTCCACTGCTGAGGTGAGGTCTATGTCAGCTCATCCATCAATGGGATCAAGCAACCACCATCACCGTCACAATCACTATTACTACATCATTAGCCCATTACCAAGTCGTAATTATATTCTCTCAGACACTGCTCATTTTAAAATAGACTCAAGGAATTTAAAAGCAAAGAAAACACCAAGCAAATTCACCATATCGATATTGAAAGCGTTTAGGAGTCCAGCTCCATCATCAGTTCGAAAAAACAAAAAATGAATAAAATCATATTATTATATCAAAATTTTAAGACAGACATAAAACGTAAACAAGACCTAAAATTATATCGAAAAAAACAGGACTAGATTGAAACGACTTAGTCCTAGGGTTCACGAAAAGAATATAAAAGCCTAGCGATTCACTATTTCCAGATTATATGAACTAAACGCATTATTGAGACATGGTTTTCGTTTGAAGATATGTAGAGACCCCAATATTCTCAAATCCGAGCAGCCAGAAGTGGAACCGAGTATTCTGAAATCACTCTCAGATACAGCCACGTCGCACTGTTCAGCATGGAGGCGCACGGAAGAATGAGGAGGCTTGGAGAGAGGCAGGTTAGAACGATAGCTCCTGCCACGGTGTTCAGAAACCCGGATGTAGAAGTTACGCGACGTCATTCCAACGTACGCAGATGCAAGAATCTTGTTCTTATTTTATATTGTTGTGAAACCTAATTATATCGTCAACACGAAATCTTACTGAATCTTGTTCTTGTTTTATATTGTTGCGAAACCTAATATCGTCAACACGAAATCTTACTGAATCTTGTTCTTATTTTATATTGTTGCGATGCCACGATCTTCTCACCGGCGCGAGGTCACCAAGTTAAGCATGCCAGCGAGGTCAGACTGCCATGTAGTCGATATAATAACGGTCTTCACTCTGAGCTGTCAATCAACACACAACTTACGACGATCGTCGCCTTGGCCTGAATGTTTCGGCCTTTATAGCGTGACCTCGTTGGATGGTCCTTGCTTTTCAAGTCGAATAGTGTTGGTCATCATTTTAAATGCAGCATAGTCAGCCTTGTCTTCAAATTAACGTTATTTCGGCCTTACATCTAATATTTAAAGTTGCACATTTATGGCCTGAGTTTAAGTTGTACGATTATTCACCATCGAAGGTTTATGCTTCCCCAATTGATAATAATCCAGTCAAGCAGTCCTGCCTGAGATACTAGGGTAGTGTCTTCCCAAGTTATTCTATGAATAAATAATTTACAGAAGGGACACTGATTTTTCGAAATGGAAGACATCTCTTCCATTTATCATTTTATTTCATTTTTATATCATTTTTTCCTTGTTTAGAGTTTCCAACGTAGCAGTACCTAACATCACTGGAATGCCGTCCTATAACATTAATTCCTCCACCCGCAGCTCCATGCTTCTAAGTAGGACTACTTGAAGTAATACTTCTAAATTGCAAGCGAAATTTCGTATACATGAATTCTCAGTAGCACTTCCTTAGCCTCATCATCTCATTATCTCATTATCAGAATTACATTTTGTTTTAATTTGGCTCAAATACATGGTTATTCCTGTACACAATTTTTCTTCTTATTTTTCTTCTTATGTTAAAAAATTTTGAGATAGTCTTAATATAATGTTCATTTTACTGCAACTCGGATAATTTTTTAATCATGTTTTTATGCAAATCATGAATATCCTCGTTAGTGGGACACGTGCTTGAACCGCCAAGCTTCAATGACAAATACGTATTCTATATGGGTTGATTTTACTCTTGCAGCAGGTGGAGTGCTTACATAATTACATGGACATAATTAATCATTTAAATACATGGACATAATTAATCATTCAATTACGTAACATAATTAATCCCTCCTTGTACCCTGACACTCTTGTTCCTCTCTGCCATGCTGGATTCTTGCTACACTAATTTTAATTAAATTCTACAGTTGGCCGCGCATGATTCGTCCGTTCCTCTGATAGTGGTTCAGAAAACTTTAACCTTTAGTATTCTCTAACCTTTTAAGGTCTTTAACCTTAAGCTCCTTGTCACGCGACCACACGGCGATCGGCCGGTAAGCCCTAGGTAAACGAATTAGTCAAAAGGTTAAATGTGTTGTGGTATAAAAATAACAAAGTATGTTGACGACCATTTCCCGAATTGAAGTTGAATTCGATTGTTTGATAATGCGATGCCAGTCCGATTAAGTTGAACTCAGTGTGGTATATGAATTCGTAAGTTCAAAACTTAAATGGAACCTTTGCGCTGTTATGTGCCTACCCCGCCCCTTCCCCTATTTCCCCTTTCTTCACCCTCACTTTCCTCTCCCTCGTCCCCTCATCGCTGTCACCATAGGGACACTCACTTTGCTTGGTTACCTCTTAGCCCCACACCACGACACCACAGCACCGCACCACACACACCGCCACACCACACCGCCACATCACACTGCCACATCACACCGCCACATCACACCGCCACACCATATTGAGCTGTTTGTTCAATCGATGTCTGTACGCTGACTCGCGCCGACGTCATTGCACCACTCATAATCTCTATTTGATTTGATGACGTTCTTAGTTCACTCTTGCACCATGTTTACGCAGGGCAGAATTGGCTTTAGAATAGTTTTCAATGATGGTCATAACGAATGGGATCAATATTATTTGTGATCGGATCGAACACGACATTAAAATGCAAGAAATAATCACCAAAAGGATGTAAGGAGGAAAACTTCCTTACTGGTAACTGCTTCTAAGAATGAATTAATAATATTCCATATGTACTGATTTTCAATAGTCGTAGTCAATTCAGAGCTGCAGGCGATTACCTTAACAATAATAGCGGTTTCAGCGTTTATTAGGCCGTAGGCCTGTCGCCAGTTCTTAACATCGCAGAACATTCCCAGCATTTTGCGGTTTCGAACTCGCAACTCACTGCTACAATTCTGCTGTGCTTAACCGCCCGGCCTCCTTGCCGATTCTGACCAGAAACTGGCGCACAGAGCTAGGATCGAACCCGCGCCTCTCTGCGCCAATCCTGGTACTCCGAACTTTAACCACTAACTTAGTTGAGTAAGGTTAAGATCGATATTATCGTACATATACCGCTGCAAGTGATTACCCAATATAAGAAAGATTATAATTAATATTATTGTACATTTGACCCTGCAGGTGATGGACCTTCTGACGAAGGGCAACAAGGTGCGCATTTGTGAGTCTACAGCCGCCAACAAAACCTCCTCCCGCAGCCACGCCTTGCTACAGGTGTGGCTAGTGGTCTGGCTATTGTGTGGTTAGTGGTGTGATTAGTGGTCTAGTTAGTGGTGTGGCAGGTGTGATTCCACTACCACTCATTGTTTTATCCCGTGCTCGGTGGTGTAACTTGCGTTTGTTGGTATAAATTTACATTGGTAGTATACGTAAGAAAGTTCACACGCGTACCTGAGTATTCACCTACTGTACAATTGCTGCACTAGCAAGAATAGCTTTGTTCTATGCAAATAAAATCGTTGACAACCTGCATTTGCTCGCGTCAAACTTCTAGCTTCAGAGCATCTCGGCATGTAAGATATTAACGCAGCATTTATGCTGGCCCTGTAATACCTCCAGAGATATTGAATACAATCTGTGCATATTAAGCAATTAGGTCAAGAGTAAAATAGGACGTCATGGTTACAGTGAAAACTCGTTTTCTATGTGTGTGCAGACGAATAATTTCCGGGTTCAATGTTATTCATCATTTTTATATTACTTCACCCAAAGCTGGTGACCTGGAACATTCAAATTTGTCATCTAAAATATCTCGGGTTCTCACCTGGTTAGAGTGTGACCCTTTGTGCGTTTTTTCTTGCGTGTAACATGTCCGTTTTCAAGTGTCTGTTGCGGTCATTAAAAAAACTTTATTTCGATGCAGGTTACGATATCGCAGAAGCTGCAAGGAGGTGAGAAGGCTAAAGTGAAAGTGGGCAAACTCTACATGATTGACCTGGCGGGGTCAGAACGAGCCAAACAGACGGAGGTGAGTGTTCGCCTGGGTTCAAACCTACCTAATGTAGGACCAAGTAGCAAGATCACTTGATTGCTTAAATCGCAAATTGACAAGAAATTTAAGACAAAGAAAAAATTTTTGGCTTTCCATTTTGGCTTTAATCTTAGGGGTGCGCACAGCCTCCGACCTCTTCGGGTGCCATAGTAGAAGACTAGCACCCGCTGAAGCGTCACCTGCCGATGCTCGAAACGTTCCGGGTTAACCGTGAGGGAGTATTCAGTGTTGGTTTCTGTCTTGCGTCTTACGTTTGGCATGGTGGGCATGAAAATAGCTTATGGCTCAAATTGAGAAATGTCTGATCTAGTTTGGGAGCCAACAGTAATAACGCGTTAACTCGTACGGCGGATCACTTTCTTGCGGATTTAGTCAATTTAATTTTTTTTCTTGTTTACTAACAGAACTTAGTGAATCATATCATAACACAACAAAGTAATGTCGGCGCTGAAAAGTAGGCCTGATGTGGCCTGGCGCCGATTCTTTTACTTTTCGTGATTTGCCCATAGGAGATCGAAAAACTGGTCCTTCAACCGGATCTTTTCCAAACTGACGGTAGTTTGAAATAGCTACTAAACCTCCACCGGGTTCGATATGGTTCTAGGCATTTAAAGTCTAAGGAGCTAGGCATTTCAGGAGCTCGATAAGGAGCTAGGAAGCTCCTGAATCGATAAGGAGCCTTATCGATAAGGAGCTAGGCGGGTTCGATAAGGAGCTAGGCATTTCAAATCTGAACATATATTTTTCCATAGCTTTATCTAGTCTGTTCTTGAAAACGTTCATACTTGGAGCGCCAACGATGTAGTCGGGAAGGCTGTTCCACATGTCGGTGATTCGAAGCGAGAAGAAATTTTGTCGCGTGGAGAAGTTGCAGCGCAGTTTTTTTTAGTTTATAGCCGTGGCTCCTGGTGTTGGTTCTTGTTTCAAACTTTAGTAATCCTCCTGGGACCTTGTATAACCATGCGTATACTTATATACTTCAATGAGGTCATCACGGAGAGGTCGATAACAGAGGCTTGGAAGCTTCATAATCTTTAATCTTTCTCCATAGGACTTGCCCTTCAAGCCTGGAATTATTCTTGCTGCACGTCTTGGAACACTCTCTAATAGATATACGTAGATAGATGGATAATAGATCATTGATAATTGATGTTGAGTAACAAATGGAATTCAATAAAAACATTAAATCTGCAGAACAAGGGTAAGCGGTTGCAGGAGGGCGCGTACATCAACAGATCGCTGCTGGCGCTAGGCAACTGCATCAACGCTCTGGCTGAGGGCAAGGCGAAGTATGTCAACTACAGAGACTCTAAGCTCACGCGCCTGCTGAAGGTTCGTAATGCCCATGTGGACGTTTAGAGTGGAGTGATTGTGCATAATTGGGTCTTTGGGGAACTATAATATTGATAGGTATATTTGATTTGTATATATAGGTATATTTGATTTATTTATTTATAAATCCATAAGAAATTATACATTTTGTGCTTAGATACTTACGAAAGACTTTCGAAACTGCTGTATGGCATGAAAATCTTTATGCAAATCAGCACAAAATATGCAGTGATTGAATAAATATTTTCAGCTCCTTCGAAATTAAATATTTTTATTTTAGTTATCTTAATGCAACATCATATGCATTCGGTCAAAACTATTTATTCAGAGCTTTAATAAAGACTAATATCACTATTAACATGGTACTCTTTTCATTGGATGATGGGTTAACCGCAATAATTTTAATGTCGACTTGTATGCCGAATTAACTTTCCTAGTATTTAATTAATAATATTCCATATGTATTGATTTGCTATAGTCCAAGTCAATTCAACGCGGCAGGTGATTACCTTAGTTGAGTAAGGTTAACATCGATGTTATTGTACATATAGCGCTGCAAGTGATTACCCTAGATTTCAACGTTCTTATTACGATCGATGCTGTGTTGAATTCTCCTAAACGTAATAATAATAGTATAATTAATAGTAATTAATTGTACGTGTAATTACAATTGTAGTAATTGTAATTTAATAATTGTACTATTATTATTATTGTTGTATAATAGTAATTATAATAATAGTAATAGTGCAATAATAGTATAATTACTAGTAATTTATTGTACTCGCAGCCGGTCTCACCCGTACGATGGTTGAAACCATACGCATTTGGTACCAGTTAGTTTCATGACCCCATATATCGCGTAGCTTACATTGCCATAATCCCACTGGTGGTGGGGTTGGGGAGGCCACTGCAAAAGTGGGGAAAGGCAAGGGGTGACACAGAGTGGCCATAAAGGAGGAAAAAGAGGTACAGATAAATTAGGTGCTATACTATTATTAGCCTTGTTTAGGAATTTGATTGAACCCCTCAGGCTCTTAGTGATTTGTACGGGGGGAGTGAGGAATGGATTTTGGTAAATTTTTTTAAAATACTTGAACTTTCGGGTAATTATTGAAAATAAAGATAGTAGTTTCCCCCAATATAAATACACTTTATTTTCTCACCATTTGTAAATCTTGTGGATATTTTTTCGAATAGGTTGATATGATGGTGCGGGTGATTATATGGATATGATGATGAAGGTGGAGAGCGACTCGCTTGAGAATCAGGAGGTGGTTGGGAAGTTAATTGTTGCAATGATGGCAGGACTTTAATCCTGTCACCACTGTGAGTCACTCTTGGTGAGTTTTTTTCGGTCCGTGACTGAAATCTGATCAACCGCACTTGGTAGCATTCATTTGCAATTGACGACCTATAATGCAGCAGGTTCCGTCATGTTATTGATTCTGGTGTGAGTGAGTAGTTGTTGCGGCATCACACCCGAATGTCGAAATGCGCCCAAAAAGTGTGCAGGTGGATATGGTCCGTTGTGTGGGACTAAATGGTGTACCGAATTGGTTAAATGTACACGGGTGAAGGTAGGGACCTAGTAACCGCAATTTGTATACTTAGGAAAGAGAAAAACCTCTTGGGGACATCTTTGTGTAGTTGTATTGGAGGTCCGATTGCCTATAGATGCTGTTCTGTCTCTGGATGTCTTGAATATTGGCTTTCATTCTTTGTCACGAAGCGATTCTCTGTGATCAGGACGCACTATCAGGAAATTGTCGTACTGCGATGATCGCGCACGTGTCGCCTTCATGACTAGACATGGACGGGGGTGAGTGAGACTAGACATGGACGGAGGTGAGTGCGACTAGGCACGGATGGGGGTGAGTGCGACTAGACATGGACAGGGGTGAGTGTGACTAGACACGGACGGGGTTGAGTCTGACTAGACATGGACGGGGGTGAGTCTGACTAGACGTGGACGGGGGTGAGTCTGACTAGACATGGACGGGGGTGAGTCTGACTAGACATGGACGGGGGTGAGTCTGACTAGACATGGACGGGGGTGAGTCTGACTAGACATGGACGGAGGTGAGTGTGACTAGACATAGACGGAGGTGAGTGCGACTAGACCCGGACGGGGGTGAGTGGGACTAGACATGGACGAGGGTGAGTGTGACTAGACATGGACGAGGGTGAGTGTGACTAGTCCGTCTCAAGTTCTTATTAGTTAGCGCTTCAAACGAGCATGCGTTAGTTATTGTTATTGTATTTTTCATGAACCTATGTATTCGAAAACCGTATTAGTAACCTGATAACCATTAAAATACCGTATTAGTTTTCGAATAGTAGTGAAAATTACTTATTTGTGTCCCAATAACAATTCAAGTAAGATATATGTTTGTCAATAACTGCGTAATTAATGGTTTTATATCCCAAAGAACCATTCACCTACTGTATTATAGTATTGCAATTGTCAGTAACCTACGTGTTAGATTCACAGGAACCATTAAGATAGCACATTAGTGTTTTTTGTGCACAACGAAATAACGTATTAGTGTCCCGGGAAATACCCGTGTGGTTTATGTGTCACCAAAAACCAACAATGAGCCTATTATGTTTCACGAGAAAGATATCAAATTTGCATTTGGCCATAAAAAAGCACATTTTAATACGGCATTAATCGCTACATTTGATGTTTACCTGTCTTGCAGAAAATTTTCTAATAATAAAATAAATGCTTGTTCCCGGCATCAACGCCGTTCAGACCATCTAATTGGAGTATCAGGGATAAGTAAAAGACACCTCGCACAAAAATAAAAATCACATACACATTAGCAGACTACAGTGCGTGTTGCATATTGAAGTAAGAATTAGCGGCACTAAAATTACTAAATCGACTATCGCTTCATGATCTGTATTAAGATTCAATAGTTTGTCGCTAAAACGGTAATTTCACATGAATCTGTTGTTTTTCGTGGAGCCCAGTCACCTTCGTGTACCCATTTAACTATGGCGAACACAGGAAACCTTCATGCCACCACTCTATATAATTGCTGCCTTAACAAAATTCGGGGTATGCTTCAGCCTCTGCCCCAGAGTTGCTATGTTCGCGTTAGAGTTAGTCTGGGTCAATTGGCCAACTGATCGCAATCAGCGACTAGTCAGAACCTCCTTGCCGACTTTATGGTCTCCTGAGAGTAGATCTCCGAATTTTGATCAGGCAGTAGCCTCTTTTATTTCTATTAATCGCCCGTGCCTTCAGCAATTACTGACGTCATTGTTCCAACGGCAACACTCCTAAGACCATTCAGATGAGAAGTTATTACTGTTGATGATCTCACAAGCATTACCCAACTAACTGAATTACAAATATAACTGAATAGGCGACGACTCAGACGACAAGCCAGTCGAAACGTTATTACGATCATTAATATCTCGAATACTACTGTACTAATTAAATCAATAATTTGTCTGAACAGACGACGACGACGACTCAGACGACGAGCCAGACGAGGCGTTATTACGATCATCAATATCTCAATTATTACTGTACTAATTAAATAAAAAAATACATCTGAACAGACGACGAGCCAGACGAGGCGTTATTACGATCATCAATATCTCAATTATTACTGTACTAATTAAATAAAAAAATACATCTGAACAGACGACGAGCCAGACGAGGCGTTATTACGATCATCAATATCTCAATTATTACTGTACTAATTAAATAAAAAAATACATCTGAACAGACGACGAGCCAGACGAGGAAATATTATTATCTATCATGTCTCAAGTATTACTGTACTAATTATATAAATAATTCATCTGAACAGACGACGACGAGTCAGATGAGACGTTATTACGCTCATTAATATCTCAAATGTTACTGCACTAATTGAATTGAAAATTAATCTGAACAGGCGGCGACAACTCAGACGACGAGCCAGACGAGACGATATTATTATCCATCATGTCTCAAGTATTACTGTACTAATTGAATCAATAATTCATCTGAACAGACGACGACTCAGACGACGAGCCAGACGAGGTGTCGCAGGCGTGGGAGGACCTGGTCTACCTACAGAAGGAGCAGCAGCGCTACACGGAGATGCGCGATAAGGTCGAGCAAGAGATGCTACAGTGCAAGGCGAGAGGCCAGCAAGTCGAGGAGGTTTGTTTACCTTGTCCGTGTCAAATCGATTTAGTAATCAAAATTACGTTCATCGGTAATGTCTAAATAATTTTTCATATTTTCCGTCTAGTAAATGTTAAAATAATTTTCAAGATCGATTCATTCATAATTACTTATTTTGTTTAATAGAAACCTGTACATTCGGTATTACAAATTGTAGTAGCTAGTCTATTGCAAGTATATAATTTAAGACAGGGGTAAGTACTTTATCAAGCTTTTCTCAAATATAATTATTCACTTGGCAAAAACAAAGATTTTCATTCCAACCTAAAGTATTTGCGTCAATGAAAATAGATTAATATTCCCATTCAAAATTATTCATCCAACTTCTAGATCTTAATAGTATTTTTTTTATATTGAATCTAAATAATATATTTCAATCCGCACAAGGCTTAAAACAAAACAATGTAGCACTGCCACTGTATTATCATCGCCTACATTAAAAACGAAGGGAGACTCCAGGAATTAGGTTATTAAACAATATCTTTTCCGGTCTTTCCACATGTAAATGAACACTCAATTCCAATTCATGTCAATTACTTTGTGAATTCACTCATCAATTCAGCAGATTCATTCAATTCAGCAGATAATTCAGATGAGAACACACGCGAAAATTATCCCGCAAATAAAGCAACCAATTCCTGCTGTCAGTCATCCATTTACTCCACTCGTCATGACGCTATTTGACGCAACCGCCCACTCGCCCTCCTTGTCACCCTACCACTCACCCTCCTTGCCACCCTACCACTCACCCTCCTTGCCACCCGTCCACTCACCCTCCTTGCCACCCTACCACTCACCCTCCTTGCCACCCTCCCACTCACCCTCCTTGCCACTTGCCACTTGCCACCCTCCCATGCACTCACCCGCCCAATAACCCGCCAATTCACCCGTATTCTGTCCACCATCACAGGAGCTGCCAGACGCGATCAACAGCGATGAACAGCGGGAGCTGCTGTCCCTGCTGTGCAAGGTGCGGAGTTGCGCGAGTTTAACTCGTATTATTATTGCTTTTCGTTGAATCTAATCAGTTTGATCGTAAATTTTTTATCAATTGTCAAAAGTTCACGTTTTTTACGGGAGGAATTTTTGCATTTATTTTATATGTTTCTATCATCTTCATATATGGTACCCTAGATAATTATAAAAATTGTCAATTATTGGGATTTGTTCACGCACTCCGGAGATCTCGAGTAGGAGTCAAATTTGTCTTGTTTAAATATGTCCTTGATAAATTCTTTCACGTTTATTAAATCATCGTTTAATTTACATCGTTTAATCATCGATGAAAATAATCAAATCAAATTTAATTGGATTTGATCACGCCTCCTGGACAGGTCCAGAAGGCCTGGAGATCCAGAAGATGTGTTATAATCTTTATTATTTAATCCCGCCCCACTTGCTAGGTACACGAGCTGGAGATCCAGAAGATGGAGATGGAGAGCGAGGCTGTGCTGAAGGAGCACGAGCTGCAGCGCCGGGACCTCATGATCCTGCGCTACGACCGCCAGCGCTCCCTCTGCGAGGAGATCATCACGCGACAGCGGCAGATGCTCGAAGGTAGACGTGGTGATGTGTGGTGTTGACGTGGTGGTGTGACCTGGTGTTGACGTGGGGTTGTGACCTGGTGTTGACGTGGTGATGTGACCTGGTGTTGACGTGGTGATGTGACCTGGTGTTGACTTGGTGATGTGACCTGGTGCTGACGTGGTGATGTGACCTGGTGTTGACGTGGTGATGTGACCTGGTGTTGACGTGGTGATGTGACCTGGTGTTGACGTAGTGATGTGACCTGGTGTTGACGTGGTGCCGTTGTGACCTGGTATTGACGTGGTGATGTGACCTGGAGTTGACGTGGTGATGTGACCTGGTGTTGACGTGATGCTGTTGTGGCGTGGTGCAGTTATGATGTTGGCGTAATGGTGACATCGCCGCCATTGTTATGCTGGTGTTGTGGTGACATATGCACCATTTTTATGTTGGTGTGGTGGTAAGGTGACGGCTGCTGTGATGTCGCCTTAGAGGTAACATGGGCGTGATTGAGTATGGCTATTCATCATAACTTTAGATTAAAGCTACGTACAATGTGTCACTGGTCGTTCGTTTTCATTGTTGCATTGATCGAATTTTTCAGTTTTGTTTTAACGAGCGATTCATTCGCTTAAGCGATTTTAATGATTGAATTTATTTCATGTCGGCAGGAATCAAAGGGGAAACTGGTGAGATTGATAATTTTTTTACCTATTGGTAATCATGCCTCAATTATCGGTGGCCATTCAGTGCTTGCCGCGCACGATTGACACATGATTTTCAATTTTGTGTGTAGTGCTATTTTTATGCACAGAGTGATGAAATAGATTTGATAATATTATTCAAACTTTTAACCTGTAAACAGATGAAGAATTAGAAACGGCCGAAATAATATTGTGTACATAGAATGGAAAATTCAATTATATGTTAGAAGTCTGTTTTTCTATATTGTTGTATCTCGATAATTAAAACTTAAATATTTCCCTCACGTGTTTTTGCGCAAAATGACGGTAACCGTTTGAATTTCATCGGAAATTCTCTGCCTTTATCGTGAATTATTAAAGCATTCCGTACAAATAATGAAGATTTATATTTCCAAAAATTCCTTGTAGTTTGATTTCAAGTAATGGAAAAGGAATTTCTAAACGAGTCGACGAATTTCTAGCATAACATTGACAAGGTAGAATTGCAAGTTTGACTGAAGTGCCTCAATGTTCGCCTGCATACAGTTCATATAAGCCTGTTTTTTTACACGGTTTTGGAATAGTTTTACGTTAAAAGATATTATTAATACTGTCCATTACAGAACGAAATGGTTTCCTTGTTGACTTCTGTATTGAAAAATTTTCATGAAGTTTAATTTATTGAAAAGTGTTTGTTTTTTTCCCGGACTTGGCGTAGGAACAGTATTTATTTAACTCGAACAATGATTGTTCTTCTGTTCAATAAATGGTTTCACACGAATCTTGAAACCTAAAACGTTTTCCGCATCGTTTGTTACGTTAGAAAATTCTGATTTCGTTGCCATTGATTACATACTTCCAAGTGTAGCGACCTGTTTGAACGTCAGCAAACTGGCAAGACATTTTAAGTTCACCCGTTATATATAACATCATTCAAGTATTTCCAGGTCATCAATATTCAAAAGAAATTTCTATTATATCGTTATTCGCGTAAAAAAATCATTCTATTATTCTTTCTGTTACAATGTTTTACAGTTACATGTTCACTGTAGTGTTCACGTTTGATCACTTCGTGTTCTTCGAGTGTTCACCCTCGCCCCATTGCGCCACTGTGAACCTTAGCTCGTTTCTTACTTACTTCTATCGAATTAGCAATCTTCTTGCATCTTACATGTTAAAAAAACGGTCTTTAAACCTTAGGTAAGTAGTTCGTTTTACGCCATTGTTTGTTTTCGTGCATCCTTCCTTCGTAAGAGATGAGTCATTTTAGTGTAGGCGATATGCATCTTCAAGAGCCTTGGTATCAAAAGAGTAAAATGGTATGAAATATCTGCAATATTTTGCTTTATGATAGATGATCTCTATGTAAAAGATCTCTATAAGAAGAAAAGAAATTGATCAATCTCGCTACACGCATTAATAATTTAAATAAGGTGTCTAATATGCATTACCGTGCAGAGGTGAGCTCATAATATAGCCAACTCAGGCTTATTAATACCAGTAATGATAGTTAATGCCAGTAATGCTAATACCAGTAATGCTAATGCATGTAATGATAATACCAGTAATAATAATTACCATACAGACATGAGTCCTATTATGCCGGCGGAGCTGCAGGAGCTGTACAACATGTACCAGCAGGAGCTTCAGTACACCAACGTCGAGCGCGACTCCCGCTACCTGAATGAGCTGAACAGCATCTACAGGGTGAGTGGAGGGAGACAGTACCGTCTCAAGGAGTTAATACAAACGATGATGCATTATTAGCAATTTCAATAAGATACATCACATTATAATATCTGTGGAACTCCGTCTTTGATCATGGCATGAAACCACAAATTCTTGAAAGCAGAAAGAATTCGTTTGGGTTTAACCTAGATAATACCTAATCATCAAATTTTAGTTTCAGTCCAATCCCCAAAACCATTAAAGGCGTTCAGACCAAAAATAGCGCACAAAAAAATTCTGGAAGTTTATTTCGTAAAAATAAGCTATTTTTCTCTATTGCTTCCTTTTTAACAAGTTATTGATGTAATCATACTGGAGTGTATGTTGGTCCTGTGTTTTCATTGATAAAACTCATTTTAAAAAAAACCTTCGTAAAAGTAACTGTTCGTGATATCTGCGCGAGTCATTGTAATGTCACGTTAATCATACGTAGAGTTAAAGCCGTGAAAGTAACTTAAGTATCATGTACACTATCCGTATAGTTTTGTAGTAGCAACGAGAGTAACTGAAATATCATGCACACTATCCGTAGAGTGTTTGTGCAACGTGAGTTACTGAAATGTCATGTCCATCATCCGTAGAGTTTTTTGTTTACTTCACACCGATGATCCATAATCTTGTTTGTTTGCTCATCACACGGAAAGGTTAACATAAAATTTCATCTAATTTTTGCCTCCATATTTTAGACAATGGAATAATGCATCGTTTTTGCATATTATTAAATAATGATCGGATAAATTCCTCTATGTTAATCCTACCAGAATACCAAGCTATCCCCTAAATATCAGGATTTCGAACCATTTATTAATGAAGCGATTTCTTTCAGTCTCCCAGCATGCAATCGCTTCGACATCCGTCGGCAGATCACCTGCCTCCCATACAGAACTCCAGCTCCGGGTCAGTTCCAGTGTATTTATTAGCCACATAAATACCTTACATATAAAATTACTTTTTTCTATTATACAGTTAGTAACGCATCTGAATTATTATAGTCAGCACACCAATCCATAGTAGCAATGTTATCGGCGTGTTGAGGCATGGATGCTAGAGGCCCAATGATATGTTTTTAAATTTTGTTCTTCATATTTGGAGGATAGAGTGGAACACTGATAGTAAGACTGATGATAATTATTTGGACTGATAATAATAAGCCGAGTTCCTTTTACTTTCGAAGAAAATTTGATGCTTGGTTATTTGATGGCGCAACATGAATCGACATGATCATTAAATCTTAACAGAAACGGTTTGATATTGCAAGCTTTCTATATAGATGAACACTAGGAACAACTTCGGAAATCTGTCATAAACTGGTTTTATGTTTTTATTTCATCTTTTGTAATCTAATAAATCAACAAATCAAGTCTTTGTGATAATAATTCAAGAAATAAAGTCAAATTTAATTTAATTATGAAGGCTTTAATAAAGTTATTTTTAAATAATATGTTGATTTTAAATTAATCCTTAAACTTTTACGGTGTTCATCAGGAACGAGCCCGACCGTCTGTTCAGAGCGCGTCGGCACAGCATCGGCAGCCTGCAGAGCTTGCGTAGCCCTAACAGGTCTGTTGTCTCTATTGTTATAAACAGGTCTGTTGTGTCTCTATTAAAAGGTCTGTTAATTGTCTCTATTGTAATATATAGATATGCTGCGCCTCTATTGTTATAAGCAGGTATGATAAGCCTCTGTAAAGAGATTTGTTGCGTCTGTATCGTAATACACTGGTCTGTTATGCCTTTATTATATTGAATATGTCTGTTGTGTCTCTATTTTAATACATACTCTGTTGCGCTTCTATTGTAATAAACATAACCATGTCTGCAGAAGTCTTCTCAGTCATGAAGTACTCAGTCATATAATAACTAACAATATTTATAATTATCTATTCATAATAATATATATTCATTGGTTATCTTGTATGTCGTGGTTCATCGCTCACTGGTTTTCATGGTATATCGTACACCATTTTTCATGGTTTATCTCAGTTATCCTGAATTATTATACACTGGAGCGCTGGTATATAATGATTATAAAGGATTTATGAATCTTTGTTTGGCGCACACGTGCCATGGCTATCGTGGCATGATCATGCCACCGTGGCATGATTGGGGCCATCGTGGCATGATCATGCTATCGTGGCATGATTGGGGCCATCGTGGCATGATTGGGGCCATCGTGGCATGATCATGCCATCGTGGCATGATTGGGGCCATCGTGGCATGATTGGGGCCATCGTGGCATGATCATGCCATCGTGGCATGATTAGGGCCATCATGGCATGATCATGGTACAGCTCAGTTACACTGAGAGTTCACCTGCATGATCTGCAGATTTCGCGGTATTTTTTGGAACTTATTTTCATATAAAAGAGTTTTTATTAATTTAGTTATCTATTTACCGGTTTTAATTGTTTTTTTATTTGTAACTTGTGTTCATTGGCCTTCTCTGGTTCACATTTTGTATTTAAACGAGTTTTTTTCGTACAAACTAATTGAAATTTTGTCAATACGGCTACAGAATATAATTTTATGTTGATATATTTACAGAATTGAATTTTGTCTTAACAAGTTATACGAAACCCCTTAAGTTTGTTAATTTCTTCAAACTTCAATGCTTTATCGACCCTCGTATGTCATCTTATTTCGCTTTGGCTGCTGCTCGTTTCTAGAAAACAAGGGAAGAAAGAAGGAAGGGAAGCATCCTCAGCTATCAAGATTATCTTCAACAATAAACTTGGATTCACTTTGTTTTTTCATTTCGTTTTGTAAAATATTGAGGTTGGACATTCGTGAATGTTTATAAACTGTCGAATAAAGAAATTAAGTCCACGGGCAGGTTTCACTTGGTGTTTGGATGTTAATGTCTCTAATATCCCACACCTGTTCAGTAGTTATATGTCTCTAATATTCCACACCTGTTCAGCAGTTATATGTCTCTAATATTCCACACCTGTTTAGCAGTTATATGTCTCCAATATTCCACACCTGTTTATCAGTTATATATGTCTCTAATATCCCACACCTGTTCAGCAGTTATGTCTCTAATATCCCACACCTGTTCAGCAGTTATATGTCTCTAATATCCCACACCTGTTCAGCAGTTATACGTCTTTATTTCCCAAGTAATAAGCAGCTGTTACATATCACCTGATAAGCAGCTGTATACATACCACCTGATAAACAGTTTTGTTTCTGTGCGCACCAGTTCATCACAATTTTTGTTTGTATGGTTCCCACATGATACTCAATTTAGCTTCAGTTTTTCACGATTACTGATGGATAGTTTTGCAATTTCTCATTTTTCAGCCCAATTTACATTTTGTTGTATTTCCACGGGTTTATTTGCATAGTTTTATAAATGTTTTCTGCACTAATGACGTATTTAAATTCACTCATAATCTATATCTTTACTAATGTATTCATCCCTAATTGATCATTTATTCAAATTTTAAAATCGGATGATCTTGAAACCACAATTAAATTATTCGAGTATATGAAATTGTATTAAGCTAGTTCAATGAAAACCAGCAACCGTTCTGAATTTTAATTTCCAGTATCATCCTACATGCCAAAAATATTTATCTTCTTCAACTATTTTTTTTTATTTTGATAGTAAGGACAGACGCGTAAATGTCATTGAAAATGAATCTATGAAGACCTATAAATCATGAGGAGTGAATAGTAAATTACTCTACTTCATAATTAGTATCGTCATCGAAGCTTTTCACCGCAACTGATGGAGATCTAAGGAAACTCGATTCAATCATATCCCTACATTGCTGAATCAAATACTATTATATTATATATTATATCAATAAATACTACATTGCTTATTCAAATACATTGCTGAATCAAATATTTTTTGTCTCGTAATGAATCTTTCCTCACGAATCTTTAGTTATTATTGATATATGTTTTCAGTTTGGTCAATCTGAACATTTTGTTTCTCTGTATTCCTTTATTTTCAAGTCCAGTTGATAAGAAATAGTTGATTAACGCTGCGGTCGAGTTTATGGTGACGAACATTCATGTAATATATGGTCTTTTCCTGTTCATTGAATTACGTATAGCTCATGCACAGCGGAATCCAATTTAAAATACACATTTATTCAAGCTCAGAAGCAACCAGCGTTCGCAAAATGTTATCGTTTTCCTAATTCGAATCGAGGAGCATTTTTTTACCACTTCACGCATAGCCTCAGGTCCCTTTTTGTAGGACCAAAAGAAGAAGGGGAATGTATTATACAAAAATTCTTTTTCCGTGTGACTTTGTTATTTAGTTTACACAGGAAAAGAACAGGAAAAATGTTTCCTATTGTCCTTACCTGCGCCTCGAAGCTAAATGTGTAGGCTTATCGGCCTGTGCATCCAAAATTGTATGGAAAATTAAATCGTCTTCAGACAAAATGAGATCTTCCTATAGTACAAAGAGGGTCGAGACGCCAGTGCAACCAAAAGAATTAGTGTCGATCTGAACTGCTTCTTTCTTTCTTTTACCGTTTTTTGTTTGGTTTTGTTGTTTTTGGCACTAAAGGCTTTAATTTGGTGTATATTTTCAACGTCGCTAATCTCTCCAACTTGATTTCATTATCAAATTTATATTATGAATTTTTATTTCAGTATAGTAAAGCTGGTTTTAGCTGATCACGCTCATAACTTGTTCTGATCAAGCTTCGTCTTGTATTGACGGATGGTTTGTCCGTATCCAGTTCCGCAGGCGCGGCTAAAGGTGGCGATGTTCTACCGCCAATCGACCGTAATCGCTCCAATAGCCTGATTGGCGTGGACGGCCAGCCAATATCTCCGAAGCTCTTCAACTGGCCAGGCCGCGAATCACCTTCTGATCAGCGGCCTCGGTCCACCATACCGCCCATCCGTCCCACCTTCCGCGACTATTACCCCCACTTAGCGTCGGAGAAATCGAGCTTTGGGTCGGCATCTCGCTCCACTTCCCCGTCCACTCCGAAATTCCCTAATAAGAACAAGCCTTTACCTCGCATATAAAGCAACGTACTGCTTGCCTCCCTCGCGCTTACCTTTTTTCTTGGAATCTTTTGCGACTTTGCTTTCTTAATTCTCACGACTCCTTAACACTAACGCCTCTGAGGCTCTGCTTAACCTTACGATTTTCTTAATACTTTGTTTCTATTGCTATCACTGAAGCTTCTCACACTATTCCTTCTTTGAAGGGACTTTACTTTTATTATTAAACTTACGAATTTACGGACTAAGTTCGATAATTTCACTGGACTATTTGCTACAATTTCCAAACATCTCCCAGCCGCATCCTTCTGCTACACTTTTTAACAGTTTATTTTAAGCAAACAATCTCTCAAATTGTCTGCTAGTTTTTTTTTCTGATCGTATGACATCACAGGCTATTTCATTGTAGAACATTTTTCTCTCAACAACGTTTCTTGATGCGAGGAAACATTTGGATCATCAGTTCGTATCTCTTATTGTGAATCTTCTAAATTGATTGATTGAATATTTTGTCGTTGCATGTTTAATATTTAGTGTATTAAATATTTATTTATTATTTCATTTATTAAATCACATGCATGAAACGAATTCGTGAACGATACACGTATAGACAACCCTAAACGCTTTTATACTCGTGTAAAATAAATCAAAGTTTTAATTTAATAATTATATATTCATATTTAATCTATAATTAAATCTGTTTATCAGATTTATAGTTCCATTGAAGAGAATGTAAAATTTTTAATTTTCTCTCATTTACATTTGACACTGAAATCAAAATTAATTATAAAACTAAAAAATTCTGCTTAGAAAATTCTAGAATAACAATCCTAAAATAAAAATGAATTAGTTTCGAAACTTTAAATCTTCACAACCTAATGATATTGTTCACGATCGCGTGTATTTTCCTTCGAGAATCTTAACACGCATGATATTCCACATTTGTGTGTAATTATACACAGTGTCTGTGTACAACATCTCTGTGTTTCACCTTATTTTTTCGTTTGTTGTTAATATTCATTTCCGTTTATGCATTTAATACATGCGCTGCTTCAGTGCATTTAGCAGCTCGATATGCTTGCCTAAGTTGTTGGGTTTGGCTTCTTGTAAAATTGAAAATCTATTGCATAAAAATTTCCTGACTTGTTCGAAAAAACTTGTTCCTTTGGGCTTGATTCCTTTGTATTCAGCTTTCATTTCATTGCATTTAAATGCGATATTTGCTTTATCTGTGCATTGTCTTACGTTTCCGTAAGGGCATTTTTGTTGCTTCAAGTTCAAACTTGATCGCGTTAGCCTGATATCCAAATTCTTGTGAAGGCAGTCTGTCTTCGTGACAACTTCATGACAACTTTCTTCACATTTTTACTTGGATGTGTACAGTTCAGCATATTTTTCTTATATTTAAGTAATAATAATAATAATGGCAAGTACAAGTTGAACATGTTATGTTGACTCATTATTAAGGCATTTAACGAGCCATCAATTAAAAACTTTTATAAAATTAGGTAATATTTATAGCTGTACAATTACGTTACATCCTGTCAGATAATATATAATCTTTATATAAGACAAGCTTATTACAAGTACTTAATACCTTGTATTTTAAAGCTGCATTCACGTCTAGTTACCGAATAAAACATTTACATGTAAGCTACGTTCGCATCTTGTTGAATAACAATTCATCTTATTAACTGCGTTTACGCCTAATTAACGAATTAATCTTGTATTTTTAAGATGCGTGTAAGTTTATTTAATGAATCAACCTTGTACTTATAAGCTGTCTTCACGTATATTTAAGGAATTAACCTTGTACTTATAAGCTGTCTTCACGTATAGTTAACGAATCGAGTTAACTGCATTCGAGGCTTGTTAACGAATTAGCCTTGCCTTGTAGCTTACGTTTGCGTGTAAACCTAACGTTCGCGTCTACGTAATAAGTTCTGCTTACGTATCTACTGTTATATTTGAAGTCGTCTCAATTTTGTATGATCCCAATCACTCCCGATATTATTTTTGAAATCTGGTAATTTTTGGGCGCACCATTTGTCGTAAATATAAATTGTAATTGTCATATTAAACGCAACGCCTGTGTCATATTAAACGCACAGCATTCCAAATCTTTAGCGTATGCCTTAAATGATCGTCTATGGATAGATACTTTAAGTAGTATTTCAGACTGACTATGAAACATTTTTTTATTCGGATAAAATATGTATTGCTTGAACAATTTCTATAAATTATGACATTTTATTTTGTTTTTTGTAACTGATTATCAAATTTGCATAAATTGACTTTGGTCGCTTGATAATTTTTTGCGTTGATTTGTGTCTTTCCCTTTCTGGATACTGAAGAACAACAATGATGTGATCAATAATTAACTGTAACTCGTATAACTTGTATTTCTGTGTTATAATTAGTAACATCATATATGCTATTGTTGTCTCTGACTATGACTGTTTCTTGTAGGGCTCTTATAGCCACACTTCTTACTTAAATATAACTATATTCTCATGATTCCAACTTGCATATGACTTGACTCTCATGCTTCTGACTAAAATCTGTCTTGCCTTTTATGTTCCTGAATCAAATCTGTCTTGAACTTGTGCTTCTAACTCAAATCTGGCATGAATTTTATACTTCTAACCTGAATATGACTGAACTTTGTGCTTCTAATTCAAGTCTGACATGAATTTTATACTTCTAACCTGAATATGACTGAACTTTTGTGCTTCTAACTTAAATATGACTGGACTTTCATGCTTCTATCTCAAATCTGTCTTGATTTATATGCTTCGATCTCAAATCTGACTTTACTGTCAGAGAATGTGACTTGTTCAAACTCTGTGTCAGGACTCCTGAGCTAGGTCTTCAGCCCCAGTATGAAATAGTCTCCCTTCGAAATAAATAAAACTTGTTTTCTCTCCTTCCCTTTCCCCTTCAGTTGTTGTTATCTCGTCAGTGTAAGCGTGCGTTTTGATTTTTTTTTTAATTTCCGTGCCTGTAAATTTCAGTTCCAAAAGGTTTTGTAAGCTTCGAGTGATCGAGAAGATCGTCTGAGTTGATATATAATGCGGTAAAATAAATATTAAAATATAACTTTTATGAAAACAATATTTTTGAGAGTAATAAATGATTATTGAATTTCAATGAATTAGCTGTTGTATGAATTTTCATTTAGCATTGGATGATTTTTTTCTGCTTGAGTGAATTATTATGACGAGAATTATTATGAATATGAATGTATAAATATGAAGAATATCGAGTAATAATACATTTTCATGCACAGCCGCTGGAATCCATGACTTATATCTGGTGTTGATATATGTCTGGTATATCTTTTCAGATAGTTTAACCTTGATGTACATGGGCTGATATTACCGTAAGGTATATGTGCTATATGGTGTTATATATGGGCTGATATTATCTTGATGTATATGTGTTATATGGTGTTGTATATGTGCTGATATTACCGTAAGGTATATGTGCTATATGGTGTTGTATATGTGCTGGTATTACCATGTTGTACATGTGCTGGTATTACCGTAATGTATATGTGCTATATGGTGTTGTATATGTGCTGGTATTACCGTGATGTATATGTGCTATACGGTGTTGTATATGTGCTGATATTATCGTGATGTATATGTGCTGGTATTACCGTGCTGTCTCTTATACACATCTAGATGTGTATAAGAGACAGGCTATACGGTGTTGTATATGTGCTGGTATTACCGTGATGTATATGTGCTATACGGTGTTGTATATGTGCTGATATTATCGTGATGTATATGTGCTGGTATTACCGTGATGTATATGTGCTGGTATTACCGTGATGTATATGTGCTGGTATTACCGTGATGTATATGTACTGGTGTTGCCGTGTTTTATAAGTGCTAGTGTTACCGTGTTTTATAAGTGCTAGTGTTACCGTGATGGATAACTAGCGATTAGTTGAAAATTTTTGTTTAATATATATATGTGCTTTAAAGTGTTGGTGTGAATTTTCGTTTAGCATTGAGTGATTTTTGTGTGCATTTAATAATTTGACACATTTGTGGTACTCATTCTCAAATTCACAAACATATTCGAGGAATTCAAACAATATTTTAATCTTCATCCGAAGAGAAATGACTGTAACTGAGAAATGACTGTCTTTGTTTAATTATTGTCCAACGAAGCATTTCTTGTTTCCAACCACCAATACTTCTGTAATCCTTGATTTTAATGAACCGATTTCCCTGTTACCAACATCGTACCTCGTACAACATTGATTGGAAATTGATCGAACATTTAATTCGGACTGGACGAATTGGCAACTCTTAATATCCAGTGGATATTAAGTAGTTGATTAAGTAGATATTGATCAACTAATTAAAATCTTAATAAACTCTTAATCTACATATTTTTGCGCGAGGCCGTTGAGTCTTGGAAGTCTATCTGATACTTCAACACTCCTCCACCATCTAATGCTACACTTCGACTTCTTATTTATGTCAAAAACCTCCAGAATTGACCGACGTTCTGATCTAACTCGACAAATTTTACTGAAACATTCATCTCCCACATTACTCTCAGAATATTTCGCTCTCATGGGCAACTTTCTTGCTTCTTCTTCACCCTATACTTTGTCTTTTCCATTACCCCAAAGTTTTCTCTTCAATCGCCGTATTTCCTGTACTCCTTGATCTTTTAACGACCAATATTACCCTAAATACTTCTCTTTAATTGTCGTATTTCCTGAACTTCTTGATCTTTTAACGACTAATATTTCCCTAAATTCTTTCCTTTATAAGCACCGTATTTCCTATACCTACTCTTTGATTTTTTCATCGACCGATATTACCCTAAATTTTCCCATTTAATCTCCCCATTTCTTGTACTTCTTGATCTTTTAACGACCAAAATTTCCCTAAATTCACCCCTTTTAGCACCGTATTTCCTGTACTCTTTGATCATCTCATCGGCCAATATTTCCCTAAATTCTCCCCTATAAGCACCGTATTTCCTATACTCTTTGTTCATTTCCTCGGCCAATATTTCCCTAAATTCTTCCCTTTAAGCACCGTATTTCCTGTACTCTTTGTTCATTTCATTGGCCGTTAAACAACAGTTCGGCCTCATCGTCCCTGCCTGCCTCGTCGAGCGTGAGACGCGTGCTTCTGCCACCCATCAAGCCCAGCATCAGCAGCTGTGAAGTCTTCTCGGGCGCCGAGCTACAAAGGAAGATGCAAGCGCTTACCTACACCAACCTCGCCATCAAGTGAGTCGCCGGTGGTACAACGCGACAGTTAAATTCCTCTAGTTGAATCACCATTTAGTTAAATAACAGCGCTCACCTACACCAACCTCGCCATCAAGTAAGTCGCCGGTGGTACAACGCGACAGTTAAATTCCTCTAGTTAAATCACCAAATAGTTAAATAACTTTACCAAATATTTCCTCTAGTTAAATGACATTGAGAAAACGATTGTTACGAGTTTATTTCGTTGAAACAACGTTTAATCAACCTTGTTTCCAGATGCGCAGTGGTTTGGTAATCTTGTACCGATATGTGTGACACTTGGTACGCGTGTACCGAAGTGTGCAACACTTGGTACTACTGTAGTAACTGTACCGAAATGTGAGACACTTGGTATTTGTGTACCAAAGTGACGCTAAGGTTGAGATTTTTTCCAGGTGAACGTTCAACGATGACAGTTTTGTTGCCAGTTGACTGCATGGTTCGCTTGGCAACATTAATGTCGATTACGTTTTTTTGCTGCTAGAACTGAACAAATTTTCCACTCACGTGGATATAAAACGTGCATCCATTGAACACACGCGCAAAAACAAATAAATTTTACATGCACGAGGAATACAAAACACGTTTTCAACTCACGATTACAGCCGTAGGAAAATGTTAACAAGTCAACATAAAATTTATGTTGACTCAATTATCTGTTTTGCAGGCCGCGCTCGCACCGTCTCAACCAGCTGGACCGGGCTGACAAGCTCCCCCTGCGCTCCCCTCCTCTCGTGCCTAGCATCTCAAGAACGTAAGTCTCTAGTCCCGGGGTTATGTTGGAAAAAAATACATTTATATCCATTTATTAATAATGGATTATAAAAATCCATTTAATACACGTGTATTAAATATAACCGCGTAATGTCGAGCTTATATGAGCAATATTTTAATATATAGATTGTTTACGGAGTTAAATCATGAAATTAAAAAATATTTCCACGCAAATTTCCAACTTTATCGATTTTCCGCAAAACTATTTGTTTTCGTTATGAATTTTTCAAAATTTTCGCTGAGTGAATGCAACAGATTTAATAGATAAGAAAAAATTTAGGTTGATGAGACATGCAAATTATAAACTGATGATATTGTAACGTCAATCTGAAATAGTGTACATTGAGACTATCGCTCTACCGAAACCTGATAAACATATACAGTAATATACATATATTCATATCAATGTGAATTTGACAATCACAGGAAAGAGCCGAGTGATCTATAAATTTGAAGTTTATCGGTAGTGATTTTAAAGATATCAATTATTAATAATTATTATTATAATTTATAAATAATTATTAAATATTATTTAATTTATAATTTATTAGATAATAATAAATAATTAATTATTATATTTCAATAAATAATTATCATATTTCAGGCCGAGACTGTCTATTAGTGACGACGAGCTATCCACCATTGATCTGCCCTTAAGTCCACCCCCCAAGACAGACAGGTTAGTCCATGGTTGAAGTAATACTATTAATATTAATATTAATGAATTAATTAATAATAAAATTAATAATTAATATTAATTCAAACATGGGTTAGTCTGTCGCAGTCACTTATCCATGCCTGCAATCGCTGGACAAGATAACATTGATAAATTAAATGCAATAGTAAAAAGTTAAGATTATTACAAGACTAGTCTGATTGGAAATTATTTCATGACTCATCTCACTGGAGATAAGTTCATGACTCATTTGACTGGAGATTACGGTATTTCATGACTTATTTGATTGGAGATTATTCCAAGACTCATCTGATTAAATTTAAAGCTTAATTCTCCACACACACGCGGTTGACGGCTTTATTGTGACCGTGGTGCTAAGTTTTGCGCGGACAATTTCAAGCGGGAAATATTAACTGCTATTTGCCTCTACTCTGAAAATAACAAATGTATGTTAGTACGTCGAAGAAGAAAATTATTTACTGATCTAATCCAACATGATTAGACAAGATAAATTCAATTTGAGCTGTTAGGCAATTACAAAAATTTACAAGTTCATACTCATTATTATTAATATTATTGTTATCATTATTATTACCATTAATTTTAATTTTTTTGGCAAAGATCGCGACCTAAAGACCGGAACAAACCAGCGTCCAAGTCTATAGGTCCTTCCCCGTCATTGGCGCAGAACATCAGGTCAAACCAACCCAAAACTTTAAAGAAAACAACGCCGAGAGGAAACTCTGTCCCAAGTAAGGATCTCTGTATGGAATTACTGAATACTAGAGTAGTGATCAAATCTAAATTGAAATAACTCTGAATTTATATTTATATAATTTATAATTGTGCCAATATTGTACTAAATTCTGAAGGCCTGCCTTGATAAGTATGTCTATAGACAAGATTGAGTTACAATGAGATTAATGGTTTACCGGTTCAAATTTCAAATGACTTCCCGGTATTTTCACTCACAACTCGCTTAACTACACGTAACGGCTTAAGTACACGTAACGGCTTAACCCTCTATATATACCGCTTGACACGAGTAACCGGAGAAATATTGTCACAAGCTTACTTCCCAAAAAGGATACGTTCTAGTGAGCGCAAAATGTCTTGCACTGATGGTTGCCGCCACGTACAACAACTGTAAAATGTTCTCTGCAGCGTACAAACGTCCTCAGGTTGCTACACTCAATAGTTTACGTATAATTTAAGTTGAAAGTTATGTTCAAGGAGAGTGACACACGGCGGTAGAGGGTTAAGTTCACGTCACGGCTCAAGTTCACGTAACGACTTGAGTGCACGCAGCGGTCTATGTACACGTGACGGCGCGCTATTCTTGGCTGTGATTGGTGGGTGTAGCTTGAAAAGCCGTCTGATTGGCTGACGGAGTTACGAGCTCGTAACTATTATAGATTGTCATGCATTTGCAGAGCACCTACTGAATTCTCTTGTTCTGCGCTTCAACTTTGTTAATACTGCCCTAACCTGCTGGTACGAACATGCAAGAAATAAAAAAAAGAAATAATACTTAGAATTTTTTTTATGCTTCTATTGTTCTTCACGTGTCAGAATTTCGTAAATCCCGATAATGATATCAAAACATTTTACGATATTTTCTATCAGATCAAAACTTTTGCGGTTCCCTCACATTTAAGTGGAATACACATAACTAAATCAGTTAACATCAATGTTAACTCAAATAACAAGTTATTATAAAAACGCTTTCATCTTTATTGTTCATAACGAACGTTGCCAGAATTAAGTACGTCCGCTGTTTGCAACATAAACTATAGAACAAATTTTAACACTTCAGCGCGCGCTGTCGTTGATTTGAGGAGAAACGGCTTATGCAACGCGAACCTTTTGATGTTTAAATTACGATTGTTTAATTGAATCATAGGTTTGATAAAAGTGTCTGTTTTTATTATTGAACAGGTCGTGGAATCGGTCATTGAAGTTTAATTTAATGATGAGCGGAAAGGAACAGTCCTAATAACTAAAAAAAAATTCTGACATGCCATAGTGATCAAAATTACATGAGGTATAGCGTGTGAGATGGGCAAGAGGCATGGTTGAACTATGTAAGATTGATCCTTCCGCGGTCACCCAGGTTCGGCCCCCGAGAAGTTCCGTCTTTCAGTTCAGCTTTCTTGTTACGTCACTGAGAGCGAAGAAACTTAAACAAACCCGTCATTCCCATGACGGATTGGTTGACTGATTTGATCGCATTTCGGTGATTGGTTAATGCCCGTGACGTCACTGAGATCAGCGACGTCACAGGCGAGCAACAAACTACATCCGCAAAAATTAGCTTCTCATGGGTTAACCTTATACTAGTTCAACCATGGCCATGTGTGCATGCATTCCAGACTCAGTCTCAACAGCAAAGGTCCGCGTTACCATCAGCCCAATTTTCGGACCGTGTTACTGCATTGGTATGGTCTTTACGAATAGAATGGTATATGTCTCATTGCTGTAACTTCAAAACCCTAAGAGGAGATAGATTTCTACAGTACCCCCTTTTTTGTCCGTTTTCTATGAATTTCACGTTTTCTAGCAATTTTTTCGAAAAAATTACACGAACAAAAATGTCTTAGAATTCTGTTTTACATAAGTGTACCAAGTTTCAGAGTGATCCGTCCATACCCAAAAAGTTTTTCTGGAGGGTATACCTCCCCCTTAATGCCCGTGACGTCACTGAGACCAGTGACGTCACAGGCGAACAACAAACTACATCCGCAAAAATGAGCTTCTCATGGGCTAACCTTATACTAGTTCAACCATGGCCATGTGTGCATGCATTCCAGACTCAGTCTCAACAGCAAAGGTCCGCGTTACCATCAGCCCAATTTCCGGTGATACGAGCGTTAACTAATGTAATTGTACGTGTTTCGGAATGCTTTATCCTTTATAAAAGGAGAAAATTTGGCCTAAATTGTTCTACCATTTCCTTAAAAACATAAATTGTAAGGAAACGACGTAAAAACTTCCAAGAATCGGTGAAGTTTGCACAATTAATAGCAATAATTAATTTATTTTACTTTTCCTGGCACAAATCGCTTGGAACCACATTTAAAAATCTCGTAAAAAATATGCATTTCAGTTGTTTTCTAATTATATTCAATAAATTTCAACTAAAATTAATATGATTGAATTGAAGGAACCACGAAGCTCGGAGTGGCAGCGATCGCAGGTCGTGGGGCGCCCAGGGCCCCCCAGGCCCCCAAGAAAGCCCCCGTCGGTGTGGGGAACACGGCTAGAAATTCAGGAGATTATTTAAACAGAAGAAGAAGAAGCAAATCGCACGACGCCTTCAACTTCGCCGGCATCGCACGGTAGCGATGACAGCGCAGCACGAGACAAAAGTTCATCCGATATATTCTTTGGCGTTCCTTTACGTCTGTTTTAATAGAATATCTCATTTATTATGATAACAAATTTAGTTTTTCTTCACCTGTTCAGCTTCATCGTCAGCCTAACGAAATGTAACTGTTTCATTTTATGTGTACAAAGATTGGATTTTATCCGTGTTAAATTTTTTTTCCAGCCCCTGAACGCAGACAAATCCTGCACGTCACTCTCTCCTAGACTGACCAAGTAACAAATTAAAGAAATTACCCAGATAAATCAACTTGCGTTCATCTCTTAATATCTCTGATTAAATTAGAAATATAATCGAACTGAAAAACGTGGATATGCTTTTTACAATATAAAAAATATTGATTTTCGAACGTATTTTGTGCAATAGAAAAATCTAATCCCGAACTTTTACAATATTTGCTGATAATAAGTGTGGATATCTGATCAACCTTATGTGTCTGAATTATTACATTTCATTATCTGAACAATAGCAGATGTTGGTATTAGTACTACATACTACAACTGGGTACGTGTGTACACGAGTAGCTAGAGAACAAAATATAGCAGCGCGTTTTGTGTGCCACTGTACCCAACATTTACCTCATACCCAACAGGAAATTAGTTCAGAACAAACAACTCAAATTTCAGGGAAGCTTTTAAAACCAATAAATAATCGCGCACATATAATAATAAAGCAATAATATTATTATGATGATACGTATCTTGCATACGTTCTCTTCCGTCCATGTCTAAATATCACTTACAATCCACTTCATGAACTTCAAACAGAATACTCCTTGTTTATGGAAGTTCATCAAGAAACTGTATATTATCATTTTCCCGATTAAAATCATGTAGTTATAAATTTTTCGTCGAAGTATTCTATGAGCTAAGATATTTTTCTTCGTTTGAAGGAACAATTAAAAGTTTTAGTAAGAGCGAAGTGGTTAAAATCATGTATAGTTATAAATTTTTCGTCAAAGTATTCTATAGGCTAAAATTTTTTTCTTCGTTTGAAGGAACAATTAAAAGTTTTAGTAAGAGCGAAGTGGTTAAAATCATGTAGCTATAAATTTTTCGTCGAAGCATTCTATAAGCTAAGATATTTTTCTTCGTTTGAAGGAACATTAAAAGTTTTAGTAAGAGCGAAGTGGTTAAAATCATGTAGCTATACATTTTTCGTCGAAGTATTCTATAAGCTAAGATATTTTTCTTCGTTTGAAGGAACAATTAAAAGTTCTAGTAAGAGCGAAGTGGACGACGCGTGTCATTCTCTTTATTGAGCTAAGGAGACGGTCGCAGCACTTACAGTTTTGTACTATTCATTAAGTGAATAAAAATAAGCATTGCTTGAACCATCAAGTTTTAACAACAACAACAACGAAGGATTGAGATTAAGCATCTTGACTCTACACTAAATACAATATTTAAAATTTCCACTCATATCGTACAAGAGGTATACACATAACCATTCATAACGAACACACTGCAATTCCCCTTACTCAAACATGTTATCGTACACTTATAAACTAAAAAAATTATTTATTTCGCCAGTGCTGATTCACATGATCACACCGATTCCATTTAGCGTGAACATTTAGTGATGTTAATGTGGCGGTACATCTATACTACCTAGTTTAATTAGAACTGTGGCGGGTCAAAATGAGTATTAGTAACTACTTTCAAAACGGAAAATTTTCAAAACAAAAAATATACTTGGATCGCGGCTAGGCTAAATGTCGATACAGTTAAATTGTCAATTCGTACGGATATGACTGGAGAATTTCAATACCGAGAAACGACGAACAATTGAATTTAACACAAATTTTTATGATGAACGAGATTGCCAATTGTTAAGCGAGGTTGTGGCTACAATTCAATAAAAATGCAAAAATTGAAAACAACTGTTGAATAAATTAGGCGAATTGATGGCATTTGTTAGGCTTCTGTCGAAGAAGTAGCCGGTCCGACAAACATGGCCAAAACCACAAACCAGAATATCAAATATTAGAACAAAATATTAAATATTCAACAGATTAAACTAGAAAGCAAACCTATACACTCTCCACGAATGTTTCCAAGAAGACACTTACAGGCAAGATCTAATTTCACGTGCGGTAAACATATACAGCGCAGCACAAACGTCGGCATATAATAAACAACTTGGATTAACAAACGGCGCGTTCATCACTCGTTAATGTACCTGAGATAAGGAGAGACTAAATCATCACCGTGGTCATTATTCGCTCTACTCTACAGTAAATTATACCCAGACTAATTTATCCTCGAATAAACAGGGTTTAAAAGATTCACAATAAATCTTGCAGAAGACAAAATAAGAGTAAACATTTTACAATATCTGGCCTGAACTGAGCAGTTGTATCTGAAGCTGATACACAAGACGGCAAACAGGTATATTAGAAGTTATACCAAAAAAAGCATACCTACTAGAAGTTATACCAAAGAAAAAACTTCCGAATTGCCGAAAGCAAAACAAAACAAATATCACACACTCAAGGCAGCAGAAACCAGCTCGCTGTTATACTTCCCGAAAAGACGTCAAGCACAAGAATTACATATCATGCAATTGATATAATAAAAATATTGGATAAATTAATGGCACCAAAGCAAGAATTAAGGAGTCAGTCTTTCAATTTGATTTACAAGTAATTGTTTACTAAATTGTTCATTTTGGAGGTGGAGAGAAAGCTTGAGACAATAGTTCCCCAATTAATTCCTCTTCAGACTTCGTAATTTAAACATCAAATGAGCACCCAACTCGTGAAGCGAAGCTGAAACAATGTGAACCGCAAAGATGCGAGACGCGATACAAGATGGACCACAAAGATGTGAGACACGATACAAGGTGAACCACAAAGATGCGAGACGCGATACAAGGTGAACCACATAGATGTGAGACGCGATACAAGGTGAACCGCAAAGATGCGAGACGCGATACAAGGTGAACCGCAAAGATGCGAGACGCGATACAAGGTGAACCGCAAAGATGCGAGACGCGATACAAGATGGACCACAAAGATGTGAGACGCGATACAAGATGGACCACAAAGATGTGAGACGCGATACAAGATGGACCAGAACGCTAGAAGTTAAACTTATATTTAGATTGTTATTTCTTCTCCGTTTTAGGGAGAAGTTAAAAATCAAAAGAAGACGAGGGTAAATTTATAACAAGGATAAACAGCAAGTTGAAACCCTATTGAATAACAAAAATTAATATAACACTTGATGAAGCGAATTCTCGGAGCGAGTTGGCATTGGATTATGTTAAAGCGTTTCATAACAAGAATACGCATGCGTTACAAGGGGAAGACAATCCTCAAAAGAGAAACTTCAACTTGAACAGAGAATAAAAATTTTCTTGACATATTAGCTAGGCTATTAGTCAGGGCAACGTTTCTCTGTCCGGAGCAGACCACTTATAAGAATAACGGTCTATTTTAGAAAGGGAAAAATCAACAAAAAGGAGTGAAAAAATCAACACCTAATCAGAGGTACAGTCTCTGTCTCGGCAAGACGCCTAGTCAGAGGTACAGTCTCTGTCTTGGCAAGACGCCTAGTCAAAGGTACAGTCTGTCTTGGCAAGACGCCTAGTCAGAGGTACAGTCTCTGTCTTGGCAAGAGCCGAGTCAGAGGTACAGTCTATGTCTTGGCAATACTCCTAGTCAGAGGTACAGTCTCTGTCTTGGAGAGACACCTATTCAGAGGTACAGTCTCTGTCTAGGCAAGACTCCTAGTCAGAGGTACAGTCTCTGTTCAAAGTACAGCCAGAGGCCCCCGACACGGCGATCTGTCGCGACCCCATGCTGCTTGCCAGCACTTGGGCGGCCAGCATCTCAGCACTGTCAGGGTGCCCGTTCATACCGGACAAATGCCCATCGCTGTTAATCATGTTGTGGTTGCTGGAGAATTTGTTACTTTGGGAACTGTCAAAGTTATTATTGGAGTGGTTCCCAGAAGATAGGTTAGTGGTCACTAGTCTCCCGTTGCCGGTCATGGTGTAGACGACATTGCCGGAATCACTAATGTGAGAGCCACTGCAAGCAATGGAGTATGGCGATGATACAGAATGAGATTTCCGAATAGAAATATTTGTGTCGTCATCTCTTTTGCGTTCCTCGTCGTGAGGTTCACGTTTCACCACCGACATGTTAGGGAAGACCGAAGACATTGCCTTGACATCCACGGAGCCTTGAGGTTGTGATGTCACCGGTAAAATTATATGAGTGGAAGAGCCACGAGCCAAAAATAACTGATTGCCACCATTGGATTGCGTGGCCAGGATCATGGAGCCCACGGGATGTTGTTGCTGAGATGTCACAGGCAAAGTGACATTGATGGTTCCAGATGGTTGGTGTGAAGCTTGAGCCACTAGCTTACCAGCTATGGGTTTAAGTAACGGCATCTTCTTAGCGACACACAAGTTCTTTCGTTGATCCCTTACTGGGGTTTGAGCTACAGCTGAAATAGGGATGTGTCGGAACTGTCTGCCGTTGTTTCCTCCGTTTTGATCTTCAGTGTCTGAGGAGTGGCTGCGTTTAAGTACCGCCAGAGCCACGTTTGTTGAAGCACCCTCAGAATTTTGCCGAGCCTCTAACCCTGCGTTGTATGTCCCGTCAATGTTGTCTTCTTGAGAACCCGAGTTGTTAGAACCGTAGTCAACGCTGTTGTTGTTATTACAGTTATTGCCATCAGCGTGGACAGTCAAATTTACCAAGTTATTACTGGTAGATTTTACATAGTTTTGGCTGTTCCCCTGCCCTTCCATCTTCGGGTAAAGGATTTTTCTTGCATTGAAAGTCTGTACCAGCTGGTCATCCACTCCAGAAGGGTTATAAATCAGGAGTACAGGCTGATTACCAGCAGCGTTCTGCACAATACTCCCCGATAACGTGGCTCTTTGTACATTCTTCATGGAGCTCAGGATGGGGTGATGCGTTACCATGTTCGAGGCTCCTGAATTGTTGATATTTTCAGTAGCAACCTGCATCCCAGTGCCCACAGACATGGAGGTGACATCGCGCATTTGTTCTTGCGAAATCATCGTGACAGACTGGATCTGTTGAGGCATCTGTTGCTGTCTATTGGGCTGCTGTTGCTGAGAGAATGAACTGTTGTTGCAGTTAATCGAGTTGTTTTGGGATGTGATCATATTGCCCGAGTTTCGATTCGAGTTTTGAGAATCAGAGTCATTAATAATATACTCTGATTCCATTACCTCCATGTCCCTGTTGTTCGAATACGTCAGAACTCGACCACCACACGTCTCGACGTTCGAGTTTATGATGCTTTTGCTTGCAACTCGCGCCACAGGAGAGCCGTTATTGCTGCTGTGGATGATGATGTTGCCAAGGCGCGCGTGTCCGTTGATGATGCGTTGGTTAGAGTTGCCCTGGTGGTTGTGGTGGAGGTAGCGTGGAGAAGGCCCGTCGTTGTAGAGGACCTGCGTCTGCTGGCGGGATGAAGACGTCATCTCCATGCGCTCCTCGACGAGGGCGATGTCCCTCGTCGCCTGTAGAGCCTCGTCCTCAAATTTGACCTGGTCATCGTCCTGCTGGTACTCGGTCCTGCCACCATGCAATGAAATCATGAGATGAAAAACGTATACAAAATCATAACGAGAATATAAATACAATCATAATAAGAGAATGAAATCAATCCAGCAGTTGAAGCAAAAGTATACCTAGATAATGATTTTTAAGAATTAACAGATTAACGTGCTACATGAGAACAGTAATCCTTTCAAAGCATAAACAAATTAATGATATTAATCGCCATCAATCAGAAGTAAATAGAGTAATGTTTACTATTGAGTGAAAATAAATTCTCCAACAATAAACCGAACAAACTGGTGAACTAGTGACTTTTAAATAAATACCCTACAGCAGATGAAATGTGTATACAATATTACAATTCTATCAATTCAAAATGCGCTGTAATTATCTTCAGAATTGCATTGAGTCAGGCAGTCCCACGGCTTCAGTAAACTGTCCAGTAAAAGTTCTGAAACAAGGCCCGAGGCCCAGCAACTTACTAAAACGTCCATCAAAGTCTTAAAATAAAATAAGGCCCGAGGCCCAGCAACTCACTAAAACGTCCATCAAAGTCTTAAAATAAAATAAGGCACGCAGGAAGTCGTAGAGCTTCTTGCCGCGCACCTGCAGCGTGTACACCTCCTCGCCCATGTCTTCTGCTCAGAGTCACGTTTATACAATAACATCGAAATAGTGATAATTATGATAGAAATTAGTAGATCTTGATATAGGTGTTGGTATCATATCATGGCAAAAATTTCAATGATAATAATCATCTAAAATAAGCCTGCTTAGAGTTACGTTTATACAATAACATCGAAATAGTGATAATTATGATAGAAATCTATAGATCTTGATATAGGTGCTGATATCAGGTAATGATAGCAACTTCAATGATGAAAATCGTCTAAAATAAGCCTACTCTAGGGCACGCGCATACACTTATCAAATGGACAACTTTTTATACAATATGAATAGAATACAAACTATAATGTTGCTTGTGATAAAAAATACCATCAGTAATGACGTGCTAACGCTAAACTGTACAGCCACAAGCAACAAGATAGGGATATATTTAACGAGGCCTTCATCGCAACTCAACCCTGGTCAACCATAACGACGTGTGCCTAATAATGAGCGTTTAGTATCGATATTCACAAAGAATTACAGTGGCAGAACATATAATTTTGCTCCTAAGTTGTTATCTTCATAATTTACTGATCTACTTATGCGCAATGATCAATTATCTCCCAGAGCTGACATGACACACGTCACCCAGAGCTGACATGACTCACGTCACCCAGAGCTGACATGACTCACGTCACCCAGAGCTGACATGACTCACGTCACCCAGAGCTGACATGACACACGTCACCCAGAACTGTCATGACACACGTCACCCAGAGCTGACATGACTCACATCACCCAGAGCTGACATGACTCACGTCACCCAGAGCTGACATGACTCACGTCACCCAGAGCTGACATGACTCACGTCACCCAGAGCTGACATGACTCACGTCACCCAGAGCTGNTGCCTGACGTAGAGCAACGTGACCCACTTTGCCACACGACCCACCAGGAAAGTCATGCCTGACGTAGAGCAACGTGACCCACTTTGCCACACGACCCACCAGGAAAGTCATGCCTGACGTAGAGCAACGTGACCCACTTTGCCACACGACCCACCAGGAAAGTCATGCCTGACGTAGAGCAACGTGACCCACTTTGCCACACGACCCACCAGGAAAGTCATGCCTGACGTAGAGCAACGTGACCCACTTTGCCACACGACCCACCAGGAAAGTCATGCCTGACGTAGAGCAACGTGACCCACTTTGCCACATGACCCACCAGGAAAGTCATGCCTGACGTAGAGCAACGTGACCCACTTTGCCACATGACCCACCAGGAAAGTCATGCCTGACGCAGAGCAACGTGACCCACTTTGCCACATGACCCACCAGGAAAGTCGTGCCTGACGTAGAGCAACGTGACCCACTTTGCCACATGACCCACCAGGAAAGTCATGCCTGACGGGGTTCGAGGAGCTGCCCCCCGAGATCGCCGTCTGCAGGAGGGAGGAGCTGCTCACGCGGCCGCCTCTCTTGCGTCCGCACCGCCGGTCCTGACAACGTCATCAGTTTATTATCATTCTTATTGTGCTGATAACATTTATTCCGGATTTCAATAATACAAATCTAGCTAACTAATAACTAAATCATCTAACTTGCTCTTGTTCCTCTGCATTTGTCAGTAAATGATTGCTAGGGATATAAATTACTTACGTACTCACGGTCTTATGGTATCCATCGAAACAAGATAGCCATGCTAAGAAAAAATTAGAGGGGGGGGGGGGGCTCCAGCGGGGCCTGAGACTGCTATATCCGGAGCAAAAACTAAGGATTCAAGCATTACATGTTAGCGTGGCCTGAGACTGCTAGTTTTGGAGCAAATACTAAGAATACCAAGGTTTAAGCTTTGTCCGTTAGCGTGGCCTGGGACTGCTAGTTTCGGAGCAGTACACAGGATTTAAGTTTTGCTCTTTAGCGTGGCCTGAGACTGCTAGTTTTGGAGCAAATACTAAGAATACCAAGGTTTAAGGTTGCTAGTGGGCAATCACCTGACGTGGCACGCTGCCCTCCTCGTTGCGGTAGTCACGCACAGGACAGGCGCACACTCTCACGTCCACCGTCTGCCGTCCATACAGCTCCAGCCTGCACAACACGTACCACGTCAACGCTCTTCTCAAAACATGTGCGTGACCGTTGGTCTACGGATGTACTTGGTCTATAAAGCTATTTGTCTCTAAAGGTCTGGTAACGAGAGACACCGCCTCTTGGCAAATTGTTAGTGAACTAGAAAAAAGTGTTAGTAGCCGGGTTAATGCGATAAATGCTTGATTAAAACTTCAAATCATCAAAAGTTTAACAATTTATACCAAAACACAAACTGTCATCAAAGCAATTTGACTCTGAAAGCCTGTTAACTAATGTTTATGTGAGCAGACATGGGGTTAAACCTATAATTACGAATACGTTGACCGTTATCGATGTTCCTTGTATTAACTTGAGGTAACGCCAGTAGGCAAAGTGATAGGGCACAAGAAAAAATGGCAACATCCTTCATCATAAACGATGTGTCAGAGGGAGGACATGGGCTTCAGGCTTCAAAGATTAATTAGTATGCGGAGCGGATGAATTAAAAATTAACATTCTCATGCAGATCCGCGATCCGGTGCATGCGCACCCAAAATGCACATCAGATTTGCTTGAAAATACAGAGATAACACCGGACAAAGACTCAGTTAGTGACACAGCCTTTACTATGGTGCTTATTTCCAAGCATATGGTCCAGAAAATGCATATGCTCGTTAGATCATAATAAATAATACCTACTTTTTACAAGAAGTTAGTGAGCAGTATCTTCCCTTGGATATTCATACACTTTTCTGTAAAAGGCTATAAGATACCAACCAGTAAAACTTCTTGTTAAGAACCAATGAGCAACAAAGTTTCTTATCGAATGAGGAAGAAATCATGTAGATTACGAGTTGATTTCATTGAATCAGTTTAATTAAAGATATTTCAACGTCAAATGCAAAGTGAGATAAAGTCAGTTTGTGGTATTTCTTACAGAACAGAACAACGCCTTTAAAAAAATATGTTTGATGGTAATTTTGACTCTTGGATTGAGAAATTTTATAATTTCAGAATTGAAAAAAATGATTCTTACAGAACAGAACGGCGCCTTTAGAAAAAATGTATCAGATGGAAATTCTGTCTCTTGGATTGAGAAATTTTGCGTCTGCAGAATTGAGAAATTTTGCCGAACTCACGCGTTGTTTGTGAGCTTCTCGAGCGTGAATATGATGGCGAGCGGTCGTCGGTTGATGCCACCTGAGCAGGAGCAGAGGCACATGAACCTCAGCAGGAGAGGCATGGTCTCCCCCAAGGGCCCAGTCTGCGGCTGCTCTAAGGGCACCACCACAGACAGCCGTCCTGACGAGTTCTTGTCGTACCCAGCGTTGGGGTGGTCTAGTCGTACCACGTGGTCTGGATATGGAAAATCTGCAACCCGAACATTTCCAGATTTACTACAGGAGATAAATCATTAAAGGTGGCGTGTGCTAAAAGAAATGAAAATCCTAATTCAGTATTGAATCTTTGGCACGTATATATTTTTCCCAGTTTATCATTCAGCAAATGGAATGGGAATGATGAATGGAGAGAACGTTCAGCATGGGAATCTAATTATTCTTACGAGTGATGAGTACTTAAGGAAAATTTTAGATAGTTTATTCACGTCCAGATAGTGGCGAAAAAAGTTACAGTGTTTGCTGGCAGAGTTACAGATCCCCCAAGGGCCCGGTCTGCGGCTGCTCCAAGGGCACCACCACAGACAGCCGTCCTGACGAGTTCTTGTCGTACCCAGCGTTGGGGTGGTCTAGCCGTACCACGTGGTCTGGATACGGAAAATCTGCAACACAAAAATTTTCAGATTTACTAGTACCGGCGATAAAAAACTATCAACAGTAGGTATAGTTGAAAAAAATACAAATTTTGATCAAGTTTTGAATCTTTGGCATGTATATATTTTTCCTCATTTATCGGTCAGCAAATGAAATGAAAATGATAGATGGAGAACGTTCAGCACGGGAACCTTATCATTTTTATGAGTGTTGAGTACTTAAGTCTTAAGGAAACTTTGAGATAATCTTCTACTGTCCAGATTGCGGTGAAAAAAGTTAGAGTTTGCTAGCAGAGTTACAGTGTTTGCTGGCAGTAGCATATAATTAGGCCTTACATCAGGTCTGTTCGAGTTTATTTATGAAGATACATACTACATAGACATAACTAAGTCACTATCTTTCAATGAGAGCTGATCCGTAGAATAGATAAATACACTTGGCACATGGGAAAGAGCGTTGGTAGTTGGTACCCCATCAATATTGGTCTGGTGCTGGGGACTGGCGTGAGGTCTTACCAACTTTAGACTGGTGCTGGGGACTGGAAGAAGTCTCACCAATGTTGGTCTAGTGCTGGGGACTGGCCTCACCAATATTGGTCTAGTGCTGGGGACTGGCCTCACCAATATTGGTCTGGTGCTGGGGACTGGCCTCACCAATATTGGTCTGGTGCTGGGGACTGGCCTCACCAATGTTGGTCTGGTGCTGGGGACTGGCCTCACCAATGTTGGTCTGGTGNCTGTCTATTGGGCTGCTGTTGCTGAGAGAATGAACTGTTGTTGCAGTTAATCGAGTTGTTTTGGGATGTGATCATATTGCCCGAGTTTCGATTCGAGTTTTGAGAATCAGAGTCATTAATAATATACTCTGATTCCATTACCTCCATGTCCCTGTTGTTCGAATACGTCAGAACTCGACCACCACACGTCTCGACGTTCGAGTTTATGATGCTTTTGCTTGCAACTCGCGCCACAGGAGAGCCGTTATTGCTGCTGTGGATGATGATGTTGCCAAGACGAGCGTGACCGTTGATGATGCGTTGGTTAGAGTTGCCCTGGTGGTTGTGGTGGAGGTAGCGTGGAGAAGGCCCGTCGTTGTAGAGGACCTGCGTCTGCTGGCGAGACGACGACGTCATCTCCATGCGCTCCTCGACGAGGGCGATGTCCCTCGTCGCCTGTAGAGCCTCGTCCTCAAATTTGACCTGGTCATCGTCCTGCTGGTACTCGGTCCTGCCACCATGCAATGAAATCATGAGATGAAAAACGTATACAAAATCATAACGAGAATATAAATACAATCATAATAAGAGAATGAAATCAATCCAGCAGTTGAAGCAAAAGTATACCTAGATAATGATTTTTAAGAATTAACAGATTAACGTGCTACATGAGAACAGTAATCCTTTCAAAGCATAAACAAATTAATGATATTAATCGCCATCAATCAGAAGTAAATAGAGTAATGTTTACTATTGAGTGAAAATAAATTCTCCAACAATAAACCTAACAAACTCATGAACTAGTGACTTTTAAATAAATACCCTACAGCGGATGAAATGTGTATACAATATTACAATTCTATCAATTTAAAATGCGCTGTAATTATCTTCAGAATTGCATTGAGTCAGGCAGTCCCACGGCCTCAGTAAACTGCCCAGTAAAGTTTTGAAATAAGGCACGAGGCCCAGCAACCTACTAAAACGTCCATCAAAGTCTTACAATAAAATAAGGCCCGAGGCCCAGCAACTCACTAACACGTCCATCAAAGTCTTACAATAAAATAAGGCCCGAGGCCCAGCAACTCACTAACACGTCCATCAAAGTCCTACAATAAGTCACGAGGCCGAGCAACTTACTAAAACGTCCATTAAAGTCTTACAATAAGGCACGAGGCCCAGCAACTCACTAACACGTCCATCAAAGTCCTACAATAAGGCACGAGGCCCAGCAACTCACTAACACGTCCATCAAAGTCCTACAATAAGTCACGAGGCCGAGCAACATACTTGAGGTCGTCGTCCATGAGGTCGGCGTACTCAGGATGGGTCTTGAGGTACAGGCTCTTGACCTCTCGCAGGAAGTCGTAGAGCTTCTTGCCGCGCACCTGCAGCGTGTACACCTCCTCGCCCATGTCTTCTGCTCAGAGTCACGTTTATACAATAACATCCAAATACTGATAATTATGATAGAAATTAGTAGATCTTGATACAGTAGGTGCTGATATCTATAATGATACCAAACTCAATGATCAAAAATCATCAAAAAAATATAACTCAGTACTTACTGCAGTGAGTGACAGAGAGCGCATTTTCTCGTCGACGAAAACTTGAGGTCACGAACGGACGGACAGGCGGACGGACAGACAGACAGACAGACATGGCGAGCACAATAGTGCATTTTTTCCATAAATGAGAAAATGCGCTAAAAAGGGCCAGCTCAGCGTCATAATTATGATAGAAATTAATAGATCTTGAAATCGGTGCTGATTTATCATGGCACAAAGTTCAATGAAAATAATGATCGAGAATAAGCCAACTCAGCGTCACGCGCATACACTATCAAATGAACTACAATCAGAAAAAGTTTTGGGTAAAATTCTCCGAGTAGTCACACACTTTTTTACCCACAGCACGGGCTTGGAGCGGATGTACCACTTACACCACCTGTAGCTGGGCCACAGTTAATTTTATTCAGAGATTAATAAGCCTGTTCAAGTTCATTCTTGTACAATATGAATAGAATAGGTACCTATAATGATGCTAGTGATAAAAAGTACCATCAGTGATGACGTTCTAACGCTAAACTGTACAGCCACAAGCAACAAGATAGGGATTTATTTAACGAGGATTTATTCAACATCACAACTCGACCCTGGCCAGCCATAACGAGAGTTGCGTTGTGGAAGGCTGGGCGGTGGTAACACATCTGCAGAAACAAACTACATTAGACGAAGCATGGAAAGTTCACACGGCAGCAACACATCTTCAAAACAAATGTACAATACATGAATAAAAATTGAATAAGTTTGCATAGTGGCAACACATATTCACAAAATGTAATTTGTTAAATTTTCAGGCATTATTTCTGCCACAAGAAATCATCATTAGCACAACAACAACAAAACAAATTAATAGCTCCCAATTGAGTTTCTGGAAATATATTCCAGAAGCCCATTAGTCAGAGAAGTTTAGGCTGTCAGTCACACCTCACCAACAAGGCTGCCAGTCACACGTCACCAGCCTTCAGAGTCAGAGTTACAGCTGCCAGTCATATGTCACCAACCTTCAGAGTCAGAGTTAAGGCTGCCAGTCACACGTCACCAGCCTTCAGAGTCAGAGTTACAGCTGCCAGTCATATGTCACCAACCTTCAGAGTCAGAGTTAAGGCTGTCAGTCACACGTCACCAGCCTTCAGAGTCAAGAGTTAAGGCTGTCAGTCACACCTCACCAACCTTCAGAGTCAGAGTTAAGGCCGCTGTAGGAGGACTGGTGGTGAGGTGCATGGTGCTGGTGGTTGGGAGCGTGGTGCTGCTGGACGGGTGGTACGCTGCGCTCCACCAACACAAAGTGCCCTGCCGATGGTGGAGTCCCATGGTATGGAGACGTGCTCTGTACCTATCAGTTATCACAATTGATGAGATGAATCAAAACATGATACAGATATTGCAACATACGTCTTAATAATGTAATCTTTTATAATAATTGATATATATAATATACATGATAGCATGTACTTATTTCATTTTTTCACAAGTTAATTACTAGTAATATTGACATAAAATTATGAATATATATAATATATGAGACATGGATAGCATGTACCTATTCCATTTTTTCACAATTTAGTTAGTAATATTGACACAAAACTCAAATGCTGCAGGAGATAAAAAATGAGGTTCTAGTTGTGGCAGATAGAAAACTGGACATTTGTCTGTCTTAGAATGCATGTAAAACAACAACAAGAGCAGGTAGTGCAATAAAGAAAACGAGGCTTCACACTTGAAAATAATAGGTACGTAGTTGGTAACTCCATCTTCAAATTATTCAAAGCTTTTCAAGCTAAACCACAAATCACATACCTACAAGAAATTGGCTGCTACATGTTCATAAAGGAGATCTGACATGTCAGGCCTCAGTGTGATCATAGAATAGAGAATTTGACAGAAAAGCACTAGCTAGGGAAGAGCAGTGACAACAATGATTGGCTAATGATGAGTGCTTGGAAAAGCCCTTGCCAACAATCATCAATCTTTGGATCAGAGATTTAAATTTCAGCAGCCAGGTAGCTTGAGGTGGATATTTTCAGGTGTTTAACTATTTGTTGTTCAGGTTTTTCTTGAAGTATTTGAAAATGTACCTTTCAGTAACAAACCAATAGATTTCTCTTCCTGGCAGCTGCATTCTGTTGTCAGAGTGGGCCAAAAATATTGAGGTGTTCCAAAGTGTACATTCAGTACTAAGTATTTAAGAACTTGCATGATTATACTATATCTGCAACCAAAATGTGTGCTAACTTGGCATAAAACATGTAGAAGTGCTTTAGAAATTCTGAGGTGCTGCAGGCAGAACTCACAGATGTGATGACGGTGTCATCCTGTGAAGGACTATGATGCTCATTGCTGCTGCTCACGCTGCTCACCACCGTCTCTCTCTGCAACATCCAATCATGGCTCAAGTTCCATCTCCATAGACATCAATACAAACAAAACCTACTGAAGAAAATGTAGGGAAAAATGATTAAATATTTTGTGATAATGGGGAAAAAAATTCCTTGATTTATCAACCTCCTACTAATGAAAACTATAGAAGGCAACATGATTATGAGAACTAGTAGAATAATTTCTTTGAATTTACGTATCAATTTTCAATTCAATGAATGGATTATAAAAGTTTGGAAACAACTATGAAAAATTGGAAGGTGAAAAAAATTAAACGCTGAGACTAAGAGAGAATAAGCAAGCAACTGAAGTATATTAATATAAACAGCATTGCGAACTAGCTACCAAAATAAGTTTGAGTTAGAAATAAATAATTCAATAAAGATAAATAAGGACGTTCAAAGAGAAGAATTAAACTTATTCAATTGAGACTTGAATGATAGCTCTTTCCATAACAGCTTGCCTTCAAACAACCCAGCCTTAGTGTCTTAATATTCATTGTTACAAATCAAGCAAGGGATATACGTACCTATATATATATATATCCCTTTGCAACAGTAAACTTGCATTGCAATTATTTAATAATATAAATATTAATTAATTTTAATAATTTAAACATTACTATTGGATGCTAGCAGGCAGACTATTCTCTTAGAAGATGAAATTCTACTTGGCAAATTTGCCATCTAAAATAGGCAACAAAATATAATTTTTTGAGATCAATCCTTGCAGTCTCAAGATATATTTACCAGTTAATCTTTCCTTAGTAAAGGCTACGAATTTGTTTGAAGCATTTCTACTGAAATCTATGGACACAGTTTGACATCCAGGAGATGCCAGCATCTTTTCTACTGAAAATAGTAGTGTCAAACTTCAATAGCAAGACTTCAAAGGCTCAAATTTGATGTGAAAAGCTTTCATTTGAAATATATTTATTAGTATAAGTTGGCAGTATTTGTTCCTTTAAGAATGTTTCATTGAAGACCAGAGAATTTGCTTTATTTACAATTTTTGTTAATATATTTTCAACATATTGAACAATATTATTTGTTTGCACTGGTAAATCAAATATCAGGGTACCCATGAACATAATTTCATTGACAAGGTTTCAAATGTATCAATCATTCATCATAAAGTTACAAGACACATTGAGTAAAGAAATTTGGATCGCCATATGTATAAAAATCATGTAAATAAGATATTACTCAGAAATCAGAATTTGGTTAGAAATAATTGAGGAATCACAAAAATATGAACATGTTCAAGAATTAAAGTGGGAAAAATTACTGTGAAAACAGTCTTGAGGTTCTGACAAATCCAGTAATTTGAAGGTTGGGGGCTGGTGTCCCATCCTTAGTTATGAGGGCTCAGCTATTGCAAGCCAGTTGGTTGCAGGGATTGCAGGATGATGCTGGTGCATTCTTCAAGCACCATACCAGTGATGTCTTCTTGTGGGCTTCCAACAGGTGGTTCCGTGGTCCACCAGACTGCTGGTACATTCTTCAAGCACCGTACCAGTGATAAGTCTTCTTGTGGGCTTCCATTAGGTGGTTCCTTGGTCTCCCAGACTGCTGGTGTATTCTTCAAGCACCATATATACTAGTGATGGTCTCATTGTGGGCTTCCATTTGGTTCCTTGGTCCCCCACACTGGAGTTGGCACGCAAGATGTCTGCTTAATGTCTTAGTTGTGAGCACAAAGTAGTCCAAATTATGGAGAAGTTTACAAATTTCTCTATTACAGGAAAATTTATAAAGTACATTTTTCTCTTGGGGTTGGAAAACTCCTTTTTTTTGCAAGGGTAAGGGTTCATTACAAGATTCAGTATTTATAACTGCCAATCATTTGATACTTGTAGTAATGGTTGTGATGTTTATGTTAGTCTCTGGTTTGTTGTTGTGTCTGTTTTGGTTCAATCAAGATTTTGTGTTTCTGTGTCGATTAAGTTTGTGTTCAATGGGTAAACCCTTTTTGACTAAGATTCTTTTGCAATTTCTCAACTCCATATTCAAGTCATTTTCAGATGAACAGGTTATGAGGGCTGGTTGGATGAGGGCATGTAGTGTGCTTCTTTTGTGGTACTTTGGGCATTTGCTGGTGGAATTCAGGACTCTCCCAACATCTGTTGTTTTTAGCGCATTTTCTCGTTTATGGAAAAAAAGGCACTATTGTGCTTGTGATGTCCATTTGTCCATCTTTTGTCGATTTTAAGAATACTTCGAAACGTGTTGTGATTTAGATTATACCGTAAAATGGGGTAACTTAGACCACTTTTTTTCTTATAAATGATGCCTTTTTTTACTAGCTAAATTAAACTTGAATTGAAACGTGCAAAATACAGGTCTATACTCTAGCTTCACTCACCATAAATTGCTGGCTCCTGCCTCTCATAGTCTTTATGTANTATTTGCAGAAGAGGGTTGGAATAAACACTGAAATGACAGGCAATGATTGCTCTAACATATTCTTCTGTCAAATTAAATTCAGTGCAATCAGAATGTCATGGGCTGGTCCTTTCTTACCCCATGAAGGCTGTGATCCTGTCTTATCCCATTTGACTATATTCAAACAAAAGGCAAAGTATGATTCATCAGAGTTAGTAAGTAAATCAAAATTCATTTCAAATGCCATTTGTAGATTCTTCAGTTCAAATGACAAGGAAGATATCATCAACATATCTGCAGTACAATTTGAGCTTGATCTGTTCATCTGAAACTACTAGATTTTCAATTCTGCACATAAAGGACTAGGCAAAAGTAGGACCAAGAGGGCTGCCCATGGCTACTACCAACCAGTGCCAACAAAAAATATTGTTTGATATTTGAAAAAATTTATAACAAAATTGCCAATAAAACAAATTCTCTGGTCATAAATACATATACATGCCCATGAGTAATTTATTACCCCAGTAACTTCCAAAGTTATTGTTACACATATAGATACCTATACATACAAATTCTCTGGTCACCAATGAACAAATTTTCTTGTCTTCAATGAAAACTGCTTATATATAACCCTATGTATAGAAGCTTTTATATATATTATATATAAATTGAAGTTTATGCAAAAATATTGATTCCACTGTGTCACATGTTCAATTAAAAAATATTAGCAGACTTATAAAGAGAAGGACCAGTTTCATCAAATCTTCTAATACATTATAAATGTTATGAGTGAATGCTCATTTACAATTGTTACAAAATTTTGCTCTGAATTGGTTAGGAAGAGAGATAGGTACACTGGAATTTGCATGCAAGAAAGATTTCATGTGCTGCATATAACATGTTAGAGTCAAGAGCTGAATCTGCATTACGAAAATCTACATCAAAATACATATTCCTTAGTGTTGTACTGAAGTACCTGCTCATAGCATAGAAGCTTAATTTTACAAGCTATTTACAGGTGAAAGGGTATTACTTTAGATTAAGTGCATCCAAAAAAAAAAGGTTGTTTTTTTATTATATGTTTTTTGGGGTGTAGATTAAGAATCTAAAATCTGTTTTTGATGGTCAGCATCGGAAATTTTTGACGGAACCTATTCTAACTGGACCTAACCTGCGAGGTTTTTGTTGATTGGCTAGGTTTTTTTCTATGTTTGGAGTCCATCCGGCGGCCGGAAAAACCTAGCCAATAGGTTTTTTCTATGTTTGGAGTCCGTCCAGCGCCGGAAAAACCTAGCCAATCAACAAAACCTCGCAGGTTATGTCCAGTTAGAATAGGTTCCATCAAAAATTTCTGATACTGACCATCAAAAACTTATTTTAGATTCTTAATCTACACCCCAAAAAACATATTATAAAAAAAACAACCTTTTTTTGTATGCACTTAATCTAAAGTATTACCGGTGAGAGATTAATTGTTATGTACCCAAACATCATGATGTTCAAGTATAATTTTTGTCCATTAAACCCACTCTGTGGTCAGTCTGGAAAATAAGGCGGAAGCCACCCATGAATGAGAGTTACAAAAAAAAAAAATGCCCATGCTTGAGATAAATTTTACCCATTTTTTGAATAATGTATGTTGTATCATTTCTTTCAGGACAAAAAATAAGAAAAAAATGGCACATTTTTATCCAAAATTTATCCACAAAAAATTGTCTAAAAAATTTCCTTAAATAAAATTTAAAATTTCTTCAAAAAATTGCCTACAAAATTCCCTTAAATATCAAATTATGTCCATGATGCTAATTTTTACACGTCCCAAATTTTGGACCAGCCTATTCAGATTGGCAATGGATTGTGATCATCATGGATTAGAGATGAATAAAAATCAAAAAATAAAATGGAATGAAAAAAGAAACGTCTGTCATCTGAGCAGATGGAACATCTGAAAAACTGAAATTTCCATCTGCCATCATAATCTGCATGATCCAGAAAAAGCATTTGATTTGACTATATGGACTTTGATATTTATAACATTTTTTGCTTTTGCTTGCTATTTGCAAATAGGTACTTAGCCATAGGCTTATAGCCATTTTGTCCTAAAATTAACCTATCATATTAAATGAATCATTATGAATGATTACCTATAGCCTAATTATTTCTAGTAATGTTTTATTAAATCTTCATAGTCTAAGTTCATATTTATTGGAAAGTTCAGGAATTAAGAGATAGACTACCTACCTACCTAATTTAAACTTATTCAACAGGTAATGACTTAAAGTTAATGTAGCAGCACAGAATAATATTTCATTTAATGGCATTTTCTATCAAATTCATCAATGTCTTGCTGAACACATAAACTCAAAATAATGTGTAAATAATAATTAGGTATACCTATAAGAATTTGTAAACACTTAAACAAACAATTCCAAAAAGAGAACATATTTACGATTTTCCCACAACGACCGTACCTGATCTTCATCGACTTCCACTTTGATGAAATTTACATCAGAGTAATGGATTTTTTGACGCGTTGCAACGGTTTCCGAGCTGTCAGCATCAATTTCAATTCGTGCTACCGAGTTGTTTGTAGGAGACGAGTCGATGTCAGACTTCACTTCTTCCATTTTCATGTTGGAGTCGTACTTGATTCTTTTAGAAGAAGTATTTGAATGAGGATGGCCGTAGGCTCCGGCCGACGTTTTGCCTTTGCATGAATTTGAAGAAGTTCCGTTTCTGGAGACATTACCGCCATTAGGGTACACGTCGCCGTCATCGCTGTAAGGTAATTTAGGACGGTTTCGTTGACGTTTTTGTTTCTCCATCGCAGGCAACAAAAACACTTAAATATGATAAAAGCTGGCAAATCTTCACACGTTATTCTACCAATTCAATAGCCGGTGAAAAGTTAAACGTCAACATCTCATCAAAAAGGATGTGCGTGAATTCATGGCGCTACTTTTCACAATATATCATGACGAACAATCTTGTACCACACAACCAACACGTTTCGACGCGCACCAATACCACGTAAAACGGCTCTCTGCATGTTGAGGCCGAATACCAAATTGAAATAAATACCATTAAAAGTACGCAATTCTATATCGCTTTGACTGCTTTGATTTCATATTTTTGAAATTTAACACAAAGTTTGAATCTTACTCAACAACAAATTCACAATTTGTATATATAAGTTTGAAACACACGCAGTCATTTTTCTTTAAAAAAAATATCACGCATTAGGTTTTACCCTAAAATGATGAAATTATTCAGTCAATTGCTGCCGATAGTGCATGTACGATTAGTAAAACGCTAGCTATATAAGAGCAGGAGCCTAAATACATATTTTGGTACTATGAAATAATTTTTCATTCTAGTCAAAAAGTTAATCGCGAAATGTGCGTTAAATTGGTTCATTTCATTGCAATTCATACCCGATACATCATGTAGAAATTTCAGGATTTTCAGCGCAGCTTATTTTATGATGATACTGAATTTTAATAAACAAAAGTATTCAAGGAATATATGTAAAACTGGTACTGTGTATTACTAGGTTAATAAAGGTATTTCGTTCGTAAAGATCGGGTGAGTGTGATTTTAGGGCAAAACGCCGAGAGTTGCAGTAGGCGTATTATAGATTTGTAAAAAATAAAGTTTTTAGCGATCAAACATCATTGAATAAATTCTAAAACTAATTTCGATCAAAAAATAAATTACATTTTACATTATTTTCTTTAGGGGAAGATCGTTCCTAAATTTTATTCAAGCAGATAGTAAACCAGATGTGGCACACTGGAGGCCATTTGGCACAGGCTTTAGCCTCGCTTGAAAGTTGTGACATCATGCGCGTGTTGGAACCAGACTCTCACATGTTCCTCGTACTTAGCTCCCTGACGAGCGTCAAGAAAACTAGCGCCAGTAATTAATCAACATCAGTGTGTTAATACTGAAGCATACTGGAAACAAAATTAAAAAATTCAAAAATATTTCAAAAAACTTTAAAACTTGTGATCAAAGTATTGAAAAATATTTGAAATAAATTAACAAGCATAAGTAACAAGCTGACAACTGCCGGTCGATATTATAAAACATTTCAAAATATATATATTCGAATCAAATTTAAAACGTATGATGGAAAAAATGTAAGAAATAATCTGTGAGATGAAATAATAGAGTTTCTTTTAGAAATTTCTAGATAGCAAGATTAATTCAAGGGTTTGTTTTACAAATAATTCCAGGCAATAAGTCCAGCAGCTATCTCAATCAATCGATGTCTGTCCGTCCGTCCGTCAGTGACCTCAAGTTTTCGTCGACGAGAAAATGCGCTCTCTGTCACTCACTGCAGTGAGTACTGAGTTATATTTTTGTACATTACTGGTCACACTAAAACTTGGTGACTGTGAAGAGGCTGTGGAGGGTAACTGTGTGGCCACGACTCACGATAATCAGTAACACTTTGGGCCAAACTGAGTTTGGGGCTGTTGGTGGAAACGGCGTGGCCACGACTCACCAACACTTGGGGGCTGTGGAGGGTAACTATGTGGCCACGACTCACGATAATCAGTAACACTTTGGGCCAAACTGAGTTTGGGGCTGTTGGTGGAAACGGCGTGGCCACGACTCACCAACACTTTGGGGGCTGTGGAGGGTAACTGCATTGCCACGATTCACGGTACTCACCAACTGGTGGCTGTTGATGGTAACTGCAAGTGGAATGACAGGTTCCAGTCTCCCTGTGCCGCTGCTACCCCCGCGTGCTGCTGGCGCTCTACAAACGCTGCCGCCCGCTGGCCGTTGTCGTGCGTCTGGCAGCCACAGGGGCTCAGTAGCGGCGCCCCGCATGCGTTGTTCTCACGGAATTTTTCAGTCACCATTTCCACACGATATCACTGGCCCAACAATAGCGGCTACGAACTATCACAATATATTAGTAATCTTAAATAAATAATTTTGAACAAATTTCTGGGGAACAGCAAAAACAAATTACGAGTAATAAGTATGTAAGGCATGCTCACAGCAACCCATCAGAAACAAATGGATTTAATATTTAATTTTTAACAAGATGTAATATTTAATACAGTTAAGGAGATGAACAAAATTGCTGGCCATCATTACCCGCGTATCGTAATTAATATACCTACTCAATTACGCGCATGTATTACGTAACGGTATAACTTGGTATGCCATTATGCTACATATGTAAGTATATAAGGACATTCCACACCCTTACTTCACCCACTTTCATGCGCATAGGAATATCATACGCAGATGCGGCGTTTTCTATCTCATAAGTCTACATAATTAGATAACACTTATAATTTAAGAAAATCGGTCAGAAATCAGAGGCTTTAGAGCACTTGGTGCACAAAATAAAAGCTCAGAAATCACTGTCCGTTAGCAGCATCATACGAGTATATCACTTCCACTTTCCTCTCAGGTTATGTTAGATCCCGTAACGCAATCTATCGAACCAATCAGCTTTCTTATGAGATAAACATGAATTATGTGAAATTAAAATACCAATACTGATTTTTTTTGTCGCAATAGCTGAGCCACACGTGGTGTACAGTCAAGCCATGGCTGTTAAGTCAATGGTCACTGAGAGCGAAGCTGGTCTCTGACCAGTCCAGGTCACGACGCGAGCCATCAACACCTGGGCACCATGACTACCACGATACAGTACGAATATTCATCATCAGTTCAACATTGATTATCGATAATATAACTATCGAAAAATGATATGTATATTATATTGATGCTAACAAAACTTAATCGTATACCTAATTAATTGAAAAATATTGAAACATGGAAGATTATTAGCTCAAATCGAGATTTTTCGGCTGATAGACTATACGAATAAATAAATTACTTCATAAATTATTTAAATTATTAATTATTGAAATTAATAATAAATTATAATTTATAAATTATTCACATAATTTATAAATTATGCAGATTTGCATTGTGCGACTAAATGGCATAATAAAAATTTAAGGGCATTTTGCCTTCCATTAAAGCAAGGTATGGCGTTTTTTAAGGCCTTTTGAAATGGCGTTACGCCTTTTGTAATGACGCTTTTTTACGCAGTTCCCTTGCGTTGAACATGCTTCCGCGTTTCACGCACCGTAAATTTATCCTATATGTAGTTTGAAGCATGTTAATAGTATTTTGAAGTATGGAATCAAGACTTCATGACAATATCGTGCTGCCGAAAGTTAATTCTGCATCAAATTTTAGGAATATTATACGTGTTGCTTAACTACTATATTTCAAGTATAAACACTGCAGTACGAATTTGCATTTATGATGCAATATTTATAAATTATGAAGATATTTATATAATTAGAATTTCATCATTATTTACTAGTTTTAATTATTTAATTTAATCGTTAATGTCGTTCATCGTTGGACTTACAGCGCCAGGACGCGGTATAAAAATGACAAGCATGGCATGTTTCCGTCTGTTTATATAATATTTATATACTTAAATACATATTCTTTAAATTATTTTAATAGATGGGCTGACTAGAGCGGTTTAGAGAACAGACAAGCCTGAATATGGAAGATCTGAACTCGATCTTCTCGATTTTTTCGAGAGAAAATTTTCCTCAATTAATTAGAATATCTTGCAATAGTCCCTGGAGTCTGACCCACATGAGGTAAATGGATGGAAGTTACTCATTAATTTAAGCAGACACGAGTTTAAGAGAGCAATCAAGACCCACTTATTTCTCCATATACTTGTGATTCCAATTAATGAATACTCCTGCATGGCCGCAGGCCGTACTGTACTAAAATAACGCAGTAATGGATATGAGATAATTCTGAACTACTCTTACTAGTCGTATAGTATCTTTGGCATTGAAGAATAGGCCTGAATAGGCCTGTCGCCGATGAAGAAAAATTGTCGTGAAGAAAAATTCTGTGGTTGAGTTTCAGGCACCTTCGTTGAATGTTTGTGCAGGCATTGATCAGCTAATTATTTATCGACAATATTAAAACTCTATGCATAATGTGAATCAATGAATAGTTTTTAGACGTGAATGATCAATTAACTATAACATGGTCTTAAAGCTCTGTTTTCGATCTCACGAAACTTTGTTTATTTGACGAAAAATTCCGCAGAGACGACTTTTGTCGACAGCTGTCATATCTGCGAAGTCGTTCATCGCAGTCTCTGTCGACTGCTGTCGTCTCTGTGGAGTCGGCAGCAGTCTCTGTCCACTGCTGTCGCCTATCCAGAAAAGTCAAGTTTGATCATGATAAAAGAGAAATTTATTTCTCCGCATACAATGGCAGCTGTCAGAGCTAGAAGAGAACATCCTGTTTGAAAAGAATTAAGGCTCAGCATCAGATTTTGATGCAGTGCTGTATGCTACAAACATTTAGCTGTATGACTCATCTTGCCGTCGTGTTGAAATAACGCAAATGATAAATGATGGCACGCCTATTTTTGACCAGCCTGAGATGATATATGATCCACGTTGTCTAGTTGGTGTAAAAAGAAACTTTATTAAGATATGTATTTCTGCATTCAAGTGCAGAATTCAAATTTCAGCGTTGACGCTTTTCTGCATGCGTTATGCAGTTATGCTCCAATTTTAATTCATACCGTTACGAGTGAATTACGTTAATTAATATTCAATGCAATATATAAAAATTCAAATTCATGAATTTGAACTTTTTTCTCAAAATCTAATTGTCTAATCTAGTATTCTTAAATTAGCAGGTTATTTGTTATAATTACTTCTCTTGCGAAATTTCTTCCTCTCGAAGCCTGTGCTCGGTGCATCGCATATCAAAAATCAAAGCCACTGCGAAAATGGATTCTCAGAATTCTCTGATGTTTAAACACATTATTTGACACTCATATGAAGCCAAAGCTCTCCGGGAAAGATGTGTTTGGCAATATATCAAGCGAGATGAATTTATTTATTTACGCGGCTCATGAAAAACGAGGAAACTAACAGAACAATGGACTTCGGCTGTCGGAAAAGTTTACAGAGTGACTCGCTATGTTGAGATACTAGAATTGTGACACCTGTTCACATGGTACACCAGCTGTACTTGTTCCACGTGGAACAAAGAACCTTTCTCTATAAAAGAAGCGACTGTAGGTGAGTCCAACGTAAACTGTGATCGTTGGGCGAGTGAAGAAATTAGGAGGTTTTATTTCTGATAATTAAAATCGTTGCAAGCTTCATTTTGCCATAATCTAGCTAACGGGGATCCAAAATGAAAGTTGCAGCTAAAATGTTTCTTTTCTTTCGCATTTTTTTAAAGTTCGTTCCATTCGTGGGTTCTGTGAGTATTAATAATTATTACATACATTAATGTTAATTAAATACTATTGATGTAATATATTCACTTTATTCGATACATGCATACATAATTTAATCCCGGAAGGGATAGCTCTTATGTTATTGAAAATACACGCGTGCTGCGGAAATGATGTTAACATAACATATATTTTCATCTATAAGACTATGCCAGTTGACTCAGCAAAATTTTCAAAACAATATTTTTTTCTAACGGGGTGTTTTCATATATTCTTTTATGGTTTAAATTTTGTTTTCTTTTTTGTTAAGGTTAGATCAATCACACTAAAATTCAAGGGTTGTTCACGAAATGCGAGAGGATTGTAAAAAACCGATGTAGCAAGAAGATCCACTAGAGAAAACCATCGCAACTATTCATTGCCATTAATTATGCTGGTTTACCTGGACGTTTTTATTTCTTTACAATTTCATCATTTTATTAGCATTTATAACTGAATTCCTTTCTGTTACATGTACTGGGTGAGATCAAATTCTTTTTGTTAAAGTTCATCATAAACTTCCCAGTATTCCTTCCCTGGTCACTAAATTATAACGTAGGCATTTCGCAATAAATAATGATCAAAACTTGCATTTAAAATTGTTCAAATAACATACAGACGTAACCATTAATATGTGAGCTCATTCACTGCTTATTAATCGTTATCGAGGATAGATTGCATTCTAACACGGTTTATATTAAATAAGGTGATACAATTTGAACGATTATCTAACTACACTGAAACGCTGACTACAGGCGTTAAAAATGCGAAAATACTGAAGGAATATCTGAAAATTCCTTCCTATATTTTCTTAATAGCTTAATTTAATAATTAAAAATAACATTTTATATATATTTACTGATAAAAAGAAAGAAAGTAGAAGCTAACTCGGTGTCAGGGGATGAATATTTCTTGAGGTCTGCACAAACTCCCTAAATCATCGGCTAACGATCATTTAGCCCCGATCGAAAAACAACCCACGGTTGAACATGCCGAGAACCCGAGACATAACCCAGAGCGAGTGTGACTTTAGTAAATACTTCTTTGGAATAGATAATTGATTTATATTTTTAAAATAATCTTCAGAAACGGGGTGATCATCTTTATTGATCAACGCAAAACCATATGGTACTTTATAGGTTTCCATACACAATTCTTGAAACTCTGCACAGGGAATATCGCAAGAAATGAAATCAATGTAAATATTTTTTGTATCGATGAGAGGTAATTCGAATGGAATTGATAAATTGTAATTCGTTCAAATGGTTTTTCTTGGTAATATGTGATAGTTTTGGGATAAGTTAAATGAACTACAGTTATTGTGTCTTCCGCGGGTGTAAAAACTATCAGCATGGGGTTCTGATTCTGTCCAAATCAATATCATCAGAAATGAACAACTTTTGTTCCGAGGAACTTTGTCACTTGGGTCAGGGACAGAAGCAGTGTTCTTAAAGTATCAGATTGCACATTTTTGTTTGCGTCTTTTAAGTAAGTTTTCTAGATATACATCATTATTGCCATTTGATATCAGATTTATGGTATAAAATTCAGATCATTATTGACAATGAATTCAGATTTATTATAACCCTTATCGAAGGCGTTCGTCAGCAACTCATATTCAGGCTGATGATTTGACTTGCGAAAAAGGAAAAGGTTGTTGAAATCAATAAAAATTTCCAATTGAAATGACTTTTTTCCGCAGTTCGGTCTCTCAATTATGAGACACTTCAAACTTGGAGAAGGAAATGCAAAATGGTTCATAGGTTTATTTTTATTATCATATATCCACGTATGGAGCATTTCTTAAATTTTGATTTCTAAAATAATTTTCAATGTTTGTTATAATACATTAACTTGAAATAAAAGCTGATTTATTTCGTTGGAGAGATGGCGAATATCACCGTGAATATTATCAAAATTGATCTGCAGCTGAATGATATTTCCAGAATTGAACATCATATCTCTTCGGATGTCTGTGATAGGGACTTAGATTTTTATAATAAATTTTATCAATCTTTTTCTCCTCATATGCTACCTCGAACGACAACAGCGTGTGAATGAACTACCCTCTTTATAATTACTAATTACTCTATATTACTCAACATATTACACTATATTTTTTAATATTTTTAATCGGTTCATCACACTTGACTAGATGAAATTAATTGTCTTAACCGAAACGTAAAAAATACATTATGTAGAGTGAATTTATAATCTTTTGATTATCAATTATTTCGTATGGTACATTAGCTCTCATTTTTATTAATCAAGATTATAAATGCATTTGATTCCTGCGTTTACTTACTTCAATATATATCGTTTCCACAATTACAACAGAGTTCTCGTTACAAGCGAACGCTTGTTCCAAGATTGATTCTTTCTTCAATTCTTGTAAGTCGTTCAGAAAACTCATTTTGCTTTCTTTCTACTTTTGCTACATCATTCATGTTGACATCTGCCCTTGTTTCAACACCATCAATACATGCCTTTATTCAACCTGAATTCTCTCTAATGATGAACTCATGAAGCTATATAAGGTTACTTTCACGATAAGTTAATATTTTATTCGGTTCCATGTTTTCATCAGCTTCATTTTGTAGCATCAATTTAAGTTGATTAATTTCATTCTGATTTGATATAATATCTCAAGAAAACTCATGAAATATATGTTACAAATATACAAACATAAATTAGCAGATGGTATTAATTCGCGAGCATTGAACCACTTTCGATATAGAATATTGGTTGTTACACTGATGCTTGAGTTAGCGAACCTTATTAGTTAAATCTTTCATTCACTTTAAGATTGCTGGTTGCTGCAGGCGTTGGATTGAAAAGGTGTAGTTGACTGCTCTTATTAACTAAATCTTTTATTCGCTTTGTAATTGCTGGTTGCTGCAGGCACTGGACTGATGAGGTAGAGTTGACTGGTCATACTAGGTAGATCTTTTATTTAATTTATAATAAAATTATTGCTGGTTGTTGCAGGCGTTGAACGGAAGAAGTGGAGTTGACGGCTCTTATTAGACAAATCTTTTATTTTCTTTATAATTGCTGGTTGCTGCAGACACTGGAGTGATGAGGTAGAGTTGACGGGTCATACTAGCTAGATCTTTTATTTAATTTATAATTGCTGGTTGTTGCAGGCTTTGGCCGAAGAAGTGGAGTTGACGGTTCGTATCAGAAAAATCTTTTATTTGCTTTATAATTGATGGTTACTGCAGGCATTGTACTGAAGAGGTGAAGGTGATGGTTCTTATTAGCAACATCTTATATTCTTTTCTTAATTGCTGGTTATCGGCGGGGCGGTAGGTGCTGGAACTGCGGAGGAGGAAATTTAGAAACTAAAAATAGTGCTATAGCTTAAAAGTACGCATTATGGTTAAAAAATTATATTAGAGAAAAAATGCTAATCCTGACATTGATGTGATAACATCAACATTGAATTTTCTATTACCAAATGTTAAAATGTAGTTAAACTTCAAACAAACACTAATGAAGCCCTCAAATTTCTTTCGGTGTGTAATTTACACTCAACATATCATGTAACTTCTTATCGTGGATCCATTTAGCGGCTGTGTTTGGGTGATGTTTGAATAAGTTGGTGATATATTTTGTTTTCTAAGAAGTCCATACAAGTAGAGTGACAATTTCGCTTCATTAATTTAACGATCCATTTCAATTTATTAGCATAAGACATAGAAATACATATGTTTTTGGCTATTGCTATTTGGATGGTTGAGCTTCGTTTTCCCAATAAGTATTCATCATAATGTTTTTCGTAGAACTGATTTAAAAAATATCTATAAAGCATCTGCTCGTTAGGCAGAGACATGTTTTGATTTCATTACACTCTATCGGAACCTTCATCATAATCATCACACATAGCAGCAGATGGGTCTATATATTCAATTTCATTATTATTTTCAACTAATGTTCAAAGACGCGCAACAAGCATTGTTCCGGGCTTGAAAGGCAAGTCCTATGAGGAGAGATTAAAGATTATGAAGCTTCCAAGCCTCAGTTATCGACGTCTGCGTGGGGACCTCATTGAAGCATACAAGTATACTCATGGCTTATATACAAGGTCCCAGAAGTATTATTAGAATTTGAAACAAGGACCAACACCAGGGGCCACGGCTATAAACTAAAAAAACTGCGTTGTAACACATCGATGCGACAAAATTTTTTCTCGCTTCGAGTCACCGACATGTGGAACAGCCTCCCTGATAGCATCGTTGACGCTCCGAGTATGAACGCCTTCAAGAAATATGTTCAGTCTTAAAATGCCTAGCAAATTACGGACCAGGCAATAAGTCCAGCAGCTATCTCAATCAATCGTCAGCTATGGAAAGATCGGTTTCCAAAGGCCGGACCCCTTGTGAACCAAGTCATGAAAAGTTCAAGAATCGGCAACAGGCCATGGGCCTATTTTCTTCAATGCCGACACTTCTATTCTTCTATTCATAAATGTTTTTTCTGCAAATTGTTTGTTTCCTGCTGCGTTTCTATTATTCCGCCATTTTTGAAATCGAAAATTTGTCTTATCTATAACAGGAAATTTGTTGGGATTGGTGTTCTATATTCTGTGATCAGTTTTTTCATAATATCATATGATTAATCGCATTTATCTATCATTGATTTAACTTGCGTCATATCGCAGCGCGCATTTGCCAGTCTTTCTATTTCTTCAAGTGAAACTATTCTTTCCATCACTTTACTCCTTCAAATGCTGAGGCCGTTGATGAGAATGAACTGGAAGCTAGAATGAACTAAAAACTCATTAGAAATAAGGAAAGCCAAAAAATTAGCTAAGATTTATTCAGAACAGTTATTCAGAAAAGGAATATTACTATGAACCTGGGTGCGGAATTTCTTATAATTTTTTATCATCCAAGCTTATAAATTCTGTATAATTTTTAAAAAATTACAGATATTCTAGATTTTTTATTATATATTTTACGGTTGTAGATAATATTCTAATGGACACTAATTGATAGCATGGGTAATATCTGTCACGAGCCGTGGGATATTAAGATATTAATTGTACATCAGATAATATTCTATTAGTAAAATTTGTGAGCTTAAGGGTCTACCCTAAAAGTCGTAAATTTGGCGTTTTTCGGTTTTATACTCATCTTAAAGCTGACATTCTGACCTATCCAACGGTACCAAAATCATCTCTGTACGTTGATTTATGCGTTCACGACAGATCCCGCAAGGGTGGGGGGTGGTGGTGTTCTTTAACATTTAAGATACGGGGAAATTAGCTGCCGAGCACTTTAAATAGTGTCTGCTAGAGCTGCACTTCAGTCACCCGCCTGGCGTCGTATGGGGTGGTGTGCATGCAGTCGTTCCCGCCATCCTTGACTAGAACTAAGCTCCAGTAACGTTTAGTTTTGTTTCCTTGCTACATTGAGTGCCTATTCCAATGCGCGCGGGACTTTGTCGGGCTCTACTGAAAAGTTAACTTATTGTCACTGCAAACCTATCTCCTTCTAGAGTTTTGAAGCTACATTAATGAGAGATATACCGTTCGAATCGTAAAGACCATAACTATCGAGTAACGAAGCCCCTTTTTAGATTTGTGCATAGTTTGGGTTGAAAATTGGGGGGAAGGGGGGGAGAAAATCAGAAGAAAATGAGAAGAAAATGGGGAAATGCGTGTAAAAAACTAAGGTAAAAATCGAAAATCGGACTGTGTTACTCGATTGGTATGGTCTTTATGAATCGAATGGTATTCTTTCGATGCTGTAGCTTGAAAACTGTAGGAGGAGATAGATTTTTAAAGTACCCTCTTTTTTACAGTTTTCTATGGATTTCACGTTTCCTATGAATTTTTCCGAAAAAATTATACGAACAAAATATGCTTGTTTTTTTGGTTTTACATATATGCGTGAAGTTTCAGAAAGATCCATTAGTAAATGTGGAAGTTTTTCTGGAGGGTAGACGCCCCCTTAAATTCAAACAAGTCTGAATACATGAAACGTCTCTAATAATAATTTTACAGATATTCTGAATATTTTTTGGTATTTTTTTATGTGATTGATAATATTCTAATGGACACCAATCGACGGTATTGTAATATCTGCCATGAGCCGTGGGATATTAATATATTTATTCCGCAAAAGATAATAATATTATCTAATAAATTTAGTAAATATTCTAATAATGAAATTTGGAAGATTAGACTTGCACAATTACTGCCATACAAGAGCGTCTCGAATATTTATTTTCAGATACTCTAAATATTTTTAGACATTTATTTTCAGATGATTGATAATATTCTAATAGACACTTATCGACGGTATTGTAATATCTGCCATGAGCTGTGGGATACAAGGGACGTCATGGCTTAAATAACCAACCACAGGAAATTCGTATAGTAAATAATTCACCCCATTAACTTGCTATGAAATAGAATGGAATATTATTTAGCCATGGTAACTACGTATGATATGAAAAATCAATGACTAATTAGCTAGTCCTTCAATTAATGCAACACTTCTGTAATTATATATTGCACTAGAACAAAATAGGACTCACCTAGTTCAACTTACGGATGCGGATTCAACTTACACTCACTCTCACATCGTGAAATGAAGTAATCATCTTGTTACATGTGAAGCTTCTTCCACGGAAATTACACTAGAAGTTGCTCTTCTTACATGAGCGGATAACGTAATAGGAATAGAATAGAAGTGTCGGCATTGAAGAAATAGGCCCATGGCCTGTTGCCGATTCTTGAATTTTTCGTGACTTGATTCACAAGGGATTCGGCCTTTGGAACCCGATCTTTCCATAGCTGACGATTGATTGAGATAGCTGCTGGACTTATTGCCTGGACTGTAATTTAATGGGAATGATTGTTATGTCTTCAACGAAAGGGAATGTGTTAGCCTTGTTAACGGTGCTGAAAACCTAGTGAATGTCTATCAGACGGATGTGTTGCGTTCATACCCGCATTTACAATGCTCAGCCGTGTAATATTACTTCGAATCTTACGTGTGATAACATACCCTTTTCTTTCACACTTACTCAGGTGCATCAGGTAACAGTGGCGGTAGCTCTGTTTGTATACTATATGTGTGGGGCTGCCATTATCGCACGTATTTCAAAAATTTAAATTAATTATGCATCCCAAAGAAATATCTTCCACAGTGACACTAGCTCTATGTTATGTCCCGGGTTCTCGGCATTGGGTAAAATGTGCAGGTCAGCTGTGGCTACAGGGGATTTAGGGCGTTTGTGCAGATTGTGATGATACACTCGTTTTATCCCCTACTCCTATTCTTCTAGATCTTGTCAATAATTTTCAGATTAAATTCAATTAAGTTGATTGAATACAGAAAACTAAAACAAAACAATATTACCATAGAACGCCATTCAATCGCGCTAAAGTTCGAGCGAAACCTAAATTTTGATTTCGAAATTTGAATTGAATTTGTTGGACTGAAGCTAATCAAAATTTCAACCAAGTCATATCCAGTTTTTCAATGCCGCTCAATTTTCTCACAAAATGAAATAACAGATCAGATAATTTGTTGAACGCGATATAGAGAATTTAAGATGAGAACTGAATAACCATTATGTATTTAGGGTACCGACATCATCCGACCGACGATAACTGAAGCCGTTATCTATAAGGATTAGGCTTGTCTATCCCACATTATACAGCTTCTACACACATGACCTCCCACCACCACTTTCCAACACAGATTACATAGCATTTGCAGACGACATAACACAAATAACAGGACGCTTCGAACACAACTATACTGCACAACAAATACAATACGCCATCCAACAGATAAACATATTCGAAAAGAAATGGCTAATTAGGACCAATACTACCAAGTTCAAAATCGTCCCCATCAATCGACAAAAAACATTTGGCATATTCATAGACAACACTAACTACCCATACACGAACAACGGTAATGTTTTAGGTTTAAAATTCACAATACATGGTTTTAGGTCACAAGTAACAGTTAGGAAAGCAAAAGCCCTTACCAAATCTACATAAAATGTACAGATTCTACCACCGCCCTCCAAATATAAAACGTACTCTATGCCTGACTCTTGTTAGGTCAGCTCTCATTTATCCCCAAATACCCATAATACCCTATCCAAAACAGCAATATCCCAACTGCAGAAAGTCCAGAATAAAGCACTGAAATTCATTACAAACACACACTGGTCCGACTTCATATCCTCTCAAACACTACACGAACAATGCAACATTTCCACAACAAACACAGTCCTCCACCAATATGCACTTAAAATCTGGACCACCAGCAAAAGATGTGATCCCCAACTCTTCTTCAATCAACTCTTCAACTTCAATCAACTTGCAACTTCAATCAACTTCAATCAACTTGCCCCCACACGCCATAGCAAGGCAGCACCGGTTATTCCATAGCTACAAAACACTAGCACTAGGTCGCCCACCTCCATCCCTGTACAAATAAATACACAGCAGACCATGCAGCACCCGGACGCATTTGTTCTCATCACTTTTGGGTGTAGCTGGTCCCAAAACAACACACATCGTCAGAGACACCATCGCGCTGACGGGCTGACGTGACTCACCGAAAGTGACGTACAGTAGAAACGTGACCGAAAACCTAGGACGAAACCAACCCTCAACCTCCCTCCAAGTCTCGAGCGACCGCCTTCATCTTCATCATCAGCAATCATCATTAGCATCATCACGTCCCCCCCTTTGTCACCATATCCATTACAAAATACACAAAAATATAATAATAAAAAAAGCGAGAACGCATGTATATATGGAAATAGAGAACCACCTCCCTCCCATCACGACATCACCCATCTTCCTGAACCATCCAAAGCCCCGACGGTTCCCAACCCCTTGCCCAATCCCAAACATCCCTAATTACTTTTAATCGAGCAAATCACGCGCAATGCGTCTTTTTATTATCTCTGTAAAGAATATGGCTCTTTGTTCAGGGGATTGTTCAGAATGAAAACTCGTTGTGGATTGTAACGGTTTCTGAAAACAAAGAATGAACAATCTGAATACAAAATTTAGGTTATATTCGAGATTATAAACAATATAGTTCAGCAAAATTCTTTACAATCTCCTACTGTCTTTTTCATTTCTCCTCCCTCTTTCTGGCCACTCTGCGCCACCTATTGGTGCTCTTCCTCTCTTTCTTAGTGGCACTGCAACCAAAAACAAGCTATCCATCTGATAACTACCGGATTTGAGATTGTTACGGACTAATTTTCACGGTTCCAAATTTTCGTGTTGTATCATATTTACGTGTATCATGTAATTATTTTCACCAAAAATTTCAGTATTCAATGCTTCCTATAACTTGAGAATGAATGTTGCTACATTTGAAAGGTCGTTGATGAATTAAAATAACTTCCTTAAACCTGTATTTTGATCAACCAACGTCATCTGAGGAATATTGTTCGACCTTGAAAATTTAAGCAACGAATTCTATGGTCACTAACCGGCCTAGTTTGAACAAGCTAATTCTGCCATCTAATACTAATACTCGTATTTGTGAACATAATAATATCATAATCTTCCATAGGCCCCTCCGAATTATGGAACTTCAGGTGAAGGTCTAGTGAGCATCGTGATGGGAGGTGTGGAATTTTCACCAATGACATTAAACCAAAACGCGGCCACGAGGAACATTTGGTCAAAATCTATTCCGTGGCCAATCGGAGCAGACGCAATGGTGGTGGTTCCCTACAGGTGCGAAGGTGAGAAATTTAATGAAACTTAGAAGATTAACTATGAAAAACTAACATAATTTGAGCATTGAAACAGTTATTGCTATGGTCAAAGAAACGCAGTTATTTGAACCCCATAGAAGTTTGGGTTTCTAACTACAATTCTCTACCTGATAAATTTTTCTATTCGCGTGAACTTGCACTGACTTGTTAATCTTGATTTTTGGGTGAAACATGGATTTATCATGAAAAAATTTCTTTGGATGGAATAAATTTCATAGCCTGCTGAAATTTTTTTTATTAGACTTTTATAAACTTTTTTAAACTTAACTCAACCTCTGTTCAAAACATAGGTTGATTACCGACATTTTAATGTAAATTTTTATTAAAATTTATGTAATTTCAGTCCAACAACATGTAATGAATTCGAACAGCAACACTAATATATCTCCATGACAGAGACCAGGCTGGGATGTTTTCAATAAAATAATTATAAAAAATTAATATGTCTACTTTAATTTTCTAACTTTTAAACCTTGACATGATCAAATGCCTGTCTCAGTGCTGAATTAGATGCGTAATAAATAGATGAGTCTAAACCTAGAGAAGACAATAATTTCCCTAGCTACGTATACTTAGTGGACAAGAGCTGTAACTATTAAAATATAATTTTCCAATTTTATTCATTTAATTTTTGTTAAGGATGATAAATGATGGAAAATTGCACGCAAACTTATTCCCTGGAACTTGTTCATTTCACAATACCATAATACCGGACAGCCAATAGACAATAGTACTGCTTTCGTTAGGTGCGGTCAACTTGACGCGCTTGGAGCCGGCGCTGAGGTCCTGGGAGAAGGAAACATGTGTGAGATTCCGTGAGATGGCAGCCAGTGAAAAGCTTCACGACACCTACCTCCTCATTAGAGCATCCACACACTGCACTACCGCTACACTGGGCATCAATCCGAGTGGCCCGACTACTGTGGACATATTTGATGCCTGTGGGGTATGGCTGTGCCTTACAATTATAATGCGAACCATGATGTTTGGCAAAATCCAATTTCAACCCAACCTCATTAACCTATAAAAAATAATAATGCGCTTTTCGCCTATCTTTAATTGTCTCATACGGTATTTTCAAGTTCTTCCTCTTTCTTGCCGCTCAGTGTCACTAGTCTTTTTTCCCTTCGTTCCTGCTCCCGGTGATACCGCCACAACAACAGAAACATCTCGTAACACAGACATTATAAATGGATACGAAGAACATATACCATCAGAGTACTATCAAAGGGCCGTACTATCAAAGTAATTTGTAAATTCCTACTGCCGTCCCCTAATCACTGAAAACGCAACCAATCACAGACAAGAAATCGGCCGCTACGTGTGCTTAGTTTTGATAGCACATAAATTTGATAAAACGGCTCTAGAAAGCTATATGTGGGTTGGTATTCATGTTAAAAACTAATTTATGCTTTTGAATTCATCAACTGGTCCGGACTTTGTAGTTAGGGTTATGAGGCTGCACAAATTTATCGTAAAACTTATTAAATCGCAGATGACTGCATGTGGGTAAGTTCATTGGTTAATCATATTGATTAAATAACACAATTTGATCAATTATATATCATAATATTATCAATTATGCATTATCAAATATTATATAATAATAGAACAGGAATTTTATTTCAAAGCCGACTTAAAGTTCTTGTGAACTGCATGGAGGTACAGAAACTAAATACAATATTCACGTTTAACTAGTTGATTGACGTGGTTTCGGCAAAATTAATCTAAACCTTCTCTGTTGAAGTTGAAAGGTTTCTTCAAGCTAACGTAGAAGAAATCAAGTTTATGCACTCTGCTGAATACTTTAGTGCAGCAGATTATTGCCCTAAATGTTCATCGATTTTTTTTTTACATATGGGATTGGAACCCATTTTCTTTTTGGACATGCGGTGGATATCGTGTGAAATCAAAAAATGATCTCCTGCCATTCAAAAACTATTTAGGAATACAATTCCCAACTGGAGCTCTGAATTAACAGGAGCGAAAAATTGCGTCACAATAACTAGTTAATTTTTAAATCAATGCTAGATGAGATATTTAAAATTGAATGTAAGATAATTAAGTAAGCAGGCATTTAGATCACTGGGGCGCTCTATTCAAGGATAAGTCTTAAAAATCAAAGATTCCGTCACGGCCATTACGCAGACTTACATATATGTCCCATTTTCAATGTACCTGCACATGTGCAGATGCGTAATTTGAAATTAATTTATAAATTTCTTGTAGCTTTAGTAGTGGCAATAAAAAAAATTGCTTCCAAGTATACTGATAACGAATGATTTAGAATGAATTTACAACCTTTAGCAAAGCAAAGGGTAATCGAGAAGTTAAGATCACCATGGAGCAGCGACCCTATCTCTTATTGGTACCATTTAGGTGCTAGAGAGGTTGGCCTCTCTAGGTTAGTTATTTAGGTGCTAGAGAGGCTGGCCGCACTTGTCTTAGCATTAATGAATCAGGCGTTTTCCCACCGCCAATTGTATTCAGCCGCTTACTTCACCCTTTTAGGCAGATTTTTTACCAAAAATTTGAAGATTGAATGACACCCGAATTATGTGGCTGATGAAGCAGTTCCTGAACTAATTCTGCTCAGCCGCCGGAACGAAGTTTTAAGTCGAGTGTGACAAGCGCCTTAATTAGACACGCAAACAATTCTTGTGAATGAGCACGCGCTTATGCGAAGGAAATGCGAGAATTCTAGCAGTCCCTAGAAGAACAATATTTATCGCAATTCGCAATATATATTCTTTTAGATAAATGAAGGATCTCGGTGGGCAATAATAGAGAGTGGCGATATTCATTGCGCGATTTCGGCATTTACTTTCGCATTTATGAAAGTAAATGGCGAAAATCATGTAATATTAAGCCGCCCTGGGGATCACAAATTTATTGCCTGTTATTCGAATAAAATCGTCTCAATCATGATAATTATCATGGGTGACGACTGACGCGAAAATAAAAAATAGCATTTACTGCTGAATTCATAGAGGTTTATCGTAGTTGTGCTCTGCGGCCCAGCAAGTTATCAGGTACCATATACTGTATATGCGCACCCCACATTCACATGAAAGTAAACCAGATGCTAAAAAGACTCGTATGTATCTCGGCGAATAAAATCGGGTCAACATGGCCACGTCAAAACTAACATCCTTAAATTATATTGTTATTATGTAATCATTGAAAAATAATAAGTATACTCATTTATTCCAGTACGGAGGCGTCATCCACGAGCTTGGCCACGCCTTGGGCTTCATGCACGAACAGTGCCGCAGCGACAGGTTTGTCCGCTGATTGTCTATATCGCAGCAAAAATTTTGATTTATTTATTTATTCATTTATTACTTATTATTTTTGGTAACAAACTTTTATGATCGGTTAACCCATCAGGCCCCGAACATTGAAATAATTGAAATATTATGACTATACTTCGCTAAATAAAATTCGGTATTTACAATATATCGAATTATTATAAAAGTGCTTGGTGGCATTTGTTTCCCTTAAAAAAGTTAAAAACCTCTCGCCATGCCGGTATTTAAACCAGCAAATAACGAAGAATTTAAATCCATAATATTTCATCTTAACGCCAGAAATTAATCATATTAACAGAGAAATGGAAGAATTAATCCATTAAAATGTTCGATTATATTTCAAGAAACAATTGTGGAAAAATATTTTCGGATAATTCGAAAAAAATGTCAAGCAAATTGTCTACCTTAAGCTACAATTACTACTTTCAAATGCTTTCTGTGAGATTTTGTTAAGTTCTGACATAATGAATGAGCCTTGTCTTCTTATTTTGTAAAGATAATTTTTGACTGCTTTTCGCTTGAAAGCAGAAGTGCTTGTATATTTTTTATGGTTCCCTTCAAATTTTCAACGAGGTTTATGTCAGCTGATTATGTAAGCTTTTAAGACAAAAAAATAATTCATCAGGTTCTACGTTTGATAATATAATGCAAAAACAATTGGTCACCGACCTGCAATCCTATAGTCGTTTCCTGTATAAGAGGAAGCAATATCTGCCTCGAACACTAAAATGTGCAGAAGGCTCCGATGGGCTTAATTGAGCAAATATCGATATGAGCTTATAATCGTAGAGTAAAAGTTTGCAGGTTCAGGAAACATTTTGGTTTACAGGAAAGGGCAAAATCCAGTAAAAATTCCGCGAATCGTTGATGACGTTCCAAGTAAACTCTGTCTAGAAATTCACTATTCTCGTACAAGCAAAATTGATCGATATAATTGATACCCAGTTACAAAAACCTGGATTTCTCAGAAGTTGAAGGCATATTTACTAAACACTATAATATAAGAAGCTTCACTGATGTACTCGTTTGCGACTGCTAATATAAATTTCTTTCAGAGACAAGTACGTGATCATTCATCTTGAGAACATCAGAAAAGGGGTTCCTGCGTATGAGTACTCCCTGAAGTCCACTAATAATTTCGACGTGCCTTTCGACTACACATCCATCATGCTTTACTCTGGCGCCGTAAGTTTATTTTATTTGTGAGTGTGAAACTTAACTCAAACTTAAGCTTAATTGTATTATTTGTACTCGAAATTATGAGCTTAAATCGACAAAATCATAATTTCAACATCTTGTTTGCTTCCCGCATTTTACATTGAAAATGCTAAACGTCCATATTACGTCAAATGAGTCAGATTTACCAACATAAATGCCTCATATCCTGACAAAGTTGCAGTTAAATATTGATATATTCGATAATTTATGGTAAAAATTTTCCTTAGAATTTTCAAAAATATAAAACAAGTTAACCATCAAAGGGAGCGAGAGGTTGAATATCACAAAGGTTTTTTTTTTTCATAAAATTCACACTTCTGTCACTGCTGATTTCAGCACGCAGATATTTTGAAAACAGTGGAGTAACTTCATATGAATGCTCATACTTGTTTCAAATACTGCTCTCTGCACAAGTCGGTATATCACGTATAATGTGTCTTTTCAACCAGAACTTGTCTATATTTGCTTCTTCTGAACCATCGTCCATCAAATATTGAATTTCAAAAGAAAAATGTAACCAAATGAATTTTAATGAGAAATGTTTTTAAGAACTGGACGCTGAAAGAGGTGGCACTTTTTACGAGCGTAATTATATTTTAAGCCATGAGGTATTTTTCACAATTAATCCAAGTAGATCAGCAACTAATAAAAGCGCGTTCTCTCAAAGCTTCCTCAATTTAATTTATTTTGACCCGAAATTCTTACAGATTTTGCTTGAAAGATCCCCTAAAATTGGCAAAAAAAAGCGGATCCTTGCTTGTAGAGAAATTACCAGCAAGTTCCTTAGATTTTCACAACCTTATAGGTTTTGAGCTGATATTTTTCCAGAAAAAGAAACATAATTTGGTATGATAATTCACCAATTCAGTCTGAGTGTGTTAAAAATTGTAGAAAAAAGTCTTCAAATATATCTGCTGCTTATAGATTTAAAATATAAATGACCTATGCTAAAACCTAACGAGGTAATTGAATCCATCTTTAATTTTTATTCTGCAATCGCGCAGCTTTCAGTTTTCGCTATCAAATTCCAGGGAGAGAATGGGACTAGAGTGATGGTTGCACGGAATCCTCTCTTCCAAACCGTCATGGATTACGCACAGTATCTCCCCACTGCCACACCGTCATTCATGAACATAAAGACTTTGAACAGGAACTACAGATGCGACAGTAAGTGCAGCGGTTGCGTAAGATTTTGAACAGGATCGAACTACAAATGCGGCGGTGAGTGCAGCGGCTGCGTTATCACATCAAAGATAAAGCTATTTAAGGCCCTGATTGAGAACCGCGAGCCTTCGCTATGAATGTGTTTAAAAACTAGGCTGGCTATAGGCTCCACTCGTGAATGAGATGGCGATATAAATTTTTCCATGCTCGCCGAGCTATTCATTTATAAACGGTCGACAGTTACAAAAAATATGTAAACCTTGTATTAAAAGAGTTATGATGAAGGTAATTTCAAGAAACTTTGAATATTAATGTTCACTAAGTCTGCGACTTTTACACTTTTTTCGAGGTGACAACGGGTTATAATTTTTATTTCTCCACTGAATGGTATACTCGGCATTCCTTGATCAGCCTTTTTCTTGTAGATATTACCTACCAAAAACTAGTTATGAACGAGCATGCTGATACGTGAAGGGAGAATCTATATATTGGCTAGGCGTCGTGGAAAGTTTGAGGGGAAACAGTAGTCGTAAATCTCACCTGTCAGTCCACGACGGGTGGTCCGGAGAAGCGGAACTCAATGAGGGGGCGAGGAATAATACGTGGCCATTGGTCGGCCGCGACCAATTAATTCTAGCCGACCGCTGACCATTACTTGGCCACCTGAAAGCCGCCCATTGCCCCATAAAGGGTGCTCGGATATCATTTTACAAAGACCACAAGATCGTGAGTTGAAACTGGCCGAGCTAAGGACAGAACTAGGATTTCACACCGTTGTTGCGAATGCCTCGCTCTCAGACTTTGCGCAGTCTGACTACCAGCCTTAAGGCTTGTAGTCAAAATGCAGCGAAGTCTGAGAGCGAGGTTTTCGCGACCATCGTGTAAAATCCTTGATTTGCCCAAAGCTCGGCCAGTCGCTACCCTCGAGCTTGTACTCTTTGTAATATGATATCCTAGCCAGACCCTTCTTATCCGACCGACGATAACTGAAGCCGTTATCTATAAGGATTAGGCTTGTCTATCCCACATTATACAGCTTCTACACACATGACCTCCCACCACCACTACCCAACACAGATTACATAGCATTTGCAGACGACATATCACAAATAACAGGACGCTTCGAACACAACTATACTGCACAACAAATACAATACGCTGAAGATCGAAGAGGGTGGTTTGGCTGGTGGTTGGGTAACTTGGGTTTTGAGTAAGATTTTACAGCAACCTTCCCTCTTCCCTAATTAATTGATGGTCACGTCTAGTGGGGTTGTTGTAAAGACTGCGAAGCTCAGATAGTTTATTGGGGTTGAAGAACGAAGACGCCGACCGACCAACACCCCTTAGTATAGATGTTAACACGTCGACGTGAAAAAGCAAAGTGATTCTACCGTGTGGTTCTAGCTCTGTCCGCTAGCACGTTCTAAACGAAAATCACAACTTTCGAGTGATCGAATTAAATATGAGAAGTATTTTGTCGGATATCGAACTATATTGTAACTCAAAAATCATACGAATATTATTAGTGCTAGAAAATTGAGAATATCTCTCGACAGAATGTTTGCATGATTATTCACAAGTTAAATTGACGACATAGGAAGTAGTTGGCAAGTTTCTAGGTAATTAAGTTGCGAATAGCTTTAGAAATTGGTGATTAACTAGTTTGAATAGTTAATGAAAATAATTACGACATTCACAATAAATGGTAGCGCGAGTTATGATCGAGTCACTATAGAACTTCCCCGGCGAGAACAGAGTTCCGTAGGAAAATATTGAATAGGTTATACAATGACATTCGTAAAATTAATGCACATTCAGAAAATCCATATCTTTCATCCTGGTACTGAATTAACTGAGGCTAACTGCAGCCTGTGTTTTAGCAATACATATAGGATAGAGAGTTGGCATCATTGGCATAAAATCGAGATCATTGTTAGCAAAATCGTTACCGTTCAGACATAGTACATTGGACACGAAATCATGAATTCGTAGTTTTGAGGAAGAGGGTGGCTTTGATGGTGGTTGGGTAACTTGGGTTTTGAGTAAGATTTTACAGCAACCTTCCCTCTTCCCTAATTAATTAATGGCCACGTCTAGTGGGGTTGTAGTAAAGACTGTGAAGATCAGATAGTTTATTGGGGTTGAAGAACGAAGACGCCGACCGACCAACACCTGTATCAGTGAGGGCCGTTAGAATCGACATGACAAGAACACAATGAAATAACAATATCAAAGAATACAAAACACAATTAATAACTCAGTTATGACAGCTACACTGAATAATCCGTTACCTAATAGGAATAGAATTCTAGCGAAAACTTACCCCTTAGTATAGATGTTAACCCCACGGCGTCGTCTAGAAAATGACTTAGCTAACCAACGAGCGATTGGCAGATGGTTCTCCACTGGCGTTCTTACGAAATTTTCACAATATTTTTTGGTACGATTTAACATAAAATATTTACGACATTTACTAAACTTCATCATTCCGTAATTACACGAGTGTTATTCGTGCTCGAAAATTGATGATTAACTACTGTATATTTTATAATGGTTTAAAGTGAAATTGATGAAATCCGAAATACGTAATCGTGATCAAGATAATTAAGTAAAATATTGTTACAGAGGTCGATAATCACGAGTTTGAAGGCTAAATAAAATTAACTATGACATCCAAGAGAAATACTAGTGCGAATCACTACAGTTTTATCTTAGATGAGGGAGGTCAAGGGATGACCGTCGTCGATTTCAGTTTGTGAGCAAGGCAGCTAATAGACATTTGTTGGCATACATTGTGTATGGCGTTAAACATCAGTAAGCTTTAAAAACGAATGCATAGACATTATTCTTTTGGAAACGCGTATGAGGAGGTAATTAATAGAGAATCGCGTGTTTGAGACGAGGTAGCACCGATAACGTGATTAGAATTATCAGTTGAAGTTTTGGTAGGTTCAACCGAGCCATGAGTACAACGGAACACGGTTAAGCAGAGCTTGCTTCATTTTGTTGTAGGGTTCTCTCTCAACCTGTTCAAGTTAGGTTTTTAAGGTAGGACGTCAAGTTGCAACAGGCATGGCATGGCGTTAAATAAGGTATGGGATGCCCGATTGCAAATGTCAGTCAACGGAGTGAATTAAGGCAGAAAGGACAAAATAGTTGCAGGCAGGACAATCGTTTGCACTAATTGATAGTGGGGCGTAAAATCTAGCCGTACAACAATCATGTTTTTCTCTTAATGTAGTTGAGAGCACTTTCGTGATCTATCAGGAGATTCATCGGTTGAGAGACGAGTTTGGTAGCAATTTTATGAGAGCGAGGACTAACGAGGACTAACCGGAAGCTTTTAGCTTCATGCATTTTCACAAATGCAGTGAGAATGGTATTACTTTAGATTAAGTGCATCCAAAAAAGGTGTTTTTTTATTATATGTTTTTTGGGCTGTAGATAAAGCATAAGAAATCCGTTTTTGGCGGTCGGCATATATTTGGTCGGCATGGGTCACCGAGGCTAAGTTAAAAACACTATAAATCCACGGGTTTTACGTCCACGATTTAGCTTGCATTTTATCTTCATTTTTACTCGGGCTGTGTGAGGCGTAGAGAACAAACAAATATATCATCAAATAAAACGCTTTCAAATGCACCTTCCTGTTATAAAACGAGTTTAGGTTAGGTTAGATTAGGTTAGGTTAGGTTCATTCCCAGATCGATCGTTTTCTATAGAAAATATATAAAAAAATAAAAAATCGGTTTTCCGATGCCGACCGCCAAAAACGGATTTCAGATTCTTTATCTACACCCCAAGAAACATATAATTAAAAAAACACCCTTTTTTTGGATGCACTTAATCTAAAGTATTACCGTGAGAATTGCTAAGTAACAAATGAAATGATAATAACAGCACAATACGTCATGGTCATCACGAAATACATATTTGGGGCTATACTGATATGTGGCAACTTTGAGAAGCATCAATATAGCGTATGCTACGTAGCATAAATTCATAATGGCAGGCAAGTGGTACACAGTTTAGGCGGGTGGGTGGTCAGTAGATAGAACTTAAGAAGCATTTTCAGTTTCACTCGACATGCAATTGTAATAAATGATGCCATTTAAAAAAAAATGTTTCAGTCACTTTTTCACAGTTTATAGCCAATTTCTCATTTCAGAGCAAATTTTTAGATTATCAACTTTTCAGTGGCAATTTTCACAGATTGGCAGCTTACACTCTGGGGCAATTTTTCAAGATTAGCAGCAAGTTTTCACAAAATTTTGTTACTTGAATTCAAGAGATTAGCAATGCCGCGAGCCTGCGAGACAATATGAATACACAGTATACACTGTAAGGATGGCAACGCTGATCTCAATACATGAGAAAAATATTTTCTACACCGGTTTCACTGAAAGTTTTCTTGAATTACACTCACTCACTGGTTAAGTTCAGGCTGCTGGTATTGAGAGCAGTAGGCAGTAAGTTGAGCCTTCTTTTTTTTTCGGGCTGGTCTTGAGAGTTTGAAGTTCCACGTGCTGATGTTTGTTGTGCCTTCCTTTTCAGTCTGGTCTTGAGAGGTGAAGTTGCACGTGCTAATCTTTTCTGGGGGGGGGGGCACTTGAGAAGGGTGATGAGATGATGTTTCTTGAGTGTATAATTAACAAGGCAAAGTATCTTGTGGTGAGGTTGAATATTCAGATTTGCCAGGATCAGAGTGCATTAAGAATATTATAGGCAGATATCCTCCAGGACTTTTAATAAAATTTGTGAGGGATGATTCTGGTCTGGCCGTTAGAGTTCCGGGTGTTGAAATAAATTTTGATTAGGCCCTAGGGTTTTTTCGGGGTGTTGGTCGGCAAGGTTGGATTTTATTTCACAGTGAGGAGTTTGTTCACAGATCACAGTTGGGTGTTCGCAGCGGAGGGGTCATCAATGAGGTCAATGAAGTAGTTGGGTAACTTGGGTTTTGAGTTAGATTTTACAGCAACCTTCCCTAATTAATTAATGGTCACGTCTAGTGGGGTTGTATTAAAGACTGCGAAGCTCAGATAGTTTATTGGGGTTGAAGAACGATGACGCCGACCGACCAACACCCCTTAGTATAGATGTTAACACGACGACGTGAAAAAGCAAAGTGATTCTACCGTATGGTTCTAGCTCTGTCCGCTCGCACGTTCTAAACGAAAATCACAACTTTCGAGTGATCGAATTAAATATAAAAGTATTTTGTCGTATATCGAACTATATTGTAACTCAAAAATCATACGAATATTATTAGTGCTAGAAAATTGAGAATATCTCTTGATAGAATGTNCGTCATGGATTACGCACAGTATCTCCCCACTGCCACACCGTCATTCATGAACATAAAGACTTTGAACAGGAACTACAAATGCGACAGTAAGTGCAGCGGCTGCGTAAGATTTTGAACAGGAACTGCACATGCGGCGGTGAGTGCAGTGTCTGCGCTAAGATTTTGAACAGGAATTACAAATGCGACGGTGAGTGCAGCGGCTGCGTTATCACATCAAAGATAAAGCTATTTAAGGCCTGATTGAGAACCGCGAGCCTTCGAATAGGCTCTGCTCTTCCCTATTAGTTTCTTTGGAAACTAGGCTGGACTTTACTCCACTCGTAAATGAGATGGCGATACAAATTTTTCCACGCTTACCAAGCTTTTTATTTACTAACGGTGGACAGTTACAAAAAAATATGTAAACCTTGTATTAAAAGAGTTATGAGAAGGGAATTTCAAGAAACTTTGAATATTAATGTTCACCAAGTCTGCGACTTATACACTTTTTTCGGGGGGGTCAACAAGTTATAATTTTTATTCTCCACTGAATGGGAGCGCAGCCGTGGTTAACAAAATTGACTCGTAAACAGGCCCTGCGCCCAACGCCAACCATCAGCATGCAATATCTACACATAGCCTCAGATCAATGAGCTGTGGGTAACTCCGGCTAACAGTTAATCCACTTTTCACAAGCGCCGGAGCACAACTGGCCGGAGCGCAACAGGCCCTACCGCAACAGGCGCCGGTTAGGTTAGGTTACGTTAGGAGTAGCTGTTGCGGTAGGGTCTGTTGCGCTCCGACCAGTTGTGCTCCGGTGCTCTAACCAGTGCCTGTGACTGAACGGCGCTGTTGTGGTGGGCGCTATGTGTCGAAAGCCGTGAAGATTCCCGGCTGCGTTACGCTCGGGAAGGTATATGAATCGCACTGTGGACTTATTGGGCTATGCTGACCTCTAGCTATCCACCCCACTGAATGGTATACTCGGCATTTCTTGATCAGTCTCTTTGTTGTGCATATTACCTACCAAAAACTAGTTATGAACGAGCATGCGCATACGTGAAGTGAAAATCCCGTTCATTGACTGGGCCTTGTGGAAAGTTTGAGGAGAAACAGTAGTCGTAACCCTTACCTGTCAGTCCATGACGGTTGGTACGGAGAAGAGGAACTCAATGAGGGCGAGGAATAATACGTGGCCAGTGGTCGGCCGAGACTAATTAATTCTAGCCGACCGCTGGCCATTACACGGCCACCTGAAAGACGTCATTGCCCCTAAATTAAGGGTGCTGGCTCGAATATAATATAACAAAGACTACACGCTCGTGAGTAGAAACTGGCCGCGCTTAGGACAGAACAAGGATTTCTCACCGCTGTCGCGAATACCTCGCTTTCGGACTGAGCCGTAGTCTGAATACCAGCCTTAATGGCGATGATAAACCAACAACATAGTGCTATGCTCTCGTGTGCAATCAAGCTTTGTTGAGCATTTCTGTACAAATTACTCAGTTCAATCAATGATTTGAGATCATCAAAAAATTTTTTTTTAATTTCACTCTTTCATGATTCGCTGTTGATATTTTAATATATTTTCATGTGTGATATCGATTACTTCAACAAATATTTTCAATTTCAAGCGACTTATAAATAATTTCTTATGGATAAAAATGTTTTCCCTTTTATACTAGATCAATAGTCTCAATCTGAGATATTTCCCTTCGCTCGACAAAAATGATACTGCGCACAGTCATTTGGCGATTATTCCCCCATTCTCATCCTCGTTGAATAATTGCAGAGAAGAACCTGAAGAGCTGCGGCCTGGAGACAGACCCGTGTCAGAACCAGGGCTACATGGGCCCCGCTTGCAAGTGCCTCTGCCCCCCTGGCACCAGCGGCGACAACTGCGGCACTCTGGAGATGTCATATGAAGGTCCGTTGTCATTGCAATTAATCGTTATTATCGCCATTAACGATTAAATTTCAAGGGTGTCAATAAATACCCTTGAATAAGAAATACTAGATACTAACACTGGAGTTGATAAGAAATTGATAGGTCAGGTTATGGAGATAAGCAATGTTTTCCCATCATTACTAATTACCGTTTAATACATTCGATTTTGTCATGCGTTCTTCAATAAACATTGGTTTGACGGTGTTCCCATTGAACGGTTGTTTATGTGCAATTTTAAAGTTTTTTGCGCTTAACCCTCTATCGCCGTATGTCACTCTCCGGGAACATAATTTTCAACTCAAATTATACGTAAACTTATGTCTATTGAGTATAGCAACCTGAGGACTTTGGTACGCAACAGAGAACATTGAAGTTGTTGTACGTGGCGGCGACCATCAGTGCGAGTCATTTTGTCCTCACTAGAACGTATTCTTTTTGGGAAGTAGGCGCGTGAGAATAATGCTCCGGTTACTCATGTCAGGCGGTAAAGGGTTAATTGACGTTTGAGTATTTACACTTTGATTGCAAATACAGTGGCGGAAATGGCTATAGGACAACCCAGTTTTCTCTAAATATTTTTTCTTGCTCAAAAAAATACAGAATTCTAATTATACGAGGTTATTCTACGCTTAAAAACGGTTCCGACGATATCCGAAAAAATCATTTTCTCAAAATATATGAGAAGAAATTATGAAAATTAGAAAAACTTAGGTAGAAGAGGTTACACGATCACGATAGGTTTTTTTCAATTTTAGTATCTTTCTGTATTATTTTCGCTTCAAAAAGTACAGCAACAAAGAATATTCTGATTTTCGCCATTTAGGGTACTTATGGTGTATTTTTTCGAAGTAAAAAAGATGCCAAAGTAAAAAAAGACATGACTCACAGAGGACGAGAAGGCGCAGATTTTGGCCTTTGTGAAATGAAGTAGAAGCTAATAACGGGACATCGCAATGGAAAGAAAACGCTCAAAAGCCATTGTACCATCAATTTTTGCTAATCCGGACGTCTATCAATGAAAAAAGTACCCTGGATCCAACCCAAAATTAACCAACAGGGATCTTAGGTGACTGTTTTCAGAGGCTTCTAAAACTGGCGCTACATCGACTTTTATAAAATTGGCCACTGGAGTTGATGTGATAGCACGACGCATTTGTCAGATATTGCATGACTCGAAGAAATTCAAGTACAGGACGAGGAAATGTTTACCCTATGTTTAAACAAATGCATATTATCAACCGACTAAAATTTGCTAAAAAAATGTGCTTATTGGAAAGTGATTGCACAAGATGGTCTTCAATAATGAAAACAAATTCAATCTTGATGGTCCAGATGGATGGCAATGCTATTGGCACCACCTAGACCGTGAGCCTGAATTCTTTTCCAAGCGGCAATCTGGTGTTGGTTCGGTGTAAAGTGCAAGTAAAGACGACTCCAAGTAGATTCGGAAATTAACCCAAAACTGCCACCGATCCTTAACAAAGGAGATATGAAAGCATAATGAACAAATATTCATTGAACAAAACGCGCTAATTGAACACTAACAAACTAACGGTTGAAAAGGTCCTAATAACTAAGCTACGAAACTAAGCACAAGATAGGTAACACAGCAATGGTAGTACACAGCATTGGTAGTATACAGCAATGGTAGTACACAGCAATGGTAGTACACAGCAATGGTAGTACAGGTATTATTGCAGAAGGTTCCATTAAAAATTTCCGATGCCGACCGCCAAAAACGGATTTCAGATTCGTAATCTACACCCCAAAAAACATATAATTAAAAAAAAAACACCCTTTTTTTGGATGTACTTAATCTGCAATAATACCGTAGTACACAGCAATGGTAGTACACAGCAATGGCAGTAAACAGCAATGGTAGTACACAACAATGATGATACTTGGCCTTGAGGGTACACGTACTAAGGACACAGGGTGTTGAAGGCAAAATACTGAAGACTCAATATGCTGAAGGCAATATGCAGATGACACAATCTGCTGAAGGCACACAGTACTGAAGTGTAAAACGGGAAGCGGTACGGCATGAGCTGTGAGTGAACACACGGTAGGTGTCGGAACAGGTAGAGACTTGAATAAGTGGCGGACGCTTCCCTGTAGAAGCACCGCAGTCGTCGGCCTACGTAGGAGCCGTACTTGTTGGCCAGGCAAGAAATCGATCCTGCCGAACAATGATGGTGAGCTAATCTAGTTACAAAGATAAATAGCAACACTATTAATTTAGCAATTTCAAATGCTGAATTCCGCAAACAGAATTTATAAGTGGGGAATTGGTTAACACTTATTCAGCAGGTTCAAAGGTTGAATTACACATACAGAATTATCATATCTTCTATCTCCACTACAACTCACCTACTAGGGACACTACACAGTCACAAGAGTATAGTGAGAGGAAGATGCGCTCCGACCAAGTCTCAACAAAATAATGAATAGATATCCTAACGCGGACTTCAGCCGGGGATAACACGTCAGCACACGCGACACGATTGCCCACTTTACCGGTAACGGTAAACCGTCTAACAGAAAATAATTTAAACCGCAACAATACTTTGACAATGGATGAGTTTCCCTCACATTTGTTCATGGTTTGGGGTGATTTTTTTGAAATTTTTGTTTTATGAAATAAATAAAGAAATCTTATCTCCTACTAATTCAACTTTTGGTTTTCAGATGCCATGTTGAAATTACTTAAGTCGTATTCAAGAAAAATCACAACGAATAATACTGTGGTGACGACGCCTGGCTACCCTGACGCATCAAACCCAGGTAGTCATTCAAGAGGAAAGTAAATAATTTTTTAGATAAATATAAACGTAGATTTTGTAAATTATTTTAAAGCTGTAAGAAGTACCTAATCAATTATTTTTTAGTCAGTCGTTGAAATAAGCAAGAGTAACCCAAACATGATGTTTGTGGTCATCGACCTAACCCCGTTAACCGACTCGGCTAGCAGACACTCGGGAAGATACATCTACTTCCTCATCATTTGCATTTTTTCCCAGGTTCGTTAAAAGTCAATATTATACGAAATCAGATTCAGATAAGAAGCTGTTAAGATGCCAAGAATTGTAAACTCCAATACATTAAGTGTATTCGTTTTATGTCATATTTATCATTCTTCCTACTTGAACGTTATTTTTATTTTCTTTTCCATGAAAAGTAATCATTTACATAGCGTGTTGATGACGATGATTATGAACGATGAGAATGAATGATGCTAAGATGTGATGGAGAGACAACTGCTCTAGGCTCAGATAACTAAATAGGGTTTTTGTTGTTTTAAAATTAGACTTTTGTTCGGGTTGTTGGTTGATGCGTTGCGTTTGTACCTACCAGTGCGTCTATTCAGTCCGTCTCCGTTTCCTGGCTGAGGTGTTCCTACAATAGAATTGCTAGAGCTGACGTCAATAGAGCAGTTTGACCCGTCTTAAAAGTGGTGAGAATGAGCTGACTATTTGCGATTAGTCTTAGAAGGTTGTGGGTGTCGACCTAATGCGAATATTTTGGAACTGGGAAGTGTGTTTCAAAAAATCATTTTTGTAAGCAGGGTTGACAGGTCCAGTAAATATAAATGTTGCTATTGTACTTCAAATTTTAGTAATTTGGTTGTAGAACTGTGTTGATAAGGGGTTCGTGGAAGTTTTTGCAAGGTTGAGGAGTAGATCTGAAAGGAACTAAGATAAAGTATTGGTTAGGTTGGGGGAAAGTTTACAAGTTTGTTACATTTTTTGGTTTAATCGTCTTGAATTGATTTGTTCTATAAATACATGCACTTATGGTTGATGGCCTAAGTTCGAGTACTCGTATTATTTCCGAAGATATCCGATGTACTCGTATTTGTTCAACTAAAGAGCATGATGTTTTGTTCTCAGTTTTAAAATACTGTTCCAGTGTTCATCATTAGAAGGCATGTTGTGGATGTTATGCTACATGTTGGGTGTTTATTCCCCGGCTGCGATCTAGGTGACATTGCCTACAAATGTTATTGCGGTGTTTGTCAGCGTGAGGGAAATGTTGAGTATGTAAAATCTATGTACTGTTGGTGAGAGGTAAGCTTTATTAGTGTGTAATGGAAAGAAGAGAGTAGGATTGGGTCTATTCCGATTGAAGTTGTTTTATCTGTGATGAAGTTAATAAGTTATTGTCTGAATGAAGGGTGTAGTTTTAACTGATTGGACTTGAAAGGCTTTTTATTTTGGCTATTGTTGGGAAATCTAAAGGATATAGTCTAAGTATGTTACCAGTGATGAGTTTGTGTAACTGTCTGCGTGTGTACTATGAGCTGAAGTTTCCTTGAGTAGAGTGGTTGGCATTCAGATTGGCAAAAATTCTTAGTTGGAATCTTGGTGAGTGCCTACGTATACCTATGAATGAATTATATAATCTAAATTTAGGAAAGTGAAATTAGATGAAATTAGTGTAGTAAATTCAAGGAGGAATAGCATAGCATAGTGATGTCGGCGCTGAAGAGTAGGCCTGATGGGGCCAGTCGCCGATTCTTGAACTTTTCGTGACTTGCCCACAGGAGATCTATAAACAGGTCCTTCGACCGGATCTTTTCCAAACCGACGATAGTTTGAAATAGCTACTAGATATCCATCGGGTTCGATATGGTGCCAGGCATTTCTTTCAAGTCTGAACATAAATTTATCCATACAGTTTTGTCTTGTCTGTTCTTGAACGCGTTTACACTTGGAGCGTCAACGATGTCATCGGGGAGGCTATTCCACATGTCGGTGATTCGAAGCGAGAAGAAATGTTGTCGCATGGATGAGTAGCAACGCAGTTTTTATAGTTAATAGCCGTCCCCCCTGGTGGTGGTTCTTGTTTCAAATTCTAGTAATCCTTCTGGGACCTTCCTTCTACGTTGTGCAATGTAGCGCCCTCGTCGGACAGCGTGTTTAAGTAGTTAGATCTATCCGCAAAGTGGCCAGACAGAGAGAAAAAATTGGAAAAACAGTAGCAGGTGAAGATGGACCCTTAACGCATAATTTGGTTGTCTGGGTTAGGTTCTGGCTGGGTGGGGGAGGGAACCCGTTAGGGTTTTGATTGAATTCTATGAAAGAATGAGGGGTAAATTTGTGGTTCAATATTTACAGTTCTGGTTCCAATACAATAACAACTAGGACAATCCACATTCATCTAACCACTTCTATTTATGGAATATTTGTCTGCTTGTGATTTTTTTACAGCGCTGCAATTTGACATCGTGTTTGAAGCTGAGAAGTGTCAGCGAGCTGTGCTGACGTTTAAAGAATTCCTCATTGCTTATCGTCACGGCAATGGAATTTGCTACCTAGACCAACTGGTAATAAGAACTCAAGTTGACGATGTAAAACCGAGGTGCGTTTCTCATTTAAACTTTTCGTAATTTCAATTTAGTGGGACATAGCCTATGCAATGCATGCCAGAATTATCAGATCCATATATTATTTGTTTTTGTGCCTTTAAATACCCGCCGCTTAATTATGGAGTTCAGCGTAATGAAAATTGGGAATTTCAACGATATCCTATAAATTTCCCAACGTTCAAGTCGTTGTTTGATTGATTCACTGACTATTTATCGAATTTGTCTTGCTGTTTTAAGGAATTTCTGCTACGATGAAATCAAGCTTGGTCAAGTTTTCAAAAGCGAGGAGAACCTCTTGATCATTTCATACAATAGCCAAGACTACAGGGGCAAGAACGTCGGACGTCGCGGGTGGAAAGCCGTCTTCACCACTGAACCCATCCCCGGCTGTGGGGTAGTGGGAACATGGTGCATTGTTTACCAGTGGGAATGAAAGGGACGTGATTGTGGGTGAAAAGTAGATATAAGTGATGAATTGGCTTAGGACGCCGGGTGATCTTGTGATGATTAATAGCAGACTACAGTGCGGAAGAGTTGAAGGGTCTCGGTAGGAAGTGCATGATTGATTATGCATTTAAGTAAGCATGGTGGAAACGGTGTTTCTAGGCCCAGAGATAAATGTTGAATGTGGATGCTTGTTAAACAAATGTGAATGAAATATGAACTTGCAGGAAGAATTGCATTGTGAAATTGAAGGATTAATGGACAAGTCTCGTAAGGGGACTATTCAGGACCTCCTATTCAGTGGCTTGCTGAAATTGCCACCATAATAACCAATTCAACACGTCCCAATTAAGCACTTTAAGGCAGTCGAAAACGCAAAAAATTTACCATTAGCTGCAAACACTACTAAATTGCTACCATGAGTTCATTTACCTTCTGTTTTAGAAACACTTCCTTCAACATCAATCTATTATACTCATGTTTTAGCTACCTGCATCTGCTTCAACGGTCCATACGTGATATTATAAAATATCTACCGTACTTAAAGCAACGCATCTGCACAAATATTAGCTCAGAAATTATCATGCTCGCACTCCAACATTTTAAAAAACGTGAATTCATTCGGTCATTATATTTCAGTTCAAAACGCTTAAAAGTGACACTGATGTGTAGCGAATGTGATGTGTAGTCAGAGATGATACATAGGTCCTGCCATAGCGGAGTATATGCTGTGAACTGCATGAAAGAGTAATCTTTATTCCTTATTCTATATTAATATATCAAAGCATAATATTCAAATGAAAAGCCTGTGATATATCAAAAGATATTGCTTTATTTAGCTGCAGGGCGAAAGGTTGTTCAATGAGCGAATCAACATAACTGAAACAGGAACCAAGCACTAGACAGTCGCCACAGTGATGAGAAATAGGTAGTGGATAGAAGTTTGTTCCCTCCACACTGTAATAACAATTCAATCGTAGGGTATTCACCTCTAGGCTTCAATACATTCTTTGTTTTAATTTGAAAGAAACGTTAAATTCTATACATATGCATTCTGACGAACGGACTCGATAAAATGTTAATATATTTCCAAGTCAAACCATAAGAATTTCAACATTCAATCAGATAAATTCTGGTATTGGCATATAAAGGTTGCAACTACGGTTGATATATTCTATAATAGTGTTCCTGGTTGACTATTTTGACATTAATTTACATTAATTAATTTTAATTTTTTTCTTGCATCAGCGCCTGAGTCTCTACTGTTGACGACCTCTTCGGTGATCCAAGCAGCTTGTCGTCAGATCATAAAAAAGGACCGGTCAACAATTGAACTTTTTTCCAATTTCAATGAGCTACCATAAATATTAAATTTATTCAAACTCCTGCTAGGTTTGTTGATGATTGTCTCATTGCTTGCCTGGTTATAAAAGTCAAATTTAGTGTTGATCTTTATCTTTCTCAAGAACTGTGTTGTCAAATTGCCTTCTTTGGAACTATCGACTGCTCTCTTAGTAGGATATATAAGGTGGAAACCTTTAAATGGGAGGAAATTTTTCTTCGTGCTCTTGCAGTAATACGTTTTGTCTTCGCTACTCATTGATAGTAATGATAGTCCCTTGATAAAACCCAATTACTGTTCCAGCAGTCATGAATGTTCAAACTTGATCGGTGAGGCCAAAAAATTCCAACTATCAATTTTCATGGAAGCTAAAATTCGTCAGCAACCCCTCGATAGCAGAGGAATGGACCTCCGTTTTTTGCTGCACTAGCTGTAGTGTTCCTGTTTGCGACGTGAAGTTTTAAATTTTAAACAGTATTAGTTTGATATTCTGTGTGGTTTGATATGGTTTATAATAGTGATGTGTAGTTTTTCATTTACCTAATTTAATAGTTTCACTTTATTAAGAGAAATATGTTTTCAGTTTAATCCGTGTTCCAACTTGAATTTGTAGTAAATTCAGTGGAACGTGAATATATCGGAGAGCGATTTCAAAATTTTGGGTTCCAACTCTTGTTCATTGATTTGAAGATTTTGGCATCTCTCCATATTTCTAGACTTAGTTTTTATCCTCTTAAAATATTGTTCATAGTTAAGTTTCCATGTTCCTATGCCGTTTATTTTCGGCACGCATGGCTTTATTCTCTTTGTTTTCATAGTTTGGTTTTTCTCCATCAAAGACAGGTCAACCATCGAGCTTTCTTCAAATTTCAATATGCTACCTGAAAAATTTAATTTACTCAAACTTCTGCTCGGTTTGTTGATGGTTGTCTCATTACATGCTTAGTTTTAAAAGTCAAATTTAGCTGTCATCTTTTCATTTTTCAAGAACTGTTCCGTCAAATTGCCTTCTTTGGAACTATCGATTGCTCTCTTAGTAGGATATATAAAGTGGAAACCTTTAAATGAGAGGAAATGTTTATTCGTGCTCTTGCAGTAATACGTTTTGTCATAGCTACTCATTGTCATTGATAGTAATAATAGTCCTTTGATAAAACCCATTTACTGTTCCAGCAGTCATGAATGTTCAAACTTGATCGGTGAGGCCAAAAAATTCCAACTATCAATTTTCATGGAAGCTAAAATTCGTCAGCATCCCCTCGATAGCAGAGGAATGGACCTCCATGGCCCCTCGTCGTTTCGAAATTGAAAAAACGAAACTTTTATTCATTATGTTGAATATTGTTATGAAATACTGGAGGCACTGAAAATAGATAGGTCTGAATTTATCTTGCAGAAAAATTTTGCAACCTAATTTCTACTAATATAAGTTTTTTATGATGTAGTTTTTTTAGTGACGTGAAGCTTTACAGTTAAGCCAGCGTTAGTTTGATGCACTAGCTGTAGTGTTTCTGTTTGCGACGTGAAGTTTGAAGTTTTAAACAGTATTAGTTAGATATTCTGTGTGGTTTGATATGGTTTATAATAGTGATGTGTAGTTTTTCACTTAACCAATATAATAGTTTCACTTCATTACGAGAAATATGTTTTCAGTTTTCATCAGCGTTTGAACTTGAATTTGTAGGACATTCAGTGCAACGTGAACATATCGGAAAGCGATTTTAAAATTTTGGGTTCCACCTCTGGTTCATCGGTTTGAAAATTTTGGCATCTCTCCATATTTTTAGACGAAAATCTTGGCTCAAACTGCTACAGTTTTTATCCTTTTAAAATATTTTTAATAGTTAAATTTCCATGTTCCTTTGTCGTTTATTTCCGGCACGTAGGCTTTAATATCTTTTTATATAGATTTGGTTTTTCCCATCGATTGTAATTTTATTTTCTAAACTCTAAATCACATATACGAGATCTAAAAAATCAATATACATAATCAATTAATAAAGAAATATCGTCAATATAGGGAGTGAGTTGATAGGCTTTTTGTACTTTTTATTCTTTGAATAAAGATTTGGTAATAATGGTAAATTACCTCAGTACCATAAACTCGGGATTTATTTTTTCCAAACATAATTTAGATTAATTTACTATTGAATTTCCAAATGATAAGCTAATACCTCACATTGCTAATAAAATATTAGAATGTATATCGAAATACTGAAATGAGAAATATTTCAATGTATATCATGCCGTTTATTCGAAATATAACTTTGCGTTTATATTATGATTTGTACTGAAACGTCCAATGATGATTCCATTATTAACAACTCCGGTGTTCAGGATTCCGGAACAACCGTCACTGTTAACTAAAAATGAAATGAAAATGCGCACAGTTTCATCTTTAAAATTTTCCTTTACTTTCTCAATTTATCTGAAAATTGGGAATGATATTTTGGAAAATCCAATGTGGCCAAAATTCTTGGTTATCTTTCATCTTTTTAAAAAATCATCGGTTTGAAAATCATATACATGTATATAGCACAGTGAATCAGTACCAGTAAATAGTAACATGGCTCTCCTATATATCCGGTATTTTCTCTTCTGATGGCGTTATGGAAATCATAAATCAATGTTGCCCTTATAAAAATATCAACATTTCTAAATCGACTGGTTAATCAAACTTTAATTTTTTGTCTCCAATATACTTCCAGGTTTTTCGGAAAGATTTTAAATCCTTTAAAATTTGATTGGGTAATGCCATTGCGTATGTTTAATATCACGAATTAAATAATATTCATCGAACCATCTACTCATCATTATTTGAGAAAAATATTTTGATTATTTCAAAAGTACCTAACGTTAGAATTAGATGAATTTTCAAGGGATATTCACTTCCCATAATATCTTTGAAAGCATAACGATCCGAAATTGAATCTATAGTTGGAGAGGAATGAACACGTATCGAGCTTTAATTTTCGCTTTAAATTGGAATGCGATTACATTTAATATCAAATAAATTATCTGGCATCATCCTAAGGAATTTTGTACTGGTATGGGCTTGCATAGTCAAAATTTCCCATGGAGGCATACGAACTCAAAGTCCCATGACTGATAATCTTCAGGCGTTCCGAGTAATTCATGCAGTAATCAGAGAGTCTATTAGATCAGAACTTTCATTTAAAACACGGCGGGAGGCAAACCCGCCAGAAGAAAATGAAAGAAAATCACAAGTTCGAATTTAAGGATTAGTCAATCGTTCAATTTGTAGTTCGGTGGGAATTACTTAACTCGAGAAGCGTTACAGGTTCTCGACGAATTTCCCTGCGCTTTTTTTGAAGATAAAAAATTTTGCATGAAAAACGCTTCGAGAAGCATAGACAATTTATTCCTTCCCGGAATTAGATTCAAGAAGTTAAAGCGCATTCCCTACCCCACGTGGGGTCGGCTTCGTATCCGCTATGTGCTCGAGGGAGAACACCGACGCACGCGTGCTTCCGGTGCTTGCCAATTCCCGACGGGTATAGCGGCGGTAAGCAACTGCCGATTGCACCAATGGCGGTTGTCTGGTAGCGATTCCCGCCGAAGCGGTAACGCCTACCTTACCTGAGTTGGTCTGTCGCCCAGAAATTAGGCTTTCTGGACTTGCGCGGAGTACCTGGTGCCTCTTACGAGTACGCAGGTCAAGGAACGGCACGTATGACAAGTGTACTGCGAAGCCGTCTTCCTCTCCAGTAAACTAAGGCTATACCTCAAGCAATTCGCGAGGGGATGCGAAAGCTCGAGTGTATTGGCTTCAGAATACGCTATGGACGATCAAAGGATTTGATCGCCCTACGACAGCATAGCTAACGGGCTCGTCAGCGGCTGAGCGAAACGGGCTAAGGCTATTTTGTGCAGTGCTTATGCAAGTAAAATGAACCTTATTAAGTAATTACTGGCGGCGCAAGTAAAGTAATTTCACTGAATCACAGGGATCACGCCCAGCGGAAAACCGTTCCGCCTCACAAGCGCTAACCCAAACACTTCACACGCGCAACTCTAAACAGTTATTAAAACAGTGGTTACTTAATTTAACACATAGCAACTTTTAGGCGATTGCCTTACAATTATCAAACGATAATTGCATTAAAAGGTGTTACTAAAACTCACATGGTAATACGCACTGAAGATGGTGATGCAAAGTAGTCACCAGAGGAGCTGCGCAGCAGCTCGGGCGGTTGCGTATCAGCGATTGAGAGAGCATGCAGGCTGCGCCTACACCGCGGCGCCGCTCAAGGTCAACGGAAGGAAAGCTGGCGATGGCGGAAATCTATTCCGCAGAGCTTTCTTCCTTTTTTTACTGATACGATTAAATTCGAGGAAGAAACAATCCAAAAGATCAAATAGAGCTTTCAACATGTTAAAAGCAAACAGCCTAAAACGGAGTTTGCTCTAATTTTACATACATTTGCTTCAAATTGGAGGATTTCTCCTTTTGGGATATTTTATTTTCAAAGTCCTTACTTCACCTAGAGACATGATTTCGAGTTATTAGATTTTTCATCGAGTGTCCTTAAAATTTTAAAATATTGTTTTAAGATATGGGCCGTTATCTCATTTATATTCGCTGCTAGTCATACGATGTAGGTAATCTCAAGAACCGGAGTTTTGTTCAACACAATTAACCTGAATCGCTATGAGGTCATTTTATGTCACGATTTAGACGAAAGAAATATTCGTTTTTCTTTTTGGCTAAACGTCATTGCTATTTCGATGGCAATGTGTAATGCCACGCTCGCAAACAAAATCGGAGCGGGAGGGTACCAAAAGTCCTACGAACGGAGACCTCAGGAATGTTTGGACTCAGGAAAACGATTGGACCCGCCTTATGGACGAAATAGAGCCAGTGGATGCATTGTACCTCGATTTTGCCAAGGCATTTGACAGTGTTCCGCATGAGCGGCTGTTACGTAAAGTGAAGTCTTTGGGAATTGAGGGAAACGTACTCCAATGGATCAGAGACTTTCTAGTAGGCAGACGACAACGTGTCAGCATTAACGGAACCCTGTCGGACTGGGCATCAGTGCGCAGTGGTTTGCCACAAGGAAGCGTTCTTGGGCCTATTTTGTTCGTTGCTTCTTTTAATGATCTGCCAGAAGTAGTGTCCAGCGTGTGCTCCATGTATGCCGACGACACGAAAGTTTATAATACAGTGAAAGATGCGGCAAATTAAGTGCAATTGCAAGATGATCTTGACAGTTTAGTTAACTCGTTTGATACGTTTCAGCTTCGGTTTAATGCTGACAAGTACTTCACCTCGGGAGGTACAATGAACAGCAAGAATATAGTGAATATTCGTGAATCTTAATACAACTGATTGACAAGATGACTTTCTTGCGTGGATCGTTTTACAGTGAATATTGTGTCTAAATGATCACTATGCACGAGTGCAGTTCGTTTTCCGGCTCGGTTCTTTTTTTTTCACCCTTGGCCTATCAACTCCCTACTTGGCTGATGCAAGCCCTGTGATGCTAGCCTTCGTTCGACCTAGATTCCACGGATTTTGTTGAGTAATCGTCTCGACGTTCTACATACAGGTCTTCTTGCTGCTTTTTAGAGGTCTGACATTGCTTTTTTACAGTCTGTAACGTGAGTTGAATCGGGTTGATATCCATGGCACCATGCATTAGCCTACTCGACAATGCAGCTGCTTGGCCTCCCTCGATCCATCCGTCCGTCAAAGAGTCGATTTGCTCGTTGCTACCCCCGCCCCTCGTCTGTCTTATCGCGGATGCCGTGCCGGTCGTAACAGGCGTACTGCCGCCACGTATCTGGTTGCGTGCGACGGTTGTGTGTTTGTGATAATTGGCAATCGGCCGTTGCCACGACGGCAGCCATCTGTGCTAGACTGTACGTCGGCTGATCCTTCTGCTGCTGAATGTGGACCTGTGTCGATCGTCACTTCGCGTTCGCGCAGTCGTGTCGCCGGTTAATGTTCGGCAGCCTAAACATCCATTCGCTGAATAACAAAGTTGACGAGTTCCTTCACATCCGCCGCTCGCGCTCTTTGGATGTCGTCTTCTTGACTGAGAGCTGGCATGATGCTGACTAGGTTTCCCCCCATCGCGCGTCTTCGGGCTGAAGGACTCCAAGTGGTCGAGCGTGCACGGCCTCGCGCACAGCGCAACACCCCAGTGACGAATCACGGCGGACTATAGCGACCGTCGCCTGCGGCGTTAAGCTGACCAGGTTCGACATCGGCGCCCGACCCACCACCTTTGAGCTGCTGTGTGTTACGGTCGCTTGCGGCTCGTTCGCGTGTGTTTCTGTCGTCATCTATCGTCACGGATCAGTTGCTGTCTCACGTGATTTTTTTGTTGAATTAAGCCATGTTTTAACTAGACTTGAGACCCTCACCGATCACGTTTTTATCTCTGGTGATTTTAATGTTCAACTGAATCGTGCCGACGACCAATGGGCGCGTCAGCTGTACGATCTGCTGTCTGCCTTCGGCATGGTCTGTCACGTTACCTTACCAACCCATGACCTTGGCGGGCTGCTGGATGTTGTCATCACGCGTACCGACATTCAGTTTCTGCCCGTTGACATCATCGAAATCGCAATATCTGACCACCGACTGCTCCAGTGGATGGTGCCATGTGTTCGCCCGGCGTTGACGTACAGAACCGTCACCTGTAGCCCGTGGCGCGATCTCGACGGCGATGTTTTGAGCATGAGACTTCAGTTGTCCCGAGTTGGTCGGCCGGACTCATGGTCGGAGCTGTCGGTGGATGATCTTGCAAAACTCTACAACATCGAATTGACATCTTTGCTCGACGACCTCATTCCTACACGAACTGTTCGTGTCCCCCAGCGAGCCTCCGACCCGTGGTTTGACGACGAATGTCGCGCTTCAAAGCGTGGTGTTCGGCTGCTCCAGCGGGCTGTCCATCACGCGAGCAGACGTAACGATCCTGCTGCTGGGGCTGAAGCGACGTCCAACTGGCGGGATGCGCGGCGCGCCCATGTCAACCTTCTTAGATCCAAGAGGGAGTCATTCTGGCGTCTAAGAGTTGACGCACAGCGCGGCGACCCTCGGGCGCTGTGGTGTTCGCTGGATAGGCTCATGGGGAGAGGTCGTGCGGATGCCTCGGGCGACGTGAGCGTGGAAGGATTCCATGCGTTCTTTGGAAACAAAACTTCAGCTGTGCGCGCGTCGTCGGCCGATGCTCCCGCGGCAATTTTTACGCCGTGCCCCTACAACTGTGTGCTAAGCGAGTTCACCTGCGTCACAGTGGATGAGGTCACCACTGCGGTACGCGCGCTGCCTAACAAGCAGTGCGCCAACGACCTGTTGCCGTCGCATCTACTTAGGGAGAATGTTGCCAGCCTTTCACCTTTTATTGTTGAACTGCTTAACCGCTCCCTCGCTGACGGTTGTCTCTGAGAACTTCAAATCCGCTTACATCACGCCGCTTCTCAAAAAGCCGGACCTACGCCTCCAGTCTGCATACCGTCGTCACCACTCGACGGAGACCGCCATGCTGAAGGTTCTTTCGGATATTCTGCAGGCGGTCGACCGCGGCAACATCGCGGCACTGGCTTTACTCGATCTTTCCGCTGCATTTGATACGGCCGACCACTCCACCTTGTTGCGTCGGCTAGACGTATCGTATGGCCTGCACGGTACGGTGCTGCGGTGGTTCGAGTCTTACCTCAACAAGAGACTCCAATGTACGTGTTCGTCGCGGGCTCTCCTCTTCTACACCATCGACGGTCACCTGCGGCGTATCACAGGGGTCGATCCTCGGCCCAATGCTCTTCCTGCTATATACTGCCGACGCGTTGCACATAATTGATTCACACAGCTTGAATCCGCACGTGTTTGCCGACGACACCCAAATCTATGGCTACTGTGCGCCGGCGGACGCTGCAGCGCTGCAAGACCGGATGTCAGCCTGCATGGATGCCGTTTCAGACTGGATGCGTTCCAACCGGCTCCAACTCAATGCATCGAAAACTGAATTTATTTGATTCGCGACCGCTCGGCGCCAACATCAGCTTCCAGCCAACCTTGTGCGCGTGGGCGACGATTTCGTCGCACCTGCATCCTCTATGCGCAGCCTCGGAATTCAGCTGAACTCAGAACTATCTATGAACAACCACATTGCCAAAGTAACCGCTGCTTGTTTTGGCATCCTGCGGCGAATTCGTAGCGTCAGTCGCTGTCTCTCGAGGCCGGTCCTCGAGGCCCTCATGGTGTCGCTTGTGCTGACCAGACTGGACTATGGCAATGCCACACTCTACGGACTTCCCATCACGGCACTTAACAAACTGCAATTCGTAATGAACGCTGCCGCGCGACTCGTTTGTGCCCGGCGGAAATTCGACCACGTGACACCAATTTTGCGTGACCTTCACTGGCTGTGCATCCAGCAGCGCACGCAGTTTAAAGTCGCCGTTCCGCTGCCTCCATGGTTTAGCAGCACCTCATCTCGCTGAAGGCCTACGGCGCGTGTCGGATCTGCCTTCTAGAAGGCGACTGCGTTCCTCGTCGAAGGCTGACCTCGTCGTCCCGTCCTCACGTCTGTCCACCGTCGGCGACAGAGCGTTTCCGGTCGCCTCGGCCAGAACATGGAATGGTCTGCCAGCATCGGTGACATCTGCTTCTTCGCTGCTGTTGTTTTGTCGACGCCTAAAAACAGAACTTTTCCGTAGAGCCTTTAAATCTTAGGCCTATCCGTCATCTAATCTATCATGGATATGACTGGTTTAGCATAGGTGTTGTTTGTTCTAGCTTAGACGTCATCAGTCTTGGCATATGTCCTCTTTTTAGCATAGACGTCATCTGTTTTTATCTTCTCGTGTTCTTTTTAGCCACTTGTAACGTGTCCTCGAAGTTCGATCTGAACGAGACGCCACGACAATCTCTTCGTTGAATAATAATAATAATAATATAGTAAGAGAAGACATGGTTACAACGAGAGAGTAATGATTGAAAAGTCTAGTGTTGAGAAAGATCTCGGAGTTTATGTCGACAAGGAGCTGAAATTTCTCAGCATGTTGAAACGAAAGCTAACACATCCAACAAAGGTCTTGGTCTAATCTGACGCTCTTACGAGTTCCTAGATGCAGTGCAGAAGCAATAAAGCAGTTGTTTGTTGCCGTCGTGCACCCGAATCTAGAGTTTGGAAACGTTGTGTGGTCATCTAGATTTGAAAAGGACAAAAATTTAATAGAGAATGTTCACAGACTTGCAACAAGGATAATTCCAGGCTTGAAGGGCAAGTCCTATATGAAGAAAGATTAAAGATTATGAAGCTTCCAAGCCTTAATTATCGACGTCTGCGTGGACCTCATTGAAGTATACAAGTATACTCATGGTTTATACAATGGTCCCCGATGGATTACTAGAATTTGAAACAAGAACCAACACCAGGGGCAAAGGTTATAAACTAAAACAACTGCGCTGCAACTTCTCCACACGACATTTCTTCTCGCTTCGAATCACCGACATGTGGAACAGCCTCCCTGTATACATCGTTGGCGCTCCGGGTATGAACGCGTTCAAGAACAGACTAGATAAAGCTATGGAAAAATATATTATATATGTTCAGACTTGAAATGCCTGGCACCATATCGAACCCGATGGGAGTCTAGTAGCTATTTCAAACTATCGTCAGTCATGAAAAGATCCGGTCAAATGAGACGATTTTAAATCTTCTTTGAACAAGTCACGAAAAGTTCAAGAATCGGCGACAGGCCACATCAGGCCTACTCCACAGCGCCGACATCACTATGTTATGTTATGTTTGTGCACTTACGTCTTATACCTACGAAAAAAATATCTATCTCCACAGACGAGTTACATCACGAAAATCAGCCAGAGACATTCACGGATAGCCGCAAAAAAACAGAGTCGTACATTAAAGATAGCTTTGAAATATACCAGGTTGAAAAATCCTGGAAGCAGTAATTTTTTAAATATCGCTAGAACTATTTGCACAGGTATAATTGTATGTATTTAGGAATAACTTGAAAACTCTCGTTTCTAACAATGCCACCGAGGAAACAACATGTATTGGTATGCTTCGTATGAAGCTTCAGTAGGACTTAACTTGCGGTGGAAAATTTAAACTATTTTAGTTGGAAAGGGACTGCAAAAGCAGTGGGAAGAAGATGATTATGTGAGAAGATTGATACTCTCAGATTATTTCATGGACCGATCCCGAAGGTCACTAGTGCAATACCGGGCTGATCCGCGGCAAAGGTAGAGCAAGCTCCTAGCACTTCGCCATGATCCAAAAACAAATTAATATCGTTGACCCCACATGTGGTCGTATCAGGCATTAAGCTGGTAATAACAGATTTCAAATGTTTATTGCATGAAAGTTTACAATAATTTGGATACAACATAATTTGCATTAATGATATTTTCTATCACCTATTCTGTAAATAGGATACATGGTGGTTACATACGCAGGTATGGATAAACAATGGCGGGAAAAATCATATTGCCGTTGACCAGTTATGTATTCGATGTAAATCATGCGCGACCATCTGATAGTGTCGGCGACACAGAGCTGCTTGAAAGTCTTCGTGAAGGCTCAGGAGGCGGTCTTCTTCAGCAGCTATGCGTTCTTGGGATCGTAGGTCCCCAGACTTCCCACGACGAAGGGCTCCACGGAAACCTGTCCGTACGTTCTTCGTAATTGTCGAGCAGTTTCAGCGTATTTTGCCTGTTTAGTGTCTCTAGCCACTGTGAATGCTGTACTACCGTTCTCAAAAGGGCAGGTGATGTCGATTGCTTGGCCATTTTTCTGGAGGGCCAGGTCAGTGGTCTGCTAGTTTGATCGGTTCCGGGCACAATTTGGTTCTCGGAGATCGCAGTCGAGTGCAGGTATCGTGATAATGTCTTTATACGTTTAACCAGAGCGTTGTGGCACATTTGCATTGCGCTCGAGTGTCTCATACAGTGATTTATAACGTGGGGAAGCGTATCATCAAACTTACCACATCTTCGGCATCTCGTGTCGCCATTTGGTGCTTTCCATGCGCCATTCACAGGTAACAGGTTGAGGCGTCCTCAACGGATGAAACGCCAATCAGCAAACGAGATGTACTCTTGGTCTCTTTTCTGCTGCAGGGCGACGTCGCGACGACGACGACGACGAAAGGAGTTGCAAAGAGAGCTTGCTATCATCTTCCAATCTCTCCAAGTCAATTCCGTGTTTTCGCTCAGGATAACCGGGTTTCCGTTCAGTAAAGACCATCTGAGTTCCAATCTTAGATAGTACTTATTTATTGTTCACAAGCCTTTCGTCGGGAGTAAACTTGTCTGCTTTCTTTATTAAGTCCTGTTTACACGAGGGGCAACGACATGGGCGGTGTCGAGGCGCTTGCTGCAGCGCCTCATGGCTTATACAAGGTCCTAGACGGATTACTAGAATTTGAAACATGAACCAACACCAGGGGCCACGGCTATATACTAAAAAAACAGCGTTGGAAAACATCCATGCGACAATTTTTCTTCTCGCTTCGAGTCACCGACATGTGGAACAGGCTAGAACAGCCTCCCTGATAACATCGTTGACGCTCCGAGTATGAACTCTTCAAAAACAGACTAGACGAGGCTATGCAAAAGCATATGTTCAGTCTTAAAATGCCTAGCGAATTTCGGACCACAGGCAATAAGTCCAGCAGCTATCTCAATCAATCGTCAGCTATGGAAAGATCGCGGGTTGCAAAGGTAGGATCACTTGTGAATCAAGTCACGAAAAGTTCAAGAATCGGCAAAAGGCAATGGGCCTATTTCTTCAACGCCGACACTTCTATTGTATTCTATTCTATTCTATTCTGTTCTATTCTATTCTGTTCCATTCTATTCTATTCTATTCTGTTCTATTCTATTATATTTTGTTCTATTCTATTCTATTCTATCCTATTCTATTCTATCCTATTCTATCCTATTCTATTCTATCATATTCTATTCACGCCCGTGTCTTGCCATTATTGTGAACGGGCCTTTATAACAGAAATAGCGGTTTCAGCGTTTATTAGGCAGTAGGCCTATTACCAATTCTTAACATCGCAGAACATTCACAACATTTTGCGGTCTTGAACCCGCAACTCGCTGCTACAATTCTGTTGTGCTTAATTAACCGCCCGGCCTCCTTGCCGACTCTGACCTGAAACTGGCGCACACAGCTGGGATCGAACCCGCGTCTCTCTGCGCCAATCTTGGAACTCTGGACTTTAACCACTGGGCCACATTGCCCAGTGTTTAAAGCCTAAAGGCCCACGGGCCTTTATAGTCTCTTTCCTAGTGACACCGCAACAACAAATGGCAAACTCGACAATTCTACGTCAAGTTATACAAACAATTATTTCCAACAGTTATCATGAATTCCTTGTGTAGTTGGCACTTTATTACTATTACCCCCCCGTGCCATCTCGCCCTTGTCGATGGTCTCTGCCGAACGGGCGTCGAGCCACTTTTTGAAGGATGGGAAGTACATCTCGTTTGCAGACTGGCGGTTTATCCACCGAGGACGCCTCAACCTATTACCAGTGAACGGCGCAAGGAAAGCACCAAACGGCGACACGAGATGACGAAGATGTGGTCAGTTTGATGAAACGCTTCCCCACGTGATAAACCACTGTATGAGGCACTAGAACGCAATGCAAATGCGCCACAACGCTCTGGTAGAACGTATAAAGGCAACAGCACGATACCTGCACTGGACTACGATCTCCGAGAACCAAATTGTGCCCGGAACCAATCAAACTAGCAGACCTGACCTGGTTCTCCAGAAAAATGGCCAAGCTATTGTTATCGATGTTACATGCCCTTTTGAAAACGGTAGCACAGCATTCACAGTAGCTAGACACTAAACAGGCAAAATACGCTGAAACTGCTCGACAATTACGAAGAACGTTCGGGCAGGTTTCTGTGGAGCCCTTCGTCGTGGGAAGTCTGGGGTGCTACGATCCCAAGAACGCATCACTGCTGAAGAAGATTGCTTCCAGAGCCTACACGAAGACCTTTAAGCAGCTCTGTGTCGCCGACACTATCCGATGGTCGCGCATGATCTACATCGAACATATCACTGGTCAACGGCAATATTGATTTTCCCTGCCATCGTTTATCACACCTGCCTATGTAACCTACCATGTATTCTTTTTTTCAGTTCATAAATCTAAACTATGTTGTATCCAAATTATTGTAAATTTTCTTGCAAATAAACATTTTGAAATCTGGATATGACTGCTAGCAGTATGGAGCCACCGACAGCGGAGCGAAGAACTTCACAGCATACCCCAGAAGGCGAACCACAGCAGCTACCTGCAGTTCCTGAAATACGGCACCCGACTCGCGAGGGAGCAACTGTTACCCCATACTATCCCCTGCCTCGCAGCCTGCACTGCACCGAACCTGGGTGATCATGGCAATGCGCCTCTACAGATTGGGCCCATAGGAAGCAAACCCTATGCAGGCACTTGGAAGGGAGACACCTCATCGCTCGGCCGACGTTCAACATCACCTGTGCTGGGTGCGACGCCGCATTTGGCACAAGACCTTCACGCCATGCATGTACAGCAGCATCTGCAAGGGAGATAGTGGGATAGTGGCAAGAATCCACACCTACGTTATGCCTCCGAGAAAGGTGCGAAAAATCTTTCCCCACATCGACATTGCTGATGAAGAGCACAACGAGAGCACAGAAGTGACTGAATCATTGACCTGACACATGAACACAGCCGAGACTTGGCACTTGAGATCAACCCCAGAAAGTGCGCGACACTTCACTTGAGTGGGCGTGTCCATCGTGGACCTCGAATGACCGAATTCCACATCCAAGAAACCGGGATCCAGATACTAGAGGAATTCCAGAGCGCTAAATTCCTAGGGCGACCAATTGGATTCAACATCTTGAAAGAAAATGACCGCATCGACCAAATAAATGCTAAAGGACGAAAAATCCTCAAAAGCAAACTGGCGCCTTGGCAACGAATTGACGCCCTACGACCCTTAACCTGCCTGCCACCATATTACTTATGCGCTCCTGGCAGTACAACAAAACTACATATGAAACACTGGACCGCGAAATAAGAGCACTCATCAAGAAAACGCTCTATTTACCTAGGCGAGCAGCAAATGAGTACACTTATATGGGAGCTCTCCTGGTAGAGCATGCGCTGTCCCCATTGCTGCCGAAGACTCAGACCTGTTCCTAGTGGACACTGCGCTCAAACTATTGACCTCTCCTGACGAGGTCATCAGAGCTCTCGCCCGAGAGGACTGCTCTAGAGTTGCATCGGGACACTTCAATCAGGCTCCCTCGATGGACCTGATCCCACGCCTTATGACAGAAGAAGCTACGCCAAGACGAGCGTTCCAACACCAAACGCTTTGGAGCAAAGCCCGTTAGCGCATCTCTAAGATTGGGACTCAGATGGTCTTTACTGAACGAAAACCCGGTTAGCCACAGCGAAAACAAGGAATTAACTTAGAGAGATCGTAAGATGATAGCAAGCTTTCTTCGCAACTCCCTTCGTCGTCGTCGCGATGGCGCCCTGCAGCAGAAACCAGACCAAGGAAAAACAATGCACCTGGTCTTTGCCGAACGGGCGTCGAGCCACTTCTTGAAGGGTAGGAAGTACATCTCGTTTGGTGACTGGCGGTTTATCCACCGAGGACGCCTCGATCTATTACCTGTGAATGGCGCAAGGAGAGCACCAAATGGCGACACGAGATGCCGAAGGTGTGGTCAGTTTGATGAAACACTTCCCCACGTTTTAAACCACTGAATGTGGTTTAAACTGAATTAAACCACTCCCCACTGAATTAAACCACTCGAACGCAATGCAAATGCGCCACAACGCACTGGTTGATCGTATAAAGACAACAGCAAGATACCTGCACTGGACTACGATCTCCGAAAACCCAAATTGTGCCCGGAACCGATCAAACTGGCAGATCTGACCTGGTCCTGCAGAAAAATGGCTAAGCCATCATTATCGATGTCACATGCCCTTTTGAAAACGGTAGCACAGCATTCACAGTGGCTAGGGATACTATAAACTGGCAAAATACGCTGAAACTGCTCGACAATAACGAAGAACGTACGAAAAGGTTTCTGCAGTGGAGCTCTTCGTCGTGGGAAGTCTGGGGATCTACCATCCCAAGAACGCATCGCTGCTGAAGAAGATCGCCTCCAGAGCCTACACGAAGATATTCAAGCAGCTCTGTGTCGCCGGCACATCAGATGGTCGCGCATGATTTACATCGAACACATCACTGCTCAACGGCAATATTGATTTTTTTCGCCATTGTTTATCCATAACTGCGTATGTAACCCACAATGTATCCTGTTTATAGGTAATGGAAAATCTATGTAATCC